TTAAATACTGATGTTTTATTTGGAATATTGAAGAAAGTAGCTTAAAGAAGAAGAGATATAAGAATAGTAATAACATCAGCTACAATGAATGCAAAAAAGTTTAGTGATTTTTTTGGAGGAGTACCAATATATAAAATTCCAGGTAGAACATTTCCAGTTGATGTAAGATTTGAGAAAGCTCCTGCTTAAGATTATGTAAGAAGCGCAATAAAGAAAACAATAGAAGTTCATATTTAATAACCTCCTGGAGATGTTTTAATATTTATGACAGGACAAGAAGATATAGAGACGACATGTTATTTATTAGCAGAGGAATTAAATAAATTAAGTGAGGCAACACCTCCACTTTTGATTTTACCAATATATTCTTAATTGAGATCTGAAGAGTAGGCAAGGATATTTGAGAAGAGTGAATTTAGAAAATGTATAGTTGCAACAAATATAGCAGAAACATCATTAACATTAGATGGAGTGAAATATGTGATTGATACTGGATATTGTAAAATGAAAGTATATAATCCAAGAATTGGTATGGATGCATTATAGGTTACTCCAATATCATAAGCAAATGCAGATTAAAGGAAAGGTAGAGCTGGAAGAACTGGACCTGGTATTTGTTTTAGATTGTATTCATCTTTGAATTATAGATAAGATATGTTAGAAAATAATATTCCTGAAATATAAAGAACAAATTTAGCAAATGTAGTATTGTTATTAAAATCTTTAAATATTAATAATTTATTAGATTTTGATTTTATGGATCCTCCTCCATAAGATACAATATTAAATGCAATGTATTAATTATGGGTATTGGGTGCATTAGATAATGTAGGTGAATTAACAGATTTAGGTAGAAAGATGAGTGAATTTCCATTAGATCCTCCTTTATCAAAAATGTTAATAAAAGGAGATTAATTAGGATGCACTGAAGAGATATTAACAGTAGTTAGTATGTTAAGTGTTCCAGGAATATTTTATAGACCGAAAGATAGAGAAGCAGAGAGTGATGCAGCAAGAGAAAAGTTATTCGTAGGGGAGAGTGATCATTTAACAATGCTTAATGTATTTGAATAATGGAAAAGACATGAATTTTCTCCTGAATGGTGTAATGAACATTTTGTATAAGCAAAAAGTATGAGAAAAGTAAGAGAAGTAAGAGCATAATTAAAAGATATAGCTGGTAAATTAGGATTAAAAATGAGTACTTGTAATTTTTCATATGATGTTGTTAGAAAGGCAATATGTTCTGCTTATTTTTAAAATGCTGCAAAAATAAAAGGTGTTGGTGATTATATAAATTTACGTACAGGAATGCCATGTAAACTTCATCCTTCAAGTGCTTTATATTCTTTAGGTTATGCACCTGATTATGTTGTATATCATGAATTAGTTATGACATCAAAAGAATATATGCATTGTGTTAGTGCTGTTGATCCATAATGGTTAGCTGAAATGGGTCCTATGTTTTTTAGTATTAAAGAAGATGGTGAAACTAGAGCATCAAGAATTGAAAGTGAAAAAAAAAGTAAAAGAGAAATTGAATTATCTATTGAAAAAGCTAAAAGAGAACATGAAATGAAAAGTGAAGAATGTCTTAAAAGAAGAGAAAAAGAAGATAGAGAAAGAAGATTAATTAGTGAACGTACTGCAACCTTAGGTTAAAGACCTAGTAGAATTTAAACTCCTGTTAGATAATAAATATCATCTATTGCTGCTACTCCATTAAGAAGTGAATGTGAATCTGTCATCTCTGGTATGACTAGTATCTAAGCTAAATAAATGAGAATGGCTTATTATGATGATGAAGAAGAATAAGATCTTGGCAAAAATAAAATACCTAAATTAGAATGATTATTTAACATGAGTTCTATGTATAAATATATTAGTTAGTTATAATCTTAATTATTAACATTATATAATTATAATCCATAATCATAATATTTTATTATTTAATTAATATATATGCAAGACAATCTAAATCAAACAGCTTCCTTCTTTCATCATCCTAAACTCAAAATACCAAAACTTAAATGTACATATGAACTTATTTGTTCCCCTGATCTCGAAATACCTACTTTTAGTAAAAAAGATGATTCATATCAACATTAATCATTATTTAAACAATGTTAAAGGAGAAATAGCTAAACGAATATTACTCAAAATCAATTATCAAATTTATTCCAATCCATACCACTTAAAAAAGCTAATTCAGATTCTAAAACTAATCCTAAAGTACCATCACTTAAGATACACTAAAAATCACTACTTTAGAAACTTTCAGACTATAAATCAACCAGTTAACATTCAACTACTCTACTCAGAGGAAGACGGAACATCAAAANGAAAATGTTAATAAAAGGAGATTAATTAGGATGCACTGAAGAGATATTAACAGTAGTTAGTATGTTAAGTGTTCCAGGAATATTTTATAGACCGAAAGATAGAGAAGCAGAGAGTGATGCAGCAAGAGAAAAGTTATTCGTAGGGGAGAGTGATCATTTAACAATGCTTAATGTATTTGAATAATGGAAAAGACATGAATTTTCTCCTGAATGGTGTAATGAACATTTTGTATAAGCAAAAAGTATGAGAAAAGTAAGAGAAGTAAGAGCATAATTAAAAGATATAGCTGGTAAATTAGGATTAAAAATGAGTACTTGTAATTTTTCATATGATGTTGTTAGAAAGGCAATATGTTCTGCTTATTTTTAAAATGCTGCAAAAATAAAAGGTGTTGGTGATTATATAAATTTACGTACAGGAATGCCATGTAAACTTCATCCTTCAAGTGCTTTATATTCTTTAGGTTATGCACCTGATTATGTTGTATATCATGAATTAGTTATGACATCAAAAGAATATATGCATTGTGTTAGTGCTGTTGATCCATAATGGTTAGCTGAAATGGGTCCTATGTTTTTTAGTATTAAAGAAGATGGTGAAACTAGAGCATCAAGAATTGAAAGTGAAAAAAAAAGTAAAAGAGAAATTGAATTATCTATTGAAAAAGCTAAAAGAGAACATGAAATGAAAAGTGAAGAATGTCTTAAAAGAAGAGAAAAAGAAGATAGAGAAAGAAGATTAATTAGTGAACGTACTGCAACCTTAGGTTAAAGACCTAGTAGAATTTAAACTCCTGTTAGATAATAAATATCATCTATTGCTGCTACTCCATTAAGAAGTGAATGTGAATCTGTCATCTCTGGTATGACTAGTATCTAAGCTAAATAAATGAGAATGGCTTATTATGATGATGAAGAAGAATAAGATCTTGGCAAAAATAAAATACCTAAATTAGAATGATTATTTAACATGAGTTCTATGTATAAATATATTAGTTAGTTATAATCTTAATTATTAACATTATATAATTATAATCCATAATCATAATATTTTATTATTTAATTAATATATATGCAAGACAATCTAAATCAAACAGCTTCCTTCTTTCATCATCCTAAACTCAAAATACCAAAACTTAAATGTACATATGAACTTATTTGTTCCCCTGATCTCGAAATACCTACTTTTAGTAAAAAAGATGATTCATATCAACATTAATCATTATTTAAACAATGTTAAAGGAGAAATAGCTAAACGAATATTACTCAAAATCAATTATCAAATTTATTCCAATCCATACCACTTAAAAAAGCTAATTCAGATTCTAAAACTAATCCTAAAGTACCATCACTTAAGATACACTAAAAATCACTACTTTAGAAACTTTCAGACTATAAATCAACCAGTTAACATTCAACTACTCTACTCAGAGGAAGACGGAACATCAAAATACTACAAAATCCTTTTATTACAGACTCTCGTCATTCTCAAAAATCCACTTGTACTCCTGAAAGCCAACCACCACAACCAAAAGGAAAACCATTCTTATAAAGAAAAGCATAAATTCAAATGGTCAATAGAGTATTCTCTTCCATGTCCTAACATTAATGAATTTAATTAAATTTATGTCTCTAAATTTCGTAGAATAATCATCTCTTATACTTATTTATCTCATATCATATATATTACATCCAATATTCATTACTCATTTATTTATAATTCATTCTTTTTTTAAATACTATTTTGATAATTTATTTTAACAAACAATTTTCACTTTTTTATGATACTAAAATTATCAAACAATATTCTTTATTTATCATTATACTATACAATTCTTTTTAAACTTACTAACTAAATATTCAAAAAATTTATATTCATGAACCTCATATATATACATTCTAATAAAATTTGTGATATATTTTAGAGCATGTTTTAAGTCAGCTAGAATCAGTTTTAATATTGCTATATAGATTAAACAAAAATAAATGAAATGATAATATTTATTATTTTATCTAACGAATTATGGATCATTTTGAGAGAATTCGAAAAATTGGTAAAGGTAATTTTGGGGATGTTCTTTTGGTATCAAGAAAAAGTGATGGAAAAGTAAGTTGTCTCATTCTAATTAAAGCAATTTGCACTAAAAAGAGTTGATTTAAGTTTGAGGGATAGTTTTGTTGTTGACCCTCTCAATGAAGTTAAGGTTCTAAAATTATTAGACCATATGAACATTATTAAACATTATGATTCGTTTGTCCATAACAATAAACTGTGTATTCTTATGGAATATGCAGAAAATGGTAAAATTTTGAAAAAATAGTCTAAGCTGATCTCAGTTTAAAAATCAAGGAGGCAAAATAAAATAATCAATTCATTGAAGAATCTACAGTTCTGTATTTCATTTATGCATTATTATAGATTCTTGCCTGGTTAACCTAATTGGCAATAGCGCTCAATTACCTTCATTCTCAAAAGATACTCCATAGAGACATTAAAGTATAAAACATTTTCTTATGCAATGATGGAATTGTAATGTAATTTAATTAATTCTAGGTGAAATTGGGGGATTTCGGTATCTCAAGAACTTTAGAAAACACTTCTGAATTAGCATAAACCTCTATAGGTATTTAATTTAAGAAAACAAATATATTAGGTACTCCATTTTATCTTTCTCCTGAATTATGTCAGAATTAATCATATAATCATAAAATTGATATATGGATGTTGGGATGTGCCATTTATGAATTATGTACATTATAAAAACCATTTACTGCTGAATCAATCAATGTAATTTACACTTTAATATTAAATAAAGGCTTTAGCTACTAAAATTATAAACGATTAACATACAAAAATCTCTAATCACTACTCTGAATTTCTGTCTAATCTTGTAGATGAAATGTTACAAAAACAACCAGATAAAAGACCAGAAATTTCAAAAATATTGTCATTTCCATAAATTCAAATTGAAATCTAAAAACTATCCAAAATTTATTAATCTAATAAAATTATACATTAAAATACTGGATTTTCATCCAGTAAAAAGAGCAACAGAATGCAACAGAATTCTATACACTTTTTAGTTGAAAAATCAAAATAATAATAAGGTTTATCGCCTATTTGTTCTAGAAGAAGCTAATCTAAACTTAACACACCTTATTAAGGCTACAAAACAGATGTTGTTGATTAAAATAGTCCACATTTTAAATTAAATGGAAAATAATTAGCTGCTAATTTACATACTCTACCAGACTACATAGATGATTAACAAAAAACATAAACTCCAATTTCTACTCAAAGAACAGAATCTAATGAAGTTAATTAAAAACATCTAAAATATTAAAAATCTATATCAATTAATACTCAAATTGATGATAATAATAATAAACGAAATTAAGAAGTCGAAAGTTAACCTACACTAATAAAAAATTAAAAATCGTTCACTTTCGTTGATATTTTTTTTAATCCAAATACACCAACATCCCCTAATAGATCCTTATTATTAACAGACTTTCTAAAAAGAAAATTAGGAAATGAAAAATTTTACTAAATGAAAATAGTATTTAAATTTTATAATTTTTTTAGTTACTTGAATAAAATAATGATCCTATTAAATTATTAGATTAAGAAAAAGGATTGGTTTAAGATATTATTGGAGAATAAAATATGGATTGTGTTAGAGTATTTCATTTTTTATAAATAATTAGATATTTAAACTCTTAATTAGTTGTTCCATAACTCCTTAAGCAAGTCATGGTAGAGCTAAAAGTGCATAAGTGTTTACTCAAGAAAAACAGGAAACATTAATAGATATCATAAAAGAGTCTGACTTTTAGCCTACAAATTCGATTGGCTCTAATCCTGGATTAGAAATTTCATTTAAAAATCTCTAGCATTTTACTGAAGAAGAATAATCAATGCAATAATAATTAAAGGAATGAGTTTATATTTAACTAATAAGTTTCTTTTATTTTTTTTACAATAATTTTTATTTCTACTTTTTATTATTTATAAAATTCATCTAATAATTTCAAATTTAATCGTTATTATTTTAAAACTATTTCAAAATTTTGTTTTAAGATTTACTTAATTTATTGCTTATATTTCTTAAACTAATAATCTTTAATTAAAATTTTGAGCTTTTCTAAGTTAAATAGTAGAAATAAAGCAAGCCTTATGCTAATTAATTTTTAAATTTAATACCCAATAACTTTATTAGGGGTATAACTTTAAAAATTAAAATTTATGTCTTTTGATGTGATAATCGTATCCTTTAATAATTCAACATATTATTGTTATTTTACATAAAATAACTCATGATATTAATAAATGTTTAAGAATAATCAAATTTTAAGTTGATTTATTAACGATTAATATTATAAATATTGAAAAAGATTTGTTTAAGTTGTTTTCTCTGTATATTTTTTAATCAATTACTAATTATAAATATTTACTATAATATTTTTTCCTTAATTGAAATCTTTAATAAAAATTTAGAGATTATATGATAACACTAGCTTAATTGTTTTTTGTTTTAATAAAGAATAATTCTAAAAATTTATAATACTAGAAATAGATTACCAGAATATTTAATTTAATCATTAGAGAAGTTGTTAATTTTATTTCAAAAAATGCAAATTAATTTATATTACGTAATCAAATCGTTAATATTCTTATCGGTATTCAATAATGCAACAAAAGAATTAAAGAAAGTATATCTCAATCTAAATTTTTAGATCATCAAGAAGTCCTTCAAGAAATCCTAAAACCACTAATAATACATTAATCAGTAATACAATTAATATTTCTCCAAACAAATTTAATAAAAAGAGAGGTACCTCAGCAACAATTCCAACAGAATCATATCGTGTTGGATAGTAAGATTAAGTTAAAAAGCGTAAGGTTTCTAAAATAAACAAATAAATAAATTCAAAAAAACATAATTTTGTAAGAAATGAATCAAAGTTGAAAGAGATTCAAAGAAGATAAGAGATAGGATTGGATTTTTTAAACAAAATTTCTAAAAATAAAATTTAATTGCTTCTTCAAAGTATAGATTGCTATTTACATATAGGATAGAAAACTTAAGAGCTTTAAATATATTAACAAAATATGAGAAAAAAAGCATAGGGTTCATAGAAATTTGAGATACATGTAAAATAGAAATTTAAATTACATCAGTAATAAAAATAAAATGAACATATAAATAGAAAGATGGATACAAAAAAATAATTGCAAAATTATCGAAATATTTTTAAAAGTAAAACAATTTTAAATAATAGAGAGTAAATCATAATAAAGATGTAAAAAGAGAAGTGTGACATCAATAACTTAAAAGAGAGAATACACTAAAAGAAATTCAAGTTAAAAGACAAAAAATGAAATCACAACCTAACTCACTGTTTATGAAGGAGATTTGTTGGATAAATACAAAAAATTATAAGCTCGGTATTCAAAAATACATTAAACATTTTTTGATGAGAGTAGTTGCGTATAATATTTAACAGATACAGATCCATAAAATTTTCCTTCTTAACCAACCTTGAATAATATGTAATAAATTTTAACAGCAGAATTATCACTAAATAGAGATGAAAAAGTATAAATGAAAGAGTTTAGTATTCTTGAAAAAGAATTCAATAAGATGCATAATGCAGCTATTAAAATTTAGAAGGTTTGGAGAGGATTTATAACAAGAAAATAAATTTTGGATAAATAATTTGAATAATATTATTATAAATAACCAGAAGTTTTTAATGTAGAAACTTTCAGAAGTTAATTTCGATTTGATAAAGATGGTTAATCAATTTAATAAGGTAGAGAGCAAACTTTAAATTAACTTACTCATTAGACTGATATTAATATTATCTTAGATTTAGAGTCTGATAAAAGGGAAAAATAAGAACATAAACTTAGTCCTTAGATTTCGGATAAATTTGTCAAATATTAAAAATTGAAATGGCAAGAACTACTTGATTATATAACTAAGCTAGAAATACACAATTAAGGAAGATCAATTAATGAAGTACTTAAAGATTTGAAAGAATTCACTAAGTAATGTTCTAAAGATTGTTCACTTACCAAATTTCAAATTAAGAAATTAGAGATTCAAGTTCCTTAATTTTCATAAGAATCTATGGTTATGAGTGAAATTAGATAAGCAATGTGTTCTGAAAAATTAATTAAACAAATACTTACTCCTTCTATAAAATTAGAGAATGAATCCATTTTTGAAGAATAACCATTTCATTAATTTGCCTAAAAAAAAGTTGATGAAATTTTGAATAAATCATAAATGAATGAATTAGTGAAAATGAGAGAGTAAATCTTGTAGGAATAATAGGAATTGCAACATAGAATTTTGACTAAATAATTTTAATAGAAATAGGTATCTCCTAGAACTTTTGAGGAAAAATATTAAACTTTAGAAAAATGGGTTAATAAATAATATGAAGAGATTGAAAATAATAAAATTAGTTTCGAAAAAGGATGGCAAGGTTTATACGAAACTTTTATATATACTGAGAAAGAGTTAAAGTTTTTATAACAATAACAAATTTTGTAACTTTCTTAACTTTCTAATTCTCAACAATTTATAAATTATTCAATTTCAGCCTTTTCAGATTCTGCTTACAAAAAATCTCTTTAAGAAATATCAAATTATAATGAAACTCTTCTTATTAATAATTAAAATGATGAATTTGAGAACAATCGTTTATAAACTCATAATTCGACATCCTAAACTCCTGATGAAAAAGCTAAGTTTTAAAATTTTGAGATTAATAAGGAAACTATAGAATGGGATGATGAATAAATGTTGTCAAGTCAATAATTTATATAAAATCATTACATTAAAGATTCTAATATAAATTATGTAACTAGGAAAATTCTTTAAAAAGGGTTAAAATAAGTTGAAATAGATTATCTGCATTAGGAAGTATGAATAATCAATAATAAAAGATTTAAAATGAAGAACTAAGTTGGCTAAATTATGATGAATTTAAATTTTATATACTTATGGAGATATCAAATTTAGTTTTAAATGAATTGTTAGAAGAATTTTAATAGGAATGTATATAAAAATTATTTTGAATACTTATTATATATAACATTTATTTTTTTATAATATTATATTAGATAAAATTTAATAGCAATATATATGAACATTATATATTGGTTTACTTTTCTCACATCAATTCTATGCATTCAAATACAGCTTTCTAAATTTAGTATGTTGAATTCAATAGACGCTTTTGAATTATCTAATTATGCAAATGTGCAATATTATGGTCCAATTTAAATAGGGACTCCAAAATAACAATTAAGTGTTATTTTTGATACAGGATCTCCATATCTTTGGGTTACAAGTGATTAATGTTCAAAATAAAAATGTCATGATAGCAAAAAATTTCTAACTTTTAGATCATCAACATACAAAAACTTTTCTAAATCTGATGAATTTGAATATGCTTCAGGAAGTTGCAAAGGATATTGGGGCTCAGATTATGTTTAATTATTAGGGGATGATAACACAAGAGTAAATTCAAACATTTTATTCGCATATTAAGATTCTGGATTTGACGCAGTTAAATCAGATGGGATATTGGGCTTAAGCAATGATAAAGAGATTGATAATATATTTGATTTGGCATATTAATAAGGTTCAATAAAATCTAATCTTTTTGCAATGGAACTAAGAAATACAAGGGAATAATCACTATTTTATTATGATGATATCCCATAAGAGATTATGGATAATGTGGAATGGGTTCGAGTTTTGAGAAAAGACTATTGGGTATTTAATTTAATTAGAATAGACACTAAAAGTTTTAAATATCTATATTGATGGATATCCTCTTAAGACAGGAAATGTGAAAGAAGCATTAATTGATTCCGGAACATCACTTTTATATCTTCCTAAGAATGTTGTATATAAATTATTTGAAGAATTAATTTTATAAGATTGCAGATTATTCGATAGTAATGTATTTTGTCCTTGTAAAATACCAAGAGATAAGGTTAAGTAATATCCAATAATAAAAGTATTTTTGGAAGGATTAATTTTAGAATTAGATATTAATGATTATATGATGACAGATTTGTCATATTTAGGATTATGTTATATAGGAGTTGAGATAGAATCATAAATGAATATAATGATATTTGGTGATATTGTCATGAGGAAATATGTAGTAGTATTTGACAAGTAGAATAATAAGATAGGTTTTAAAGGGTATATAATAAAATAGTAAAATTAGTGTTGAAAAATTGAAGAACATAAAAACAACAAGTTATTATTGGATTGAAATAATAGGATTTGTAGCAATAATTGTTAGTTGTATACTTTTATAGATGAATTTATCAAAATTATGATATATTAATATAATTATTAAATATGGACGAATCCCTTAAACAATATCTACCAAAAGATTATAAAAGAAGAGCATATTATACTCCATAGGATGTATCAGTACATAATACAGCAAATGATTTATGGGTAAGTTTTTTTGGGAAGGTTTGGGATCTTACATAACTTGTCTAAGAAAATATATCATCGAAACTATGTGAACCATTAATCAAAATAGCTGGAAGGGATATCTCTTATTGGTTTGATAAATAAACAGGAGAACCTAGAAAGTAAGGAATTTTATGATTATTTTTGAATAGATAAGTAGATATCAACACAGGTTTGATTACTTATTATTGTCCATAAGGTAGATATTTACACATTCCATCATCTGATCCTTGTGGCGATGATGAACTTGGAAATCATACTAAACCGTAAAATTATAATAATTCATTATTTCAAGATGGTGGAACAACGAATAATAATATTGTATTGGAAATTTGAGTAATAAAACAAGAAAAATTAAAATTATCAATATGCTTACTGATCATGAAGACATTATTGAAGTAATTTTATATTGTAATTTAATCTTAAGGTTCCATCTGAAGAAACTATAAATGAAATTCTTGATAGATATAAACTAATTAATGCACATGCTGCCAGTTATACATGGAAAAGATTAGGCAAACCATTAGACATGGAATTAACTTTAAGTACTAATGGGATTCCTGATGAAACTGATGAATTTGAATAATTAGGAGTTCCAGAGAGTTAATGGTATATACCAGCAATACATTTATATTTTAATGATGATTTAACAGTGGCATGATGTCAATCATTATTATATATTATTATATATGATTAAGCGTAATCTTAAATGGAGAATTAATTCTGAAAGAGAAAATAATACACCTAAACCAAAATCCATTAGTATAGAATCGCCTAGAAATCCAACTTATTTAATCAGGAGAGAAATCAAATCTAAAAACTCTTAATTAAAAAGCCCCTAATCAACTTACACTAAATATGTTTTTTATTCTAATCAGATTAGTCCTGTCAGTTCCCCAAACAATTCTAAAATTATTAAACATGAAGAATAGCAAATTAATTATCCCAGCAACAATTTTAATTAAGACAGGAAGCATTCATTAAGTACTCTTTCTACAGAAAATCGTAGTTTTAAACATAAGTTATTAAATAATAATAAGCAACTTTAAACAGAATCTATAAAACTAATTACTTAACAATTTACAGAATTTAATGTTGATCTCCCTATCGATAATTTAGTAATTTAATAGCAAATAGATATTGAATGTTCAAATTTGTATATGTAACAAAAGAAAATTACATGTAATTACTTATTTGATGATAAGAAGAAAAAAAAATTAAAATAAATGATGCAGTAGTTTTAATCTAAAGAACAGAGGAAATCAAGTACATTGACAGATTAGGTCATGAAATTAATTAGAACAATAAAATAACCATCTTATAGATATGAGGCTCAATTAAGATCGTCCAGAATTTGGTTAGAAAATGCATGCTTTGAACCAGTAAAATTAAAATAAAACTACACATACTCTTAAAGTTAATTTAAGTTTTATTTTAGTTAATATTTTGATAAACATCTGAAATTTTATAGAATACTTGAAATAAATAATTAGCTTTTATAATTGATGAATAATCATCAATAAATAACTAAAGACCTATAAGAATAACGTAAAGCTGTTTTCTTAGATAAAATTTATAATGATGCAAGTATTGAGTATTATAAAACTGAAACATTGTTTAGATTTAAAGATGAAATATAGACCTATGGAATGTATATCATATATTTAATATTAGCTAGGATAGATTTTTTAAATGAAAATTCTTAATTGAGTATTTCAGTTCATCACAGCAATTCTGAATTAAAGGAGAGAGATAAAAAACATACTCTACTTGAAGAAGATGATGATTCAGAATTTTTCAAATATGCAAAAGTAAATGAATTTTCAAATCTAATTCTTATCTAACCAGAATTAAGTACAAGTCTAAAGAAATATTAATTTCAACAAGAATATATTATTTCTGAATTAGATAAAAAGTCTAAAAATTAATTATTATCAGTTGATTACACAGTAATAGATTAAAAAATATATAATGATAATATTAATCAAGTTGTACCCACTTTTTAGGAAGAATTTTCTAATTTAACATTTTTTAAAGTTTATACATAGCTTTACAATTATAATTATAAAGATATCCTAAATGGTAATTTTTACCATATAAATCCTATTGATGATTTAGAATATGAAGCTCCTAATTTTGAATCTATGGAAAGTGAGAATGATGAAAAAAAGAATAAAATTGATAAAAAAAAAATGTTATATGCATTAAAGAATTAAAAAAATTGGCAGAGTGGACTTCTTTAAAAATAAAATTAAACAATTTAGGAAATTAATTCTCAAAGAGCTTCAATATAAGTATTTTCTAATAAATAAAGTCCAGAAGTAGAATCTCCTTAGCTTCCATAAATTAACATTTTATAGCAATTTTCAGATAATTAAAGAAAGAGTAAAGGTATTAGAAAATCAATTCATGGTAGAAATGCATTATCACCTAAATCTCCAGGTTAACGAGATAAAGCATTATCATTTTAATAAGCAGATCTTCTATTTCCAAATCTAGTTGATATGTCTTAAGATTCAGTAGAGGAAATTAAAAGAACAAGTATGTCAAAATCTTAATAACAATTTTCAAAACCAATTTTTGATATCAATTCATTTTAATATAGAAGTTTAAAGAAGGAGGATTCTGGTAAGAATCTTAAGGAATTTAAAATGGTATAATCTATTAAATCAGATTCTATGTCAGATTCAGTTAATTAGAATATGAAATAAATTCCATTATAAAATGTAAGGTTTTATTTAATTATAAGAAAGGTGCAAATCCTTAAAATATTAAATTGGAGACAATGTTACTTTATGATTAAATGATAAAAAGAAATAGATCAAAAAAGAAAATAGCTTCTATTTTAATTTAGCATGGATTGCTAAGTTAATTTTAGGAGTTTATGGATGTTCATAGAAACTTCAATTTAAATAGTTATACATAAGATGGAATTCCATTTATTTCTTTAGCTGCTGCAAATGGACATGAAGGCATTATTCGACACATGCTAAATTACAATGTTAATTTAAATTAAATGGATGTAAGATTAATTATTTTTAATTATTTTAAAGTAAGATGGGAATACTCCTCTTTATTATGCCATGATTCATAACAATTTTGAGGTAGCTGATCTTCTTATTTAAAATGGTGCAAACCCTTATTTAAAAAATTAAGGAAAATGATCAAGATTTGATTAATTTATATATACTTTTAATTATAAGAGTCTAAAAATATTACAAATAATATTCATTAGCAATAAGGACAATAGACTTTTGTGAGAGGTTTAAGTTATCGCCCATATTTTCTAGATTTTTAAGAATTGTTTATCCAAAAAAAATTACACAAGGGATTCAAACAATTCTGTAATTGCATTTAATACATCATGCATTTAAGTTATTATTCATATAATTAATTAACTAATTATTCTATACCTCTTATTTTAAGTTATTTTACAAACTCTGGACATAATTTCATCCCGCAAAAACAAGTAAAATGAGGTTAAATATCTAATAGTTGTTCTTAAAAAAGGTCAAATAGGCATTTTTCATGAAACATATGCTGTCCAGTATCACACTGGATTATTATTTTATTCTAAAAATTAAATTTTCGACATTTTAAACAATCCTAATCCTTATTATAATTTTTGCTCACACTTCTTTCCAATTTTATACTATAAGGACTTTAATCTAAAGTTTTAATACGACGATTGCAACTTTTTTTAGGAGATGATAAACTTTTATTTTTATTTTTATTTCCAAAAGCTTTGATCTAAAAATCCAATTCTTTCATTAATTTATTTTGTATATAAATAGGTACTACATTTTTGTGGACAAGAACATCTTTAATTAACTACATTTTTTCATATTTCCAATCAGAGTGAAAATGCATTGTAATTAATAAAATTTAAATAATTACTTTTTATTAATAAAGAATTTAGTAAAGTCAAAACTAATAATAAGAATTGAATATAATGTGATTCGATTCAAGATTAAAACAAATCTACAAGTATTCTAAATCAGATATATATTAATAACAATTAATAATAATTTTATATTATCATTATTTAATTTCTCCACAATCAACAATAACAATATTAACTTTAGGTTTATCTGATTCTGTTTCAATTTTTTCAATTACATCAAGTAATTCAATTCCCTTAGAAACTTTACCAAATACAACATGTTTACCTAAATAATTAAAATATATTAATTTACCATCAAGCCAAGCTGCTTCTTTAAAAAGAATGAAAAACTAACTTCCATTAGTATTTACACCAGCATTAGCCATACTCAAATATCCACGTCCACTATGTTTATGATTGAAATTCTCATCTGCAAATTTCTCTCCATAAATGCTTTCACCCCCAGTACCATCTTAAAAATTAAAAATAATATTTACTTCCTGCTGTAAAATCTCCTCCTTAAAGCATGAAATCTTTGATCAATCTATGAAATTCACATCCTTTATAATGTAAAGGTTTTCCTGATTTACCAATACCTTTCTCTCCTGTACAAAGTGCTCTAAAATTTTCAACAGTTTTAGGACAGGATTTTTTGAATAATGTGAATTCAATTCTTTTAGGTTCATCATCTCCAATTTTAATATCAAAATATGTAGTTATATTTGTAGGATCACTTTCTACTAAAGACACAGGAGTAGCCTCTTCTTCATAATAAGATTATTAAAATAATTTTCCATATATATCTTTCTCTTTTTATTTTGATATATTAATCTTTTTTTAGACTTCATGCATTTCTTCAACAACAGCTTAATTATTTGGATCAATAGTATAAGCTGCTTTCAAATCATTCTTAGCTTCAGTATAATCTCCTAAAGAACTATGTGCAATTGCTCTTCTATAATATGCCTTTACTAATTAAACATTGTTTGGCTTATCTTAAATAACCTTTGATGCATGATCCTTAGATTCTTTATAATCTTTTGTATAAAAATAACAAAGACTAAGATTTAAATGTGAAGCCAATTTTTATTCATGAGCAAAATCTGTTTCAGCTTCAAAATAATTAACTGCCTCAAGATATTATTTAATAGCTTCAGAATAATTCTTAGCCTTAAAAGCAATTGTTCCTAACTCTTTAAATTATTTGGCTTCATTAGTTTTTTCTTCATCACTCATTTCCCTTATTGTATATTAAAAATTAATTTTTACCATTTTTGCTTCTTTTTCTCTTTGAAATCTATTAATTATACATCAAAAATAAGAGTTGCACCACCTGGTATTTTAGGAGGACTCCCTTAATTTCCATATCCATAATCAGATTTAATTTTTAATTATGCCTTTTCACCCTTCTTCATTGATGCAACACCTACATCCCATCCTTTAATTACTTCTCCTTCACCTAAAGTAAAACTAAATGGATCTTTTCCTTCATTTGAATCAAATACTGTTCCATCCTCTAATTTTCCAGTATAGAACATCTTTTATATATAATCTATCAATTACCTCACATACATTTCCTTATTACGGTTAATCTCCTTAACCTTCCTCAAGAATTAGCTTTTAAATTCCTTCATCTTCATTTAGACTTATGTATTCAGCCATTTCTATTAGAATTTTCTAGAAAAATTAAAATTATTATTAAACACATTCATAGAATTCATAAATTTAATATATTCATCAATTATTATATATTATCACATGTTATAATTATTTTTACACTCTCAAAAAAATTGCAATATATTTTTATTCACTTCAAAATTAATCAAAAATCTTTCATAAATAAGAGGGCTCGAATATTTGAAATTAAGTACCAATTCATCTATGTAGATAATTTCAAAAACTTATCTCTAATCCTTAAATATTTATATATTTATAAATTAATTATTTATCAAAACTCAATTCTATATATTTTTTATTAAGAAAACTTATTATACTGATTTTAGAGTTTTATCAATAACTAATATTAATGATATTCTATAAATTGTAATATAATTATGATAAGAATTTTTATGTTATTTCAAGTAAAATTGATATCTAAATTATTTTACAAATAAAATTAATATTTGTTGTTCAATTCAAAATAGTAATTATATAAATTAAAAAAATAGTCTAATTAAATCATGAGCAAACCTGGAATAGGATTGAATAAACTTCATATTGTTTTTATAGAAAAATCTTTTGGAGATGATGATGAAGGAAATACAACAAGAGATTATTCTGAGAAAACTATTTTAGAAAATAAAGTACGATTTGCTGATAACACTTTTATTTGTTTATTTCATCAATAAGATAAAGTAACTTAAATTAAAGATGGTAAGAAGAAAATTATGATTGAATGTTTAAAATGAAAGAAAGTTAAACAATGAAAATTATAATATTCTCTGAATTCTATTTTTATTATTATCAATCTTTTTATGAAGAAACAATGAAATTTAATATTTTAAACTTAAATACTTCAAATTAACAAAACCTTTCTTCTCTAGTCATCATTCATTTGATTCCATTCATGAGCATTTATTCGAATTTGATTTAATTAATATTTTTTAGCTGCTCCTTCAAGAATCCATTTATTAAAATAATGAAAACCAGTGTAATGTTTCTTGATAAAGACAATTATGTACCATATCATAAGTCACATATAAAGAATTATCTACTGATATAATTTGATTTCTCGTTTAAATATAGAAATCTACGTATTGATTGTCAAGTAAGTAATTAACTTTATATTCAATCTAAGATTTATCAAGAAATTGCATTAAATTTTTGAACTACTAAGAAAATTTTTAATTTGTCAGAAATTTTGTATTAACTAATTTTTTTCCATTCTCAATAATTTATTTTCCTAACTATTATTGTTTTTAATTAAATTCTTAAAAAATATACGAAAAATTCTTACATAAATCTAAATGTGAACTAAAATCCAAGAGATTATAGATATCCATAAATTGACGAAATACAACAGGCATTTTAATAGTTACAGTTATATTTGGAAACTTTTAAACTCTAAATTTACATTATTATATACATACTCATGCATTAGATGTGTAATTAATTTTTCATATCTATAATAGTAACTCTTGTCTAAGTATTTCTTCAAGTATTATAAACAAATTAAAACACTCCAAAATGTTTATACAAATGCTGTTAAATTGACTTAAAATCTTTATTCATGTTATAACTTATCTAAAATATTTAATATTAATGATTCATTAAAATATCCAAGTTTTGTAAAGGAATTAAGTATTTCTATTATTTCAAAATTATTATAATATTGTTATTTTCTTGAAATTTATTTGGTTAAAGCACCAAATAAAGACTCAGAGTAAATTTTTTATTCTGATAAATTCCTTACAATTTCAACAATTTAGACTTGTTTTAAATTTTCTATTTACTTTTTGATATAATCAGCTAAAACAATAATAGTTTCATCATTATTAAGTTTGATTTTCTTTGAAAATTCAATATAATCTAAACAAATTGAAATCTAAGGCATTTCCTGAGGTTTTAAATTATGACATTTTGAAAGCATTTTAAAAAATAATTTATCATAATTCCTAATAAATTAATATTTTGTATCAAATTATCCAATAGTTTTTAGAATATTTTTTAAACCATCTCTCATATTAGTGATTGTTAGTAGATGGTCGATATTATTAAAATATATTTCAATAAAATCTTTTAATCCATCATCTTCATATTTTAGATTGTTATATCTCCAGCCATCATAATCCAATAAAACCATTAAACCATCTAAATAATGTGTTTTAGTTTGATTTATGTCAAATTTTGTTATTTCTAGTTTTAATTAATCTATCATTAATTTTAATGATACATCATCTGGTATCTGACGCAATTTTGCTTAATTTTTCATTTAATACAAATATATTTTTGATTTCATCAAAATAGCCTCATATGATTCCAATTCCACTTAAACTGCTAAATTTAAAAAATTATTGATGACTGTTAAATTTTTGAATTAATGAATATTTGTTTCAGTGATGAGAGTAGCCAATTATAATTTTTCTAAATCGGATAAGCTATCAATTTAATTACAAAGTCTTTAACATATGACATTTATTAAATTAGTCCTTAATTCTAATTAATTAATTTATTCATTAAATTTTAAAAGTAATCCTATGTTAATTTCAATGTTTTTTTAAGACTAATACACTTGCTTTGAAAATAACTCAATTAATTCTCTGATGGTTTGTAAGACAGTTCCTCTCATATTATGAAGTGAATGTTTAGGGCAAGTAAGAATAAATGTAAACAATAGATTTAATGAGAAATTAATATTAAAAGAATCATCTATAATACTTCTATCAATTAGAACTAAAAACCACTTGGCTATTTCTTTCGTTAATCTATCATTCAAGTATTCTATATTATTTAAATTATTTATAATCCTTTCTAATTAGTCAAATGATGGAAGCATTTACTCACTTTTTTTTTTTATTTCTTAATTATAGTGAGATTTACTGTTTAATCTCAATATAAAATCATAAAAATAAGACTCTGGTAAACAATCCAATTTAATATGTCGATCAATAAATTCATAGAAAGGATCATCATTGTAAGAATCTAAAGTTATTATGAAAGAAGATATTTTTAATTTTTTATCATAATCTAAATTTATTACTTTATCAAAAAAAGATTCAATACATGCTTTGATATTTTCTTATAATTAAATAGGTTTAAAACTCTCATGATTTTTATGACAATAATGTAATTATTCAATAATTTTTTAAAATTGATTGTCATTTATTTAATTTAGATCTAAAATCTCATCTAATTTATTTTGTTTTATAATGATTTTAATAAAATCTGTTTTTTACTTCACGCTTAAATGATTTTAATTCTCTTTTAAATTTTTGATACATATAGAAATGATATTTTAATTTTATTCACCAAACTCAATATCAAGAAATTTAATTAATAAATTATTATCTAGAATATCTTCAAAATTAATTTTGTTTAATTATATTTACAAAATTTCAGGTTCTGGTTAATTTTTCTCTTTTTAAATTTTTAACAATATGTATAACTTCAATTAATCAGTATTAGTTAAATTATCAGATTCAAAAGAGTGACATAATTTTAAATAAAGATCATTTGGGAATGATTCAGGAAGTTCAGAAAATGCTTCTAAAAGTTTCAATTTTGAAGATGATGAGATTTAATCAAAATTTTAGATAAATTTTTCAGAAAGTGTAGGTATTATTTCTGGAATTCTTTTAAAAGATGAATTTTAATCTAATTTCATAGAAGCAAGTTAATAAAATATAGCAACTAATCCATTAAAATTGATATTTTCAATTAGATTAATTAATTATTAACTTGTTTAAAAGGCTAAATCTGAATGATTGTTCTATTTAAGATTAATATATTCAAGATAACAACCTCTTATGATTTAACATAATGATTGTGCATTAAAAGTTTAGGTTGATAAATGGTGTTTTAATATTTTACCAATATGGACCATTTTCCATCCTTATTTTGAATAAAATGAAAACACATATGGCAATTATAAATATGTATAGTTTTTTAAATTTTAATCTATATGTTTTTTTATTTAAATGCTATAGGATTTATTTTACAATTTTAGAAATAATTAAATGATTGTAAGAGATTGTTCTGAAGTCAATTTATCAAAATTAGGAATAATTTTTTCTTAGATAAATGCATCTAATTAGGAATCTGATGATATTTGGTTATAATTGATAATATTCATTAATTAAAATGCTGCAAAATGAATTTATTCATATGATAAATTATTTTTATTATAAGCTTGAATGACATCTTCTGTTGTTTATGCATTTGCAAAATGTTAATAAACTTCAAATTTACTAAGTAAGTCTTTAGAGTCAAAGTCAGTTTCTCCTTCAGATAAATAATCCTATTCTTTTAAAATTGATTATTATGAGAAGCATACAATACTTCTTTGAAATAATCTGAATGAGAGCTTTGATGTGAATAAAAATTTAAGCATAAATTAAATTTTATATAAAAATTATTTAATAACAAATGATATAATGATTGTAATATTTTTATGATTGATAAAAATTAGTAAAGATAGAAATAATTTGTAAAAAAAGCAAAAACATAAATAGCATCAAATTTTGTTCATAATAATTTGAATGAATTCCTCTTCCGAAATTTTACCATCTTTATCTTCATCACATTCTTCAAGAAATTCATTCCATAAGACATCATCCACTCCTTCCATCACCTATTAAAATTCCTCTTTTGATATATAATTATTTCCATCCTATGGATATTATGAATCGTATTACTATGTCAACAATTTTAAAAGCTTATTTGATTTTATCTTCAGTTAATATCCTTTATTATTATAAACAGACAATAATAAATTCAGTATAATCTATCTTTCCTGATAAATTAGTGTCTATTTATTTAATAACTTTATCCATCTATTCATCTAATGAATCAACAAAGTAATCTTTATTTAATAGTTTTTCTTAAAATGCTTAAATTAATTCATCTTTAGAAACAGTACCATCTCCATTTTAATCTAATTCTTTGAACTTTTTTTATATATCTTCAACCTCATTTTATTAAATCATTTAGCATGCCATAAATGTTAAAAGTGATTATTTAAGTTTACTTTTAGCACTGAATTATGAGAGATTTTTTAAAAATTGTTTATCAACAAGATTGGTATGATTATATTCAATCATCCAAGGATGATTTAATGCATCTTAAGCACTGATTCTTTAATCAACGTTTTTACACAGCATTTTTAAAATAAGTTATTTAGCAGGTTCACTAATTTTAGACCATTCTGCAGCTATAAATAATAATAATAAAATACTATGAAATGAAACTTAAGCTTTTACTATTTTTTGATAAATATCTGCCTCCTTTTTACCATAAAATGGTGGATATCCTGCTAAAAGAATAAATAACATCACTCCACATGACCATACATCACATTTCTCATTATATTATTTTAGTAAAACTTCAGGTGCAATATAATAAGGCTATGATTTTTATTTAATTAATACAGTTCCTAATCTTTTAGTCATTTTCTTATTTTTTTCAAATCTTCTAGAAGTTCCAAAATCAATTATTTTTAATTAAGCATCTTCATCGTTAGATGTAAATACTATATTTTCTGGTTTTAAATCTCTATGAACAATTTATTTTGTATGACAATAAGCTACACCACTAAGAATTTAACACATTATTTTAGCTGCATCTTTTTCACTGAAAGTTTTAGCTTTCTTGATTCTATCAAAAAGTTCACCTCCTTAAAGATACCTAATCTTATAATCATTCATTACTCTGTAATAAGATAATAGTATTTTTCATCTTAAAAAAGTTCACTTAATTTAACAATATTTGGATGATCAAGATCTTTTAATATATTCATTTCTTAAAACAATTTTTATTCTTCCTCTTCAAATAAACTATCTTTTCTAATCGCTTTCATTGCTCTAATGATTCCTATTTCTCTAATTGAATCAAATACCTGTTCTTTTGTTAGTTACAGTAGAAACCTGACCATAAGCCCCTTAAGAGTTAATTAACAAATACCTTCTCCTAAGGCTTTACCTAAAGAATATACACTATAAATATCTTGCCGTTTCATAGGAATGAACAAATCAGGGCTTACTTTAAGCAGAGTTATTTTTTCTGAAAAAGGAGAAATTTGAAAAATAAATTACTTGTAGCTGAACTCTAATATTTCTTATTGTTCTAGTTAAAATCTATTGGTTTGGTTTCTATTTGATTTTCATTACCTTAAATTAATCGAGAATTTCTTTACTATTCGTAATTTCTTACGCACAACAATAGCTTCCCATAATAAAATACGAAATAGGTAAAGATGTAAATTAAAAAAAAGATTGAAATTTATGTTTATTTTTATTATGAATGTCTAAATACATTTGCGATTGTATTATTCTCAATGGAGAATCATAACTTATTACTTATATTTTAAATAATAATATTTATATTGTATAATGATAAAAAACCCAAATCCTTTAAATGTGAATGAACCAAAATTAGGAATGTAGATCACATAGCGTAAAATGCTAGCAGAAGTAGTGAATAATAAGACTGTTGAGAATGCCAAGATAACAGATATTTGTTTTAACAATTAGAAATATAAAACTTAATTAGCTAGTATAGATATTTCTGGAGTCTTGAAAATTTGGGATGTTGCATAAAATAGATTGATTCAATAATTTCATGCTTCAAATATGTGGCTAACAACAGTAGATGTAGAAAAGTAAGAAGGAAAGAAAGTAGCTTGTGGAACGTTAGATGGGAAAGTATTAGTTTATGAGTAAATATTGTAAACTAAAAAAAAGAATAAATTAGAGTAATAAAAAAGGAAAGAGCTTCAGCAAAGACAAGCCTAACATTGAATTGTTTGGTCACTCAGGTTCAATATAATGTGTTTAGTTTTTGAGTCCATAATATATAATTGTATAGAATATAATATTATATAGGCAGGATCAACAGACTCGTTAGTATCATTGTGGGATTTAGAAAACCCTTAGAGATATTTAGCTATCCATCAATAACATACTGGAGATGTTCTATCTTTACATGCCTATGAAAATGATAGCAATATTTTTATATCTGGTTCTAGTGATTTAACTTGTAAAATTTGGGATATTAGAGTTAAAAAACCTGTATAGGCAGAATATAAAGGTATTAATTTCTATTTAGAATAGGTCATGAATCAGCAGTAAATGCAGTGAAATTTATTTAAATGCCCTAACCAACTACATTCGTTACTGGTAGTGATGATGCATCAATAAATTTATGGGATTTAAGAATGAAAGATCCTATAGTGTCATTTTAGGATAGTTGTTATTATGATTCTATTTATTCAATTGCTATTTCATTAAGTGGAAGATATGTATTTGCAGCTAGTGAAAATTCTACCTTGAAGGTCTTTGATGTTTTAGGAGATACCGATGTCTATACTAATTTGGATGTTGGACTTTAATAAAATGATGGATTAATTAAATCTATTGATATCTCAGCTGATGGCTATGCTTTAGGAATGGCATTGGGTACTAAAAGCAACCATAAGGATTTATTAGTGATTATGTGATTATTTAAAGTATATAAATTAGTTATTAAATTTTAATATTAAACAAAATGATGTTATTTGATAGTTTGTTATCTAGTTTAATGAATAAAAATAAATAAAAAATTAATATAATTCATTAATAATGTATATTATGTTTATTATTTTGCACTTAACGTAAGTGGCATTATCACAGAAGTATATATCAATCATATATAATTAAGACTTACAACTTTGTTTGGATATGATGCTTCAGGTAATATTTGTCCAATGGGATTTGCTGATTGCCAACCTACTTAATATATTCCATGTGAATTTGGTTACTTTTTATATATTGATCCTTTGAATTAACATAATTGTTTACCATGGTATATATTTATTTCTTAAGTTAGTCCTTATTTTTTGTTTTAAGACAATTTAAATATTTTATGTGGAGACTGTTTGGAAGATCCTTACAATTGGCAAAAATCTAGGACTTGTACATATAATTACAGAATTCAGACAGGATCTGCTGATGAGGTTTATGTAAGAGAAAATGTTTAAAAAACAATATTTTATATTTAAGAAAAGGCGACAAGTATTGTGAATCCGACCAGACCTGTAAAATTCAAATATGAGCTTTTAATTTGTGAGGGATGTAGATAATTTTGTATTTTGGAAGCAAATACGGATAATAATAATGTAGGAGATGAATAATATGATGAGAATTAAAAAGATGAAGTAGATGAAGGAGATGAAGTAGATGAAGTAGATGAAAGAGATGAAGGTTAATCATGTTTTGATAATAATTAATAAGATAATTAATACAATGGGATTACCTGTTTAGATCATTATTATTATATTGATTTTGAATGTAGAGAATGTTAAAAAAATTGTAAATCTTGTAATTCTAAAAAATGTAAAAGTTGTATTGATGGGTATTATTTGGACAGATAATCATTTTGTTAGATGTGTTAGCCTAGTTGTTAAAAATGTGAATATTCTTCATTTGATAATATATTATTATGTTTGTAATGTTCAAGGTCAGATGAAGAGTATTTAGTTGAAAGTCCTGATTTTTAAAATTGTTAAACTTGTGAATATTAATGTGCAAGATGTGAATACATATCATACGATTATTACAAAGATGAAGAGGATGGCTATTTAGAATATGGTACAAGAGATCAATACTTTGATCCTAATATCAATTATATACTTAGATGTAGACAGTGTGTTTCATCATCATAATTTATTTCTTATGATGGATAAACTTGTGAAATCTGTTCTATTTAAAATTGCTAATTATGTTATTATGAATTAAATAAAGGCACCACTCTAGATTATGATTTTATTCCTGCTGACACTCCTAAAAATTCAGATGTCTTATGTCACTTATGCAAAGAAGGATATTATCGAAAAGATAATAAAAAAGAATGTTTAGAAATACCTTCTGATCCTGATACTACCTGTAGTTCTTACAATGAATTTACTTAAACAAAATGCACATTCTGCAATGAATATCCTTTAGATTTATAATCTATAGATAATCCAACATGTTTGATGATCAAAAAATGTTCTAATTTTATTAAAAATTGTGATAAATGCTTTTTCTAAAAATAACCTGAAAATCAAGATGCAATTATGTCTATTTGTACTTAATGTAGAAATGGATATTATCCTGATATATTTTCAGGAAAATGTTTAAATTGTCCTATTAATTGTAAAACTTGCTGGCAATATACTCCTAGTTATAATTTTACATCCTATTTATAAACTTATTAAAAAATTACTCAAGAAGATATTTCCAACTTCATACTTGAACAATTATAAGATGCAAAATGTACTCAATGTTAAGAAGGATACTTCTTATACAATAATCAATGTATTGGATGTACTAGTAATTGTAAATATTGCTATTATGATGATGAAAAAGCATTCTGCTACTATTGTGGATCTCCAGATTAATAATCTATAGTTTCAGACATGAGTGAATGTTAAGAATGTCCAAGATTTTGTGCAGCTTGTAGAGATAGAGAAGATACTGATCCAATTGTTAATAGATACTTTAATCCAGTTAATCAAATACTCAATAAATATAGCAGATTATGTTATAAATTAGATTCAAAAGCTATGCAAACATAAAATTATTGTGTTTTTCTTGATAATTAAATTGGATTACCAGTCAGTTGTTAACATCCTGATTGTCCTTAAAATAAATAATATAAATGTTTCAAAACAGAGGAGCTTAATATAGATTTTCATTGTGATGAAGATCTTGATTAAAAATATAATTCTGCTAAATCTAAAACTTCCATAATAACTTTTTAGGAACATGACTCTTTTGCCAAATATCAAAATTATAATGAAAATACAATCAAACAATTAATTATCAAATTAAATTTTATTGGGAATATTTGTTAATTCAAAAAAGAATCTTAATTTAAATTTTCCTTTCTCTAAAATGTATACTCCTTATAGAAAGTTAAATTAAAAATTAACTAAGACTTGAATTCATTATAAAAATGGATAGCTACTGGAATTATTTCCTTTGTTGGTGTATCTGAAGTTTAAATCAATAATGTTTAAATCTAATACCATCATTTTGATAATAAGAATAGCCCAAAAGAATTTGGATTTCTTATTAAAAACTAAGAAGAAACTCAATTTAGTCTATAAAATGTTGAATTTATTAAAGATAAATTTAGTAATCAAAAACTTATTATAAGTGTTGATAATCCTATTAATTTTACTATGTAAAATGTTAAAATCTAAAATATTGAAAGGAAAGATTAAGTTGTCTCCTTTAATTATACCTTAAGGTCTCTCAGCTATCAAGATTTTAAAATAATCAGTGTACAACTTGTTGATTGTGACTATAACTATTCAACAATTCTTGCTTTTAGTAACCTTGCTCCATCTCTATTTTTAAAAATAAGCAATTTAAAAATAACTGGAGCTTATTTTACAAGTTCCTCTATTATTAGATCTATCTTTCAAACAAATAGCTTATTTTATTAAATTGATAAACTTACTTTAATATTTAATTACTTTTCAAATAGTACTTTATTCTAATTAGCCAATCTAAGGACATCAGAGTAGTTTTCAAACATTGATATATTACACAATCGTTTTATTAACAGCAAAGCATTTCTAATGAATTCATTCTAGTTTTCTTAATTTTATTTTGATAAAAATATACTTTAAAACAACTCTATAATATTTTAAACTGTAAAGGAATTGAAAATAAACGTCTAATTACAGAGCTCTTTATTGGAATATAAATTTGATAAAATTAAGATCGTAAATAGTAATTGTTATACAATTAATTGTTTCATGATAATGAGTACACCAATAAATACATATTCTATTACTTCAAATTTGACGATTAGCAATTTTTAGATTTCTAACATAGGTTTGTTTAGCATAAGTTAATAAAATACTTTACTCACTACATCAGCATTAATAAGTTGGAATAATTTTTAAGATATCAAATTATCAAATTTGTAATTTGATAATATCTAAGGCCTTACAATATTTTATATATCAATTCTGAAAAGCTTAACAATTACTACTTTAAAATATGATTGGAGTTAATCCAATTATTATCAGTAAAAGATAAATCCAAAAAATAATCTAATTCCAACATCTATAGATTGTTCAGTGCGTAAAATTACACGCCCTTCATTTTCTTACATTTTATTTTTTATAGATTAATTTTCAAGTGCTATTAACATATCTGATATTTTGATCCAAAGGTAATTATTAATAGATGCATCAATATTTCATATTTAATCCTATGATATTGCCTATATAAATACTACTAAAGGTAACATTACTGAGAGTATTATTTTAGAAAGATTTTAAATATTAAATAATTCTTTAGTGTCTACTAATAGAGGTTTTTTTTCTGGCTGTATCAATATTATCTCAAATTAAATTTAAACAATTATTATGAATAATCTAAACTTTTAGAGTAATCATCTTCAATAAATAATATCTAAATAGACAATCCCAATTGCAACTCTATTTTAAATATCCTCATCAAAATCAACTATTAGATTAACTCAATTATTATCTGAATACAATAGAGCTATTAAAAGTGATTTTGGTTTGATAAAAATTAATTGCTAAAAAATAATAATTTCAAACGCAACATTTAGATACACGAACATTGTCGATAAATTATGGGTTAAACGTATTGAACCAAATTAAATAATAACAGATAATGATCTTAAATCATTCTTTGAAATAAAATCTTATGGAGCAATTATGAACTTAAAAACAATTGAAGCTACAATTTCTTAGCTTTTTATTAATTATACAAGTGGAATTTAAGCTGGTATTAAATTATAAACTATTGGAACATCGAATATCTTAATTAAAGATTCTTAATTGTTTAATATTTTTAGTAGTCTTGAATTGAAACATTCATCTATAGGAGGAAGTTTATACATAGATTCAACATTATCAAATTTAAATTGCATAATATCAAATATTAGTATAATAAATAGTAGAGTTAGATAAACGGGAGGTTGCATTTACATTTTAGCTTCTAATTTAAATTAAAATATCACAATAGTAAAATCTAACTTTTAAGAGTGCTAAGCCTTAGAAACATCATTTATGAAAGTTGATTTTCTTGCAGATGCTATATTTTAATAGGTAACTCTACAAAATGTGAATATTTAAGATAATAGCATCGATAAATTAATTAGTGTTGTGCCATAAATTTAAATATTTGAATAATTATTTTTTTTAAAAACTAGTAGTGTTTATACTCAAAATAATGGAAGGCTAATTATAGGTGACACATAATTTAATTAGATTAATTATACATCTGCTCTATCATTAAGTTAGATAAAATTTTTGTATATCAACAAATTATAGATTTTAAAAGGATATTTATTTTATAATCCATTAATTTCATTAAGCTTCTTACAATCTGGAGGACAAGCATATATTGGTAATTTGGAAATAATTTAATTTAATGAAACAGATTCATAGATGAATTCATCAAATTGTCCTTCTGAATTTCCTTAATCTTTTACATACATAATTCCAGAATAAAACTGTGATTCAATACTATAAATTTAAGAGTAGTTAGATGAAATAGATAATTAAGATGAGATATATGAATATTATGATGAAATTTTAGAAAACCAATATTAAGGATTAAACTCTAATAGTAAATATATTCCAATAAATATTTAAAAGGCCAAACTTGATAACTAATCATAAATAATAGATATTATGATTACTTTAAATTAATAACTAGTAAGTTGTTTAATAAACAGCATTTTGATTCTAAGTCAAAAATTAAATTTGGATAAATTTACATCATTGTTTTATGTAAACGAGGTTAACGATAATAGTTTGATTAAAATAAAAAAAATGTAATTTGTTAAAAATTAATGCTTATAATGCAGAGGAGGTTTACTTTAAGTCCGGAGTATTTCTCATTCTAACTTAAAAGAGTTGATTTTTATCTCTGAATTTTTCTGTTAATATAGCATTGTTGGTTATTATGGTTGTGCATCACTGTTAGTAGATGAAAAGATTAATGATGTAACATTATTATCTAAGATTATTGATAATGATATTAAAGGTTCACGACTATTATAATCATCTGATATAAGATCATTAAATTATACTATATTCATTTCTAATTATTAATGTATTAATAATTTGGCAAGGGCTGGAACATGTTTAAACTTGAGAGGTGTGACAGTCATTATTTAGGATAGTTTATTTAGTATTAATAATGCAACTCTGGTTGGAGGATCTATATATTTTGATAATTTAGGTTCTAATAATATGTATTTATAAAATAATCAATTTATTAATAATTATGCCTAAATAGGAGGTGCAATTTATTTATTAAATTATTAATTAAGTAACACTGAAAATTAATAAATAAATTTTGATAAAAATTATGCAGATGATGGTGGAAATGATATTTAAGAACTCACAATATAATAAACTTTGTAATTAATAAATATTCCTTTTGAAACATAAACTTATTTAGATTTTGATGGTGATGAATCTGATGATGGAGCAATAGACAATAGTAGTGCCATAATTAAAGATAATATAACTTTGGAATATCATAAGATAGGAAATTATCCAGAATAAACAAATTTATTGATTTTGCCATCAGGACAAAAAATTTCAAAATACTTATATTTTTATGAGGTTACATAAGAATAGGTTCCATTTGAATGGGTATTTAGAATAATAAATCTGAATAGATTTGGAGATGTTATAAAGAACGGTATATCAAATGAAAGTTGTACAATTGATGGTAGAATTCAAAATTCATCATCATATGATGTATAAAAATCTTTTAGTAATAATTTCACAATTCCATCAAAAGTGTATTATAATTAAGAGAAGGGAGGATTTGATATGGATGATTTGATTCTGATTTTTGATCCTTTATCTTCCGATAGTTTGTATTTAGAACTTCGATTTATATGTAATTCTGTTGCATTACCGATATACAATCCAAAACCACCTTATTAAATAGTAGGATATAATAGGAATTATGAATTGTATGCTAGAGTTCGTACATTTCCATGTTAAATTGGTGAAGCTTATGATTCTTAATAATGCAAAGCATGTTAGAAATCAGATATGGCTTATTCAGTAAAGTTAGGATCAGTTATGTGTAAATAAATGAATAGATTAACAATGAAAACAGTCACACCAACTGGTATAAATTTAATTTAAGGATATTGGAGACCAATATATTAAAATGATTAGATTGAATATTGTGTAAATCTACCTAATAATTGTAATGGAGGATGGATACCTGGTAATCCATCTTGTTACACAGGACATGTTGGAGCGTTATGTGAATCATGTGATATATATATGATCTAAACTGAAGAGAGATGGGCTCCATCCGATCCATATAAATGTGGATTATGTAAAGATTCAGAGAAATTTAATTTGATCATAATAATTGCTATTTCTATTTTAACTATGATTTCAACAATAATGTCAGTAAAAGGAACTTTTGAAGCTCTTCAATTATAAATTGTAGAAAAAGCAACTATTATGATAGGTGTAAGACTATAATAACATTCTTCTAATTTAGCTACTATTGTTCAAACTCTAACTAATTATTTTTAAATTGTTTAAATTGTTATGACTTTTTAATTATAGATACCAAGTGGTGTTTAAACTGCTACATAAACAGCTGGTAATCCAACTGGATCTATGGCATATTCACTTGATTGTTTACTAATAAAAATTACAGAAATAGAATTATTATATTTTAAAATGATTTGGGCATTAATAATGCCATTGAGTTATTTGGGTGCCATTATTTTTGGATATCTTATTATTTGTATTATTGGAATTACTAAATTCTCATAGTCAATAATTTATACTGCATTAATTTATATGTTTTTATATATGCATCCAACTCTTGTATAAGGTTTTATCTCTTAAGCTTCCATAAGGACTATAAGTGGTCTATAATGGGTTAAAGCTGATGTTGCATATAGATATGATAGTGATCTTCATAATTATTGGATGGCTCGCTTTATTGGACCTATGCTCATTCTTTGGGTTATTTTATTACCTGGATTATTTATGTTCATGGTTTGGCGTAAAAGAAATAAACTTGAGTTAATGCAAACTAAAATGACTCTAGGATATTTCTATAGAGAATACTCTAAAGATAGTTATCTTTGGGAATTTGTTAAGATATTTCAAAAAGAATTCTTTGTCATCATTTTAGTCTATTATGAAGAATATGTTATTATAAAAGGATTACTTATTGTTTTAGTCCTTTTTATCTATGGATGGTATCAAGTCTCAGTTAATCCTTATAGTAGTAAAACTTTAAATCAAACTGATAGATATTCTACTATGGTATGTGCTGCAACACTTTGTTTAGGTGTCTTAATGTATGGAGCCTAAATAAAGGATTATTTCTATCTTTAAGTTATTATTCTCATTATTTTAGCATTTTTAAATCTTTGGTTTATTATTATGTGCATTCTATAAATATTTTAAGGCTATCTCATAAAATTCTAAGTAAATATTTATTATGATTCTATTTCTAGGATCAATTAGATTTGATTAGAGAAAAGTTACTCAAATCTAAACCAGAATTATCAAAAAAAAGAGGATTCCTTGGAAAATTACTTATTCATAGAGGAAATATGTAAAAAAGGGTCAAATATCTTTGGAGTTTGCTAAAATCAAGAACTCTTGCAGCTGTTCAAATTACTAAATTGTCTGAAGAAATTTCTTTTGAGGATGCTCTAGAATATGTTATTCAAAATGAAATTGATTAAACTCATATTCTTAAAACATCACAAAAAAAACATTTTGAAATACTAAATAGCCAAGAAAATGAATGATTCAATTAAAAATATATCAATATTAATAATAATTTTTATTATGTTCATTTTTTTTCATACTTTTAATCTAAGCTCAATTTTATGTTAGGTTTCTATGGTTAAAGATGAGGAGGAAGATTAAAAGCATAATTTTATGGATTTTATAAATTTGGATTTATTTAATAATAGGGATTACCTTCTAAATTATTTTATTAATTATTTCTATTATTATTATCATTTTGATTATTATTCAATATCTGTGATTGTGATTAAGGTGGATAATTCAATTGATTATTAAATTAAAAGTTCGGAGAGATTTAATTTTAAGGAGGATTTTAATCTTCAATTTAAAATTAATGTCCAGCGAAATTTATTTGATTTTAACTAAATCCATATTTTTGAGCAAATTTCTTAACATATTCATTAATTTCAGAACTTGATGGAATTGGTGTTTTATGCAAATTCATAATTTCTGGACTTACTTTTTTTAAATCATTTGGATCTAATTTGAAATAGAATTAAAAATAGTTATTAAATTATTGAGCTCTATCAAAGTTTAATTTTTATGAAGCATAAATAATACTTTCTATATAGACTATTAAATGTTAGACCGATTAGGTTTGACCCTGAGATCTAACAATAACATGAGTTTGATCTAATAATATTTAACTATGAAGAATTATAAAATCCATAGTTTCTAAGTATTTAAGTTTTTAACACAATTTAGAAAATAATTAATATTCTAAATCCTTATCCCTTTATGTATTGTGCAGCATTTATTATAATTGAAGTTCCCATTAAAGACCTTCATTTGCTTATTTTTCCTTGTTGAGGTTTGCATATTTTTAAAGCTAGAATAAAATATGATTTTTACTTGATCTATCATAATCCTGAGATTTGGTTCTGTCATATAAGGTTGTAGAGTTTTATTTGTTTTTTCTTAAGAGCATCCCATAATTTTAATTAAATTTGATTAAAATAAAAAATTTGACAATTATCCTTTGAATATTTTTTAATTAAAACAGTATATTTACCACAATATTAAAATGTATGATAGTATATAAGTTTTAGGAAGTTCTTGAGTGACAAAGAAAAGTAAATATTCGTTAAATATGTAGCGGAAAAAAGAAGACTAAGAAAAATCAGAACTAAAAGATGGAGTAAGAGGGGAATCGAGAAGAAATAATTTATCATGTATTTATTTTATATTTAAAGATTAGAATCTATATTTTCCATATAATAAAGTACATTGTGATAACTGTGAAAAAGATATTACAAAATAAGCACGAATTCTATGCAACGACTGTCCAAATGCAATAGATATTTGCATGAATTGTTTTTTAAACTTACAAGAATTTGGTATAATTGTTTATAATATTGCAGAATCTCACTTAATTAGTCATTCTTACTCAATAATAAATAAATTAAATTTTCCTATATTTGTGGAAGATTGGACAGCAGAAGAAGAATTATTGTTATTGGAAGGATTAGAAAAGAAAGGATTTGGTAATTGGCAAGATATTGCTGAAATGCTTGGAGGTGAAAAAGCATAAGAAGAAATTGCACAACATTATGATGATATAATTTTAAGTGGGAAATTTAGAAATGTTAATATAATTTTTTATATATTTATAGATGCCACTTTTATCAAAAAGAAATTAAGACACACTTGAATTAATTAAACCAAAAAGAGCATAAACTGCACCTAAAAAATTAAAGGAAGAATAAAATATAACTAAAACAGGTCGTTTAACACCTAATATATCTTCATAAAGTGGTTAAGAAATAGTAGGATTTATGCCTAAAAGAGGAGATTTTGATATAGAATTTGATAATGATGCAGAATTATTATTAGCGGAAATGGAATTTAATGATGATGATAAACCTTATGAAATAGAAATGAAATTAAAAGTTCTTGATATTTATAATATAAGATTAGATGAAAGAATTAAAAGAAAAAAGTTTGTTATTGAAAGAGATTTATTAAATTTAAAAAAACAAAATATTTAAGATAAATCAAGATCTAAGGAAGAAAAAGAATTACATAATCTAATGAAACCATTTGCAAGATTTAATAAACCAGAAGATCATGAAAGATTAGTTTAAAATCTAATAAAAGAAAAATAACTTAGAGCTAAAATTGAAGAATTAAGATATTATAGAAAATTAGGAATGAAAACATTTGAAGAAGTTGAAGAATATTTAGCAGATAAAAGAAAAAGAGATGAATAATATTAAAGAAGATAAAAATAAAATGATTCATTTGTTTATGATTCATAAAAATAAAGATTTATGTAAAGGAGAACAAGATTTATACCTTTAATGGAAGGAAGAGATAAACATAAATCTGGACCTTCATTTTGTGAAGAAGAATATCAATTATGTCAAAAATTAGGATTAACTGAATAAGAATATTTAATATTAAAAGAAGTACTTGTAAGAGAATCAGTAAAAAATGGAATCATTAAGAAAGATTAAACACTATAAAACTTTAAATTAGACAAAGAACGTGTAACAGGAGTTTTTGATTACTTGGTTGTCAAAGGTTTAATTCATGAAAAGGAATGAATTATAAATAAATTAAAAATATTATATTCAAAAAAGTGATGGATTTAATCTAAGGCTTTTGTTACAAATAATTTATTAATATTATATACAATAAATGCATAGTCTTAATAGTGTACATTTAGATAATATCAATACAGTCGGCTAATAAGATACATCTATATGCAAAAATATTCCGGTAAATAATGAATGCGACTCTTCATCAATTATCTTACTCAAGAAAATAGAAGCTCCTAGTCCTGACATTCCTAGTTTTAATTAGGTTATTTTCAAACCATTTTAAAAATTAATTATCTACTATCATATTGGATTTTTTATTCGAAAACTATTGAAGTATATTAAACCAGATCAAATATTTAAACCTAAACATTACTATTTAATCAATGATAAAAGTGCAGGCAACATTAAAGATTTTATAAGTTATGCTGGTAAATCAAAATCAACTGTAATGCAATATCCAGGTCTTGATGAAGTTGATTTCTTTGTGAGATTGAGATATCGATATAGACAAGGCCTAATAAATTGTCAATAAAAAATCTTATACTTATTTGAACAAATTCCATTGATAGACCCATCATTTAAAATCAAAATCATTTGGGATCTTCTACTTAATATATTCAGAATTTATCTCATGTACATTATTCCTATCATTATCACTTTTGAGTAACTAATTGAAGATTATGATAATATTATTATAATATCATAAATTGTGTTTATTATAGATTTACTTTTGAGGAATATTACTATTTATTATGATTAAGGTTTACCTGTTGTTGATCGCTATTAGATTGTTAAAAATTAGTATCATATTACTAATCTTATAGAATTAATGGAGATTTGCTTACTCTTTGCTATGGCATATTTTAAATTTGAATTTAATCATTAATTTATATTATTTGATGGCTGGCCTAAATTATGGATGTTATTATATTTTATTCAGTTAAAAAATCTTTTAAATTTTATAGGATCGTGGTAGCAATCCTTTTTAATGGGTTAATTAGCATCATCATTAATTGAATTATTTAAATTAATAGGTTTGCTACTAATTATTTAACATATATTTAGTTGTATATGGTTGATAATTGGAAAATATAATCTTATTCTTGGAAATTCTAATTGGATTTCATATTTCAACTTAGATAATATATCATGGATAGATTTATATATTGAGTCTATGTATTACACTAGTGTAACAATGTACACAGTAGGATATGGCGATTTACACCCAATAAGTATTTGTTTATTTATTTATATCAGATATCTCTGAAAAAATGTTTGCTGTTTTATTTGTATTTGTTTGTACATTTCAACTTTCTTTTAGTTTGAATACGATTGGGGAAATTTTAACTAGAATGAAAAATAACAATGATATAATTAATAAAAAGCTAATCTTTATTAATTAATATATGCATAATAAAAAAATAAGTCATTAATTACAATTTCAGGTAAGGGAGTATTTAAATTATTATTGGTATCAAGAGTAAACATAATAAACAAAAGAATAGACTGATATTTTAAGTTAATTATCTGAAGATCTTAGAAAGTAAATAGCAGTTGAATCAAATAGTATTGTGCTTAAAAATTGTGAATTTTTTTATAAAAATTTCTCAACAGAATTTCTAAGTGAGCTTTTGAAACAACTTTAATTTCAATCTTATTAACCCTCATCTACAATAAATATATTTAATGATGATGATCATTTCATGCATATAATTGAATCTGGTTAGGTTGATGTTTATGATAAATCATTTGATAAAAAAGTATTAATAGGTTGTTTTAAATCAAACGAATTTTTTGGATTAAATGAATTTGTTAATAATTAGAAAAACTTCAAATATGAATACAAAAGTTCAGGATTTGTGAGTACTCTAGTAGTACCTAGATCTAAGTTCTAAGCAATATTATAAAAGTATCAATCTGATTTCGAAATTTTTTGGAATCTGAAAATCAATAATTATTCTGAATTAAAATGTGCTGTTTGTGAATCTAAAAGACATCCGCCTGATTTTTGTAAATAAGTGCATTTTATTCCAGACAGAGAAAAAGTAATTAAATAATTTAATTTTTATTAAAATTAAGAAAGATAAAAGTTTAGAAGAAATTCAATAAGAATTAAACAATTATATCATGCATCTACTGATTAAGAAATTATAAAAGAAGCTGCTTAAATGGTTAAAGTAAAAAATGATAGCATGTTTTTTTAAAAATATTAAATTATTGAAGATGAAACCACACAATATGAAAGTTAAGGTAATATAATTATATAAAAATTATAGAATACATAAACAAAAAAAAAGATATTGATTCAGTAGGAATTTTAATAAAAGATCTAGAGAGTCGATCTTATCTCGATATTAATCATAAATCTCAACAAAAATCTGAAAAAGAAATTTTGGATTTAAAAATTCACTTTTCATTGGAACTGCAAACTTTAAAGTCATTAAAAGATAAATTGCATCACAAAGATTTATATACAGATAAGGATATTTAATAGATTGAATATCTGATTAGGATTTTAGAACTTAAATTAAACTTAGAAGATACAATAGATCTTGATTAATCATAGGAATATTAGATTTATAATTAAAAAGCGAATATAAACATAATTTTAAAGAAATTAATTCATCCAGTCAGATATATAATAACTTAAACATCAAAAAGCTTAGATTAATTTTCATTGATTAGTGGTAATGTTTGGCTCAAATATATGTTTTATCCTTATGATTTTATAAATTAATATAGATATAATGTTAATAGATTAGGTTTACCTAGAAAATCAATGGTTGTGAGGTAATAAGAACGTCGTCTATCCTCTGCTTTATTGAGGAAAAAATAATAAAACATACGATCAATAAAAAGATCCATACAAGTGCATCCAATAAAATGAATTTATATAATCATAATCATGAAAATACTAAAAAATAAATAAGTTTATTCTCCAACAAGTCATATTCAATTAATAATAATGAAAATATCTAATTATTTATATTATTTTAAATTAATTTGATTATATTATCATACATATGAAACAGCAACCAAAAAATTTTGAACTTTCAAATGATTAAGAAAAGTAGTAATAAATTGATCTTGAGGAGCCTTATTAAAAATCTGGCAATGAATTATTCTCTCAGGAAACTCTGATGAGGAAAAGAGAAAAATTATCTCCGATAATTGAATCAAATTCAGGACATTAAGAATAATTAATTTTGTAATCTAATACACCTCAATAACTTATAACTCCTAAAAATGAGACAGAAAAATTATAGACATTTGGGCAAGTTGAGTTAATAAAATAATCAAAATCTTTTAGAAAACTTATTGTTTATTTTCATTAAAAAGATTTTATCAAAGTGCTTTTAATGCCATTCAAATTAACATCTAGCTTTAAATAACGACACTTTAATTTAATCAATGATTTAAGTGCTTCCTACAAAAATTATAATGGAAGAAGTAATGATACATAGAAGAAATTGATTCATCAATATATCTCACTAATCGATATTAGAATTTAATTGAGATTAAAATTTAGAATTATTAAAACAAAATGTAAATAATATCTAACCTATATACATAATCAAATACCTTTAATTGAACCAATGAGCAACACATAGTTTTTTTGGGATTTGATTTGTTTTACTATAAGAATTTATCTAATTATTGTTATTCCTGTAATTATGGCATTCCATGGTTAAAGTTTTATAACCTAATAGTTAGGACCATTATTACTTTTTTCAATAATATTGATTTTCGATATTATTACTAGAGCTTTTACAATCACATACGATTAAGGATTACCTATAAGAGATAGGTACTTATTATTTAAAAAATAATTAAATTTTTCAACAGTCCTCGAACTGTTTAGTTTTATTTATACAATAGTAATAACTTTATCTGAAGATGATCCTATAGATAAATACATTCTAAAAGAAGGATGGCCAAAAATTTTATTGAGTTTGTTGTACATTTAAGTTTTCAATATATTGAAATTTATTGATGTTTCATAATATTCTCTAAAATTAAGCCGCATGTCAACCTCAATTGTAGATTTAATAAAATTAATTGCTTTAATTTTACTTGTCTAGCATATATTTAGTTGTGTTTGGCTTATATTTGGGGCATATTCAGTTGTAAATTAAGAAAATTCTTGGTTAAATCCTTATTAACATGATGATTGGTCACTTTAATTTCTGTAATCATTTTACTTTATTTGTGTAACAACTTTCACTGTTGGTTATGGAGATTTAACACCAAAAAGTAAAGATATTTTAATTATTTAAAGATCCTTCTGAATAGATATTTACTATAATCTATATGTTTTTCTGTATGCTTTTATTTTCTTACACAGTTAATACAATTGGAACCATTTTAACTCAAATTAAAGAAAGTAGTGATAAAATTAAATCTAAATTAACAGCAATAAACCTATATATGCACAATAAATCTATTAGTCCTGCTTTATAATTCAAGTAATTTAAATATTATTTTAATTTTAAGGGTTAGAGAATAGTTATATTTCTACTTAAAATAAGAAATAATCTAATAAGTTAATGAGCAATCTGAGATCATATAATTACTTCCTTAAGATTTATAACATAGTCTTAAAATTGAAGCTGCAAAATCTATAATCAATAAATGCTCATTTTTTAAAGATAATTTTTCTAATGAGATTTTAAATTAATTGTTGGAGGAAGTTAATTTTCATATGTATCAACCAGGAGCAATTATTCATTCAAAAGATGAATTCTATATTCATATTATTGAATAAGGATAAGTAGATGTTATGTATAAAAAGGTATAAAACTTAATTTAATTCTAGAAAATAATACAAACTTTGGAAAAGTATGATTATTTTGGTTTAGAAGAATTTATAAATTAATAGGCTAATCCAAATATTACTTTTAAAAGTACTTCTTTTACAAGTGTGCTTTCAATTCCTCATTCTTATTTTCATAAGATTTTATCATAAAATGACCTTGAAAACTAAAAATTTCATAATCTTTTAACTTAATCTCCTTCTATTTCTAATTTCTGTTTTATTTGTAAAACTAAATCTCATGAAACTCAAATGTGTACATTGGTTCATTTTGTACCAAATAGGGAAGTTATTATTAAAAAGTATCTCTACAGAAGGAAATAAAAAAAAAGATTGTCCTAAGATAGAAAATTAAGAATGATCTTCTTAAATTAAATAGATGAAAAAACTGAAGAAAGTAAATTATAATAAATAAAGTTTTTAAATGCAAAGAAACATTAAAAAATGGTTATGGATTCTGTGATAAAATTTAAAAATGACAATGAATTTTATTTAGAATCATTATTTCCTAATATAGAATAGCCTCTTAGTATTGAAAGCTAAAGTGAATCTGAAAATGAAAATTAAGATGAATTGAAAGATTAAAGCATTTCAGAATAAAATATAAAATTTAAAGGAGAAAGCAAATAAGTACCTAATCTTTTATCGAAAAATTTAATTTAATTTTAAGTGCTCCAAAAGTTAAAAAAGAAAAGATTAATTAATCAAAACTAATAATAATAATAACTATCACCACCATTGATGACATCTCAATTTGGTTAAGTAAACCTAACATCTTATTTTTCTACAAAATAAAATCTTAAATAGAATATATAATAAGTATACGCTAAATCTTTTGATTTAGATTAGTTAATAGAAGAGATTAATATTTATGATGAGTTAAGAATTAAAATGAATAATTTAGTACTTTTTCCGAAAAAAGAGTAGGAATAGATTGAATTTTGGTATAAGAAACTTTCTAATCTCAAAGAAGATCTAAATGATATGGCTAATTTTGAATGTTTAAAAAATTATGAAATTTATTGTAGACAATGGAATGTAGACACAGTAGTAAAAAAGATAACCTCTAAACCTAAAAAAATTAGAGGATTAAAACGACTGAAGAGATATTTAATTTTTCCTTATCTATTTATTAATAAGTACTTAGATAGAAAAGATTAAAACGATATTAATAAAACTTTAGATAAATCAAAAAGGAAAAGTTAAATTTATTTTATTATATAGGATCCACAAAACCTAAGGTTAATAAAAAGAGTCGTATAACTCCTAAATCATGATATTCATTATTAATCAATAAACAATAAATTAAGACTGTCAATTTTTAATTATTATTTATAAATTTATGATCTTTCTATATAGATGTTTTGTTATTAAATAAGTTTATTATAGATTGTTTCCTATTTCAGAAGAATTTAATTTAACAAAATTATTAATGTTATAATTAAATAATAAATTCAGATGAGATAGTTAAGTAGTCCACTCACTACGTTATAAGATAATTCATAGAGTAGAAGCATGCCAAGAATCCATTCAAAATAAGAATAAAGATTTCAATTGCCAACACTGAAATCTAAAATGAATAATTTAATTGAATCTGAAGATTAAAAGGCACCAGTTGGTTAGTTTTTTTAAGGTTTAGTAAAAGGAAAAACAATCATGGAATCAAAAAATAAAATAGAGTTTCCTAAAACATAATAAAATTTTTATCGTCTAATTTACAAAGCATAATATTCATTCAGACCAACAAAATTGAATCCTAGATAAGTTAGTATGGATTAGCCAGCAATTTAAAAGAAACTTGGTGGTCCTACATTTGCTTTTAGAACTATCTAAAGTTCTGAAGAATAACTAAGGAAACCGAATTTAGAAGTAGTTGCCAGATAATAAGTAAATTATCTTAATGATTCTCAATCAATAAATGAAAGCTTAAATACTGAAATTAATTAGATTTTATATGGAAAAGGAAAGAATAAATTGGTTATAAAACAGAGATTAAATCAAACAAAAAATAATAATGATACAAGCAACATAATTAAGGAGGAAAGTGAAAATTCATTTATTTGATTAATAAATTATAACTGTGGTTTATTTTTTTGTTTTTTTCTTGAATTAAACATAATAAACAATTTTAGAAGTCTTTTACTACAAAGGAGTTATTCTAAAAGTTTAAATTTATCATAAAAGTAAGAGATGATTGATTTTAGAATATTTAGTTATGATTTTAATTTTATTAAATGTGATTAGAGTTAAATATATTAATCCTTATATAAATTGTTACTTTTTTTGCAAATGACATATATTGATATGTAAAAAATGCATAATTCAAAATGCCTGAACAGTGCTAAGAATAACAGTAGATGACTCAATCTGAAGAGTCTGTTTGAATAGTTAACGATTAGGATCTTTTTCTTTTTTCTTAATTGAAATCTATTAAATCTCTGAAACTGCAATCTGAAATGGTGTCAGCAATGATAATGTTAACTATTCCTTTAATGCCTTCAAGTTAATACTCATCTTATAGTTATTTAACAAAATCTTCATCATCCATTAATAATTTTTTTAATTCTGACTTTTAATTCTCGCTGATTTTATTTTCATAACGTAAATTAGAAATCAACTTTAAGACTTCTTTAAAGAATGCAGCTTATTCATCTGCCATAATTTTAATTTATTAATAAATATTTTTTCTATAAATTTGTTATAAAAATGAAAGAATTACAAATTATATAAAACAAAGAGAAATGAATGAATAAATTTGAAATAAATTTTATTAAGTAATGGATATTAAATAAAATATTTATTGAATAAAAAAAAAGAATGCCCATATATCCAACAGCACCACTTACAAGTTCTATACCAGCTCCAATGAGTGTTGTTTAACCAGTAAGCTATGCTCAACCTGTGACTTATGCTCAACCAGTGTCATATGTTCCACAACCAGTTTAATATGTTACATAACCTGTTGTTTAATAACCAGTTGTTACTCAACCAATTGTTACTTAATCAGTTGTTGCTGCACCTTAATAAGCACCAATTAAAGGAGAATCAAGAGTTGAATACAGAGAATATCAAAGACCTGTTGTTGAAATGGAAACAGAAACAATCTAAGTTTAAGTACCAAAAACTAAATATGTGACTGATTATTATCCAGTTGAATATTAGACTGAATATATTCCTAGAACAGTTTATGAATAATAAACAGAATATGTACCTGTAACTAAAACAGTACCAAGAGTTGAGTATGATGCTGTTGAGAGAGAAGTTTAACGAGTGGTATATCAAAATAAATAATAAATTATAGTAATATTAACCTGTTTAGACTGTCCCTGTTTAAACTGTTCCTGTTTAAACTGTCCCTGTTTAAACTGTTCCTGTTTAACCTGTTGTTTAATCTTTTGTATAACCAGTCTAACCACTTACTTATTCAGTTGCTAGACCAATTGCTTAAGCTCCAGTCTATACTCAACCAGTTGTTGCACCTGCACTTACTTATTCTGGCATTAGACCAGCTTATTCACCTGTATCAATTAATTTTATTATCCTCTAGGTCTATCCAAGTTATCCTCCTGTTGGTGGAGTTAGACCTTAATAAGCTTAATAACCAGTACCATCTAATAAACCATAATGAAAATGAGATAATTATATAATATATCATAAAAAATTATACAAAAATATTTTCAACATTTTGATATTTTTATATCCCATGTTGTAAATATATTAAATAATAATTATTCAAATCTCAATTTTTTATCTTCATTTCTTTTCTATATTTTGATCACATATTTTATTAATTAATCACTACTAATTATGAGTTTAAATAGTTCCAAAATTTATGCTAATAGATTTGTATTGAAGAATAAATTGTCTCAAGGATCCTTTGGAATTGTATATTAAGTACATGATCGAACTACAAACAGTGAATTTGCATTGAAAGTTGAACTTGAACAAAATTAAAAGAAGAAAACTTTAGAAAGAGAAGTTACTATGCTGATCTAACTTGAAAATATACAAGGAGTTCCATAACTAATATATCATGGCTCTGATTGTCAAACATAGTTTATAGTTATGGAGCTTTTAGGTAAGGATCTATCTTTTTACTTAAAATAATATAAAAAGTTCTCATTCAAATGTTGTTTGTAAGTTGCTTATGATTGCATTGATATTTTAAAAAATATACACAAAAGATTTATCCTCCATAGAGACTTAAAACCTGAAAATATTGTAATGTCAATCGAATTAGATTAAATATACATTATAGACTTTGGTGTTAGCAAGATTTATTTTGAAGCTGATCACATGTAAATATTATTTTTAAAAAAGTATTATAAAGACCTTTTAGAGAAGACAAAGATTTTATTGGTACTGTTAGATATGCATCAATAGCTGCTCATAAAGGCTAAGAATTAGGAAGAAAAGATGATTTGGAATCTTTATTTTATGTTATCTTTTATTTTCTAAGAGGCCAATTACCTTGGCAAAATATTCCTGTTGAATCTTGCGAAAGAAATAGGGTTGTTGGAAATATTAAATAAACTATTTCTATTTAAGAATTAGCATCTATTAAATGTCCAGAACTTATTAAAATTTTTTAATATATTAGAAAATTAAAATTTCAAGAATAGCCAGATTATGAATTTATTAAAGATCTTCTGATAGAAGCAGCTAAGGCAAAAAATATACATTTAGATGGATATTATGATTGGACAGAAGGAATTAAATTTAGTAAAAAACTTTCAGAATCCAAAGTTTCCTTCGATAAAAAGGAATTCTAATCTTCTAAATAGTAAATGAAAAGCACAACTAAAATTTCAAATTATGTTATTTGGTCCTTATGCGATAATTCTATGTATATATTATATTCACAGTAGAGCTAAATCATAATAAAATTTATAAATACTACCAGATAAAAAGAAAAGATGTGATATTCATCATTTTTCAAGTGGTTCTAACATTTCAGCTATAATGGGTACTAAAAATTAGATGAAATTAATGTATTTACCATAAACACTAACTAAAAAGGATGTTGGAATATAAAGAATGATCTCAATAGAAATCTTAGCTCATGATGAATCTGTATATTCTGAACAAATTGATGAGAATTTCTAAGAGAGCCCTTTGAATGACAAATATAAAGATTATGTGAATGAAATGTATTTATATTATGAATATTTCTAGATGCTTTTATAATAAATTTAGTTAGAATTTTTAATGATGTGATTGATTCTTATATTTGTGTAGTAAAAGTTTTTGAAATTATATAATTATAAAATAATGGATGTCTTTTATATAGTTTATTTAGTGTTAGCTTTAGTGATAGGAGTGGTAGATATTTATTGCATTGGAATAAATATGAAATGCATAGACAATAAATTCACATTTACAATTTTGAATATGCTGTGTATTATAAATTGAATATTTAGTTAGTGAACTTTTGATTTGCTTAGGTTGTTTGATGGCTATAGTGAATTGTTAAGTATCATGGTCATTTATATTTATTGGTTTAAGTGGAATTTGCGTATGGTAATCTTTTACAATGTATGCAACATCTACAAATAAAGTAATTATATGGAATGCTGCTTAGAAAGTAAAAAAACAATATATTTTATAGACTATGATAATAATGGGGTATATCGTACCCCTAGTATTTTATTTGATTTCTTTATTGGTTATGAGAAACACTGAGTTTCATTATAATTCTTAGATTTGTGCAATAAAGTTTAATTCATCAGAAATGATTTTGTCAAAAGTGCTTTAATTTTTCTTTTTCTTTGCATTTCAATTAACATTTTTGATTTTTGGGATAATAGATTCTATAAAGTGTGTATCATTTTTATAAAAGTGATTATTTAATTGATTTAGACAAAAGAGTAGATTTACATTTTTAGAGTAATCCTATCGTGAAACTTTATTTTTACCAATAATAACATCAGTGCTAATCCTTTCATATTTCATATCTTTCAATATTCAATACTGGTTGGAAGTATAATAGATTATCATAATAAATAATATATGTTCAATATTGATGGAAATAGACCTAATAATATTGGTGTTCTAATATGGATTTAATCCAACAATTTTAAAAGTGAATGCAGTGAGAAAAGTTTATCAATTTAGATAGAATTTAGAATTGAAATATAGAAATAAGTTAAAAATTCATAAAAATAATTTTAGATTGTTAGAAGGATCTGGGTCTACATTTTTCCATGGTACTTACAGTGAAAGTGAATTAGGAAGTATTGAATAAATATAATCAAATTTTAATTAATGATTTTTATGGATACTTGTTCTTAAAAATAGATGAGTTTGAAGTAATTAGGTGATGTAATGTTTCCTCTTGGATTCATCACTTATGGTGGTCCTTTGGCCCATCTTAACGTACTTAGAGAAATATTCAAAAATTACACAACAGAAGATGAATTTCAAGAATTCTTTGCATTATGTCAAACATTACCTCGACCAACTTCAACTTAGATGGTTATAGCAGTTGGAGCTAATCTTACTCATAGTTGTTTTGGTGGATTAGTAGCATTTCTATATTTTAGTATGCCATCTGCTTTTGTTATGATGATACTAGGTTTAACAGTGCCTAATTTATCAATACCTTGGATATAATTAATGATAAATGGTTTTAAATATCCTTCAATTGGTGTCATAATTGAAGCAGCTTATAAATTATCTAATGGGGCCATAAAAAATAAATTTCACTTTTTTTTGTGGATTGTAAGTGCAATCTTAACTACTTTTTTTCCTACACCCTCTATTGCAATTCTTATGATAGTAATAGGAGAAATTTCAAACTATATATCTGATAGATAAATTGGATAATACCTAATTCCATTGATGAATAAGTATAACACACTTTTGATAGTTGGTTATTAGGATATAGATCATTGATTGGATATGTTCTATCTTTTAATTTATGCTTTTTCTTATCTTATATTGATTGAATGCCCAATAGTAGTATGCAGTAACTTATTCAAATCTGGTAGTCTTGTTATTGGAGGAAGTCATATGGTATTAACAATGATATAATTTTCTTTATCAGAATATTTGACAACTGAATAGTTTTGAAATGCATTTGCTCTAGTTTCATGTATGCCAGGTCCAATGTTCAATATTGCAATCTATATTGGAGCCTTAATAGGTGGTATTCCTATGACAATTTTAGCAGAAATATTTATGTTTCTACCAGGTTTCTTTACTATATTTGGATTGTTACTATATTGGAAGAAATATAGAGGTTTGAGAACAATAAGAGCAATTTTGTAAGGAATAGCAGCAGTTGCAGAAGGATTTATATTAAGAGCAATAACACATTTGATTATTAACTCATGTAGTAAAGATATCATCGTTCCAATGGGATTAGCTGTTTATGTCTTTACAAAGGTGTTCTAATACCTTTTGTAATAATCGGAGGTGGTTGTATTAATTTATTGGCAGAATATAAATGATTCATTATTTTATATTGAATACTCATTATCCACATTATCTCATGATATTCAGACAGACCTCATCTTCCAAAGGCTTTGAAATAACTTAAATACCCACAGGCATTCCAGCACTACCCTTCATAGTTTCTTCCAAAACATTGTATTCAATATCTTTAATACCATATAATGATTCTTCATCATAATGCTATTCCTCTTCTTTCACAGTAGTGATAGGAACAGAACCACAACTAAAATCAAGCATATTCCATATAAAAGTATAACTTATTCCACTGAAACAATATTGTGCAGTATTATGTTTAACTGCAACTCCAGCAGTCACAGGACTAATAACTGCATCTAATTGAAGATCATGCCAAATTTGAATCATTTATATTTGACTAGCAGTTAATCTTGTTGTAATGTGAAGATTTTCATAGTATGATAATCCATGATCTCCTGCTTTCCAAATCATCAATTCTCTCTTACGATCTTACAATTTTAAAAACTTTTAGTAAATTTTTTTCCAAATCCAACACGAATGCGTAGCCTTCTTAAAATTATCAAAATGAGAAATCCAAGGTTCTCCTTTATATAACTCATATGTTCCTTTCATTCCTCCATCTCCTAACATAACATCATAAACATGTTAAAAAACATTCTCAAACATACTCTAATCAATTTCAAATTCTATAACTGTATGTCCTTATGCTCTCAGTTTTTCCACTGCCATATTCAAAGCTCTTTAATTTGCTTTACAAGGTAATAATAAATTAATTTTTCTTAAAACTCCTATTTTATATTTCTTATTATTATTAAAACATTCTTTCTCATCAAATTTCTTCATCACAAAATTTATATCTTTTATATTAATGGGAGCTTATTCGTAATTTTTAGTCAAGGCTATCATCATATTGACTAAATTCTCAAAATGTTTTGCTTAATATATTAATAAATTCTTACACATAGGACCATAACAAGATGCAATATTTCTAATACCATCCCATGTTGGAATACCTTTTGCTTATCCTCTCATTATTAATCTTTTTGAGCTTGGCTTATATCCATATAAACCACAAAAATGTGATGGAATTCTAATACTTCCTCCACTATCACTTCCTAATCCTAAAGGAGAACCATTTACTGCTATTAATCCTCCTTCTCCTCCAGTTGATCCACCGGATGTTCTAGTAGGATCTAAAGGATGAATAGATCTTCCATATAAATAATTCCAACTCTCATATGAAAATCCAAATTATGGTAAATTTGTTTTTGCAAATAGTATCCCTCCTGATTTCTTTATTAAATAGCCTTATATTCCATCTATTTATGATTTCTTCTATGCATATGCTCCACATCCAAATGCTTAATATGTTCCTTTCACCATAAATGTATCCTTCACACTTACAGGAATTCCAAACAAAGACATATCATTTATCTTATAATTATTACTCTTCAATTCCTAATCCAATTCTTTAGCTCTTTAAATTGCATCTCCAAAATTCACATCATTCAAATATCCCATTTTGAATCCTTTTTCTATTGATACTTCTAAAAATGTTAACAATACATCCAAACATGTAAACTTTTTTGATTCATAATATTTATGAATCTCAGGAATAGAACTATTTAAAATTAGATTTTTATCTTCATTTGATAACTTTAACTCGCTCTATATTGTATACCTTGCAGTCAACACTTCTTACTCAATCTCTTACCTTACTCTTCTATATGTCAACTCAAATGGATTTATTTTCTTCCTTCTAAAACTCAACATCAATAAACTAACACTTGTAACTAATGACAATGCTATATATTTGTTTTTTATCAACCAATCTTGATTTAATTTTATCATTATTAATATTATTATCTTTTTTACTAATTATACTATTTCTACTTATCTACATCATCTTATATACCAAATATAATATATTAAACTAAAGATCACTACTATTTTTTATTATTATGAGAAAAATTATTTATTAAAAACAATAATAATCACAACAAGGAATATCAAACAAAGATACTAGATCTATTTCATCTATGCATTCCAGAGGAATTACTCATTCCAATTACATTTTAACTTCTCGATAAACTCAACCCAAATTTCAAATTAAAAAACTTTAACTTTTACCAAAACCTGAAGTTCCAAGCCTAAAAATTATTAAGAATTAAACACACAGCTAATTTAAATAAGATAACATAAGCATTCAAGATGGATATAGTCCTGGAATTTACTCTTAAAGAACTTCAAGTCAATATTAACAAAATCTGAATAGTTACATGTCTTCAAAAAGATCTATATACAAATCATGTATTTGCTTACTTATAAAAATTTAGAATAAATATAAAACTATGAATCTTAAGTCTAAATTTATAATACAGCATTGAATCAAATGATTTATAGAAATGATTAAAAAGAATTAATGGATTTTGATAATCGATATTATCGATGTGCCAGATAAAGAAGACTTAGAGAAATCATTTAATTTTTATTAAAAAAATCAAAAGAATTACAAATTTCACTACAAGATTTAATTGATAATAAAATTACATAGAATAAACCTTATTAATAATAGGGATCATTTGCTTTTTTATTTTATGTTAAAAAAGGAGTTACCGACAAAGTAGAAGAAATGCTTGGTGTAAATCCACTATACGTTCATGATTTTGATGAAAAAAATATGACAGCATTGCATATAGCAACAAAAAAATAATCATTTATCATGATTAAAATATTACTATCATATGGTGCCAGCATTTTAAGTAAAGATTTAAATAGAGAAACTGCATTATCAATTGCTATTCAATCAAATTAATAAGATGTTGTTAAAGTAATAATCTACATATTTTAATGTAGTTATTTTTATCGGTATAATGTCCAAATGATCTAGAGTATCTAAATTATACTCGAATAACTAAAAACAAGTAAATTAAATATTTGCTTAAGAAAGCTAAACTTTAAGATTTAGGAAATAGATGCTCTAAATTAAATTAATTTGATATGTTTAATCATAATTTCCAATAAAGTTATTGATATATTTTATGAATTCATTTTATTCATTCTCATGCTTTATTAATTCGAATCTAATTTTTAAAAAATATTCCCCTTTTTAGATTTGTGCTTTAGCTGTTTTTGTTGATAATAGTATTTTTAAGTTATACTTATTTATAGCTTTATTCCATGTAAATTTAAAATTACCTTCGATTTTTAATTAGAAATGATTAAATAATTTGATTTAGAAATTATTAAATTTTTGTGAAGTTTAATGACATCTAAAATTAATTTAGTAATTTTGACTAAAAATAATTTTTATCATTCAAAATTGTTAAAAATTTTCATATAAATATAAATTATTTTAAAATAATTAATTTATAATGAACTAATAAAATTTATATTATTTTTTCCATCCTCAAAATTGTTTAAATATATTAAAAACTCTATATATATTCATAAATGTAGTGGAAATTTAGATCTTAAATAGGTTTCTAATTCCTTAACATCAATTGGTTTAGTAAAGTAATAATCCATTCCTTAAGCAATAGCAAACTTTTTGGTTTCAAAATCACAATACCCAGTATTTGCAATACAAAGTCCTCTAGGAAACTAACCTTCATTAATTTTTTTTTTAATTATTTTAACAGTGTCAATTCCATTCATAAGTGGCATGTTTATATCTAAAAAAATAACGGCATACCCAGCACAAGAACAAATTTTGCATGGTTTAAGTTTTTTGTCTTCACATTTACGAATAGCTTCAATACCATTACAAGCTTTGTCACTTTTAACTGAGAATTTGGAGAGGATTAATTACATTGAAAGGATATTAAAAACTTCATCATCTACAATTAAAACTCTACTACAACATTTTGAACTAATATTATATTGTACAATTTAGGTTTTAAAGTTAGTTTCTAAACTAGGTATCACTATTAAAGATTATTTGTATAAACTTGGATCATTTTCATTTTCATCATCATCTTCATCTTCATTTTATTCAATATCTACACTATCTTTAATTTAATTAATTTCTGTAATTCGATGCAAAAACTATTATTATGTTTCTCCTGAATGTTTCCTCATTAAAAAGTTTTTAATATTTCTTTATCCACTATACATTCCCCCACTATTACTTTAACTATGTAAACTAGCTTCATATTTGGATGCCAACATTTATTTAAGACTAGCCTCCGAAGGTTACTATTCAACATAGAAAGTTTGATTAACAATTTTTAAATATGTCTAACTATTTTGATAGGCACTTTCATTATATAATTGTTATGAATTTCTAATTGAAAATTAGAATTCAGTTCCTTTATTTTATATAGATTTGAATTCTAATCCTTTTTTTCCATGCATCTTCTATACAATAGCATTTGAAATACTTAATCCTAATCCACATCCAACTGAATTCTAAGATACTCTTAGCATTTTCTTATTGTCTTTTAACATTTCAGCAAGTTTTTAAGATTCTGAAATAGTCATACCAATTCCAGTATCTGTAATTTTGGTTTTTAATTTGTCTTAATTCATTGTAACTTCAATTGTAATTAATCCTTCAGAAGTGAATCTAGCTGAATTTGACAATAATTGATAAATTATTTATTTGTATCTCTCTGCATCATTGTATACTTTCAAATCAATTGGACAATCAACTTTAACTGTATTTGATCTGAAATTAATTTATTTATCCATAAGATCAATAATTTCCAGAATTGTTTGATATGGACTAAATTCTTAGAGTTTTAGTGTAAATTATTATAATAGAATAGAATTGTAATCACGAATGTTGCGAAGGATATAATTTAATAATTATGAGTTAATTTAAATTGGATCAAAAAATATTTCTTTAATATCTTATTTAATATTTGAACTGTTTAAACCTTCTCTGCTTACAGTCATAATGCAATTTAAATATGTACCAAATTCATGTGAAACAGATTAAAAAATATTATATAGTAAGGAACTGGATATAGTATTATTATCTACAGTTTTAGAATTATTAGCACTGGAGGGATTTTAATGAACACTTATAGTATGTAAAGATTTGCTAAATTAATTCTTACGTTCTAATTATTATTCAATATGAAGAACAAGATAATTTTCATATAATGACACATTCAAGATTATAAAATTGAATTTTTAGTTCTACAATTTAAGTTATTTACTTTCTATCTCTCCTGCTGAATAATAATTATATAAAGAACTTTCATTTTCTAAAAGTGTTTAACAAATAGATTTCAAATCAGGTTTAAGAAAGGCTCTTTTTTTTGGTTAAGGACTCTAATATAGCAATAGCTTTACCCCTATAATAATTTGAGTAAACCTGTAGATAAGGAATCACATTTACATTCTAAAAGATTTTTTACTAATTATGAGTCACTCATTTCTTAGTCTTCATCAGCAGTGCTATCAAAAAATTACAATAATTGAGCTTATTCATGAACCACTATCATTTTATCATTAAAAACTATAAATTTTTCTTCTCTTAACCACGGACTAGTTATTTATTATCTTTAATTATTACACTAATTCAAGAATTTGACTCTTTATATCAAATTTAATCGACATCTAAAGTTCCACCTTGGGAATAGGAGAAGCCTCTCTATCTTTAAGTTTTTCTGGTCTCATCAAAAAAGCTAAAAGAACACAAAGAATCATTATTATAATAGTTTTGATCAAGTCATAAATTGAGGATCCTTATTTAAAAAATTCCAATATTAAAAAGTACAATCCTAAGAACATTCCAGGAATATAATATTATTGTATATTCAATCCCCATCCACATTATATTACTATTAAGACCTTCTATACATATATATTTACTTGTATGAGATCTACTTTGTTGGACCATTCCATACTTAATAATCCTACACTTATTGATTCACTGATTATTAATGTACTCCAGAATTACCATTTCTGTGATTCCAAATTGACTAAAATACATTTCATCAAAAAATTTAGATAATGTAGAACTACTGCACTTACTACAATTCCAAGTTTATAATTCTCCATTCTTAAAATCAAATTCCAAATGATTTCAAACGATACGATAGCTTCAAAGAAAATCACAACTTTCATTTTTTATAAAAATATATTATAGCTATAAGTATATACAAACTACTTATCAATTCTTGGCTAGATTTAAGTAATATACTCATATGTAATTGACTTATTATATAATCTTAATTACAGAGCTACTTAAATCTTTAACTTTTTTGATTAATTAGAAATTACTGGAAATATTAACAGAAGTTCTTTTTTATTGTCATTTAGAATTTCTTGATTATACATTAATTATTATCCAATTATTATCCAATTATATTAATGTATTTAATAATAAAATCTAATGCTTATTTTGCTATTATCAATATCTACAATATTTGCTAAATCTATTTAAATTAGTAAAGCAATTGAAATAGAAAAGTAGACTAATCTGAAACATGATAATGAACATCATAAATTTAAAATAAAAGTACCAGGAAATGGGATTGTCTAATTAGAACCTACTATTGGTACTTTAATTTTTGCTATTGAAATCCAAGATAAAAATGCTAATGTAGCTCTTGAAAGAGCAAATAATTTAGTTACCAAAGCACTAGATGAAATTAAATATAATTTGCTAGGAGAGAATTATACTATAGAGACTGGAATATTTTAATTATCTTTGAGATATGATTATACAACAGGAGTTTAATAATTAGTTGGATATTTGGTCACTAATTAATTGTATGTAACTACAAAAAATCTCTAACTGATTGGTAAAATTATAACTGTGGGTGTCAATGCAGGTTTAAATAGAATAGATGGAATTAACTATTCAAATAACTAAGAAGAAATTGTAAAAGCTAATGATGAGGCTCTTAAATTAGCAATTTAAGACGCTTAACGAAAAGCTAAATAAATTGCTAAATCATTAAATCTCAAATTTAGTGAGATTCTTGATTTCAAATATTTGTATAATTATAATAGTCCAGTTTCAAATTCTAATGGACCAAGAGTAGCATACGATGTCGATAGTAAAATATCAGGAACTCCAACTCCTATTTTTGCAGCTAAAAATAATATTAAAGTAGATATTGAATTGAAAGTATTATTAAAATGAGTAATTATTATATATAATAAAATGATTTTAATTCTCTTATATGGATTCTTAATAATTTCTCACTGTTAAGAATGTACAACTACTATTAAAGGAATATTTTCTAAATAAATCTATGAATTTGAAAGATCAATAAATCAATTAAGAAATGAGGTAGCTTAAGCAAGACAGTAAAATCATTTGGGATAATTTGAATATGCTGCTAATATGTAAATTACAACTTGGTCAATTGGTTTATCAAGAGGTGCTTAAAATTGTGCTGAAAGATGCCCAGATTCTCTTAGTACTTGTAAAAACGTATTATATAAATCATACAAAGCTAAAAGGAGATTTTGGTGTGCTCTTTTATTAAAGAATGGTTGAATCTTCAGGTGTTGAATGGAATCCTTAAGAGATAGTGAAAAAATGGATGTAAAATTAATAAAATGCTGAGTAATTACTCATAGCAACAATTTAATAATTTGGTTGTGGAAGAGCAATTAAGAAATCAATAGATAAATATATGGAATATGTTGTTTGTTTTTTTGATTAAGTTTCTAATGAAATTTATATTTTAGGCACCTATTTATGGAAAGCCTCCTTATATAGTTGCCAATGAAAAATCAATTGCTAAAGCTTGTAGATTTGGTAGATCAAATCAATATAGTGGATTATGTGCAAGTTCTTACAATAAGATGCTTATTATGAATCCAGAACATTCAACTAGAATATTTGAAAGCTTGGATTAATAATAAAAATAATGATGATAATATTAATATTATTATGTATAAGTTCATAAATAACTACATAACAGGAAGATTTAAACTGCAATATTATTTCTAAGGGTGTTAATTCAAAATAGGCTTCTTAATTTGAATAGAATTTGAATAAAATTCGAAATGACGTAGCAATGGGAAGAAGAGCAAATCATAAAGGTTAAATTTAAGCAGCTTCTGATATGCATATAACAACATGGTCAAAAGAATTAACTAAAGGAGCATAGGAATGTTCTGAATCTTGTCCAGAACCACCTCTTAATTGTCGACATGTATAGACAAATTTTATATAGTACAAAGCTTAATAAGCATTTTTGATTCATAAATAACGTGTCTATTCAGATAATTAAGTTACAGATCCTTATTTGATTTTAAATGAATGGATGTAATCAAAATAATATGCTCAACAATTACTTTAATCAATGCTTTTTTAAATTGGATGTGGGAGAGCAATTAACTCTAATTTAGGTGATTATACACAATATATTGTATGCTATTTTGATTTTGTAAGGATTTAATCATGAATCTTTTAGCCAAATCAATTAGAACCATATAGACCAAGTTCATCTTTAAATGTTGCTAATTCATGCAGATTGGGAAGATCTTCAAGTTATATAGGTTTATGTGTTTCCCCTTATTAAAAACTTTAGGGAATGATGCAATTAAGATAGATTCATAAAGAAAGCCAATCGAAATGATTATATTATAGATAAAGTTAATTATGTTTATTTTCGTTATTTAAATTTGAATGAAGCAGCCTCTACAGAGTCGTCTTATTATTTAAGATGCAAGACGTAAGAATTTAAGTGCTGTTGCACTTCTTGATCCTTCACCTAAGTAAATCACCATTAGGAAGGCTTCCATTGGAGGTTTAAAGAATAAGGAAAACATTAATAGCAATGACACTTAGAGGAAACAAAAAACTTCTTAAAATATTAATACTGAAGATATTAGAAAATAAATTAGTCAATTAATTAAAAAAACATCATAATCTTAAAGAACTAAATTGAAGAAAATTGATATTGCATGTCAAGAATAGATAGAAATTAATGATCATAAAGAAGGAATTTTCGATGAATCTACCTTAAGATTACTATATTAAAAAGAACTAGAATATAAAATTCATCCATAATTCTTTGATCATTAATGTCATATATCTCCATAAATGAGATCTATTTTATATGACTGGATTAGTGAAGTTTGTAAAGAATTTACATTAAAGAGAGAGACATTTCATTTATGTATTCACAATTTAGATAGATATATGTCCAAAGTCTCTGTTAGTAAGTCTGAACTCTAATTATGTGGTTTAGCAAGTCTTTTAATTGCTTGTAAAATTGAAGTATTGTTATTAATTATTCTAGGAAATCTATCCACCTAAAGTTAATGATTTTTCTTCTGCTAGTAATTATGGATTCACAGAACAATAAATCTTAGATAAAGAATAAGATATTTTAACTGAATTAAAATGGTTGATTAATCCACCTACGCTTTATCTTTGGACTTCATGGTATCTATCATAATGGGATATATATTATCCTTAATCTAATTTATCAATGAAATAGCCTACATAATCATCATACACATTATTTAGGCATTTCATGACATTTCTTGATTGTGCCATTTTAGATATCAAATTATATTAATTTACCAATAGAGAAATAGTATCATCCTTACTTTATTTGGTTTTATTAAAACAATATTGTGGATGTACTTATCAAAGAATAGTTGAAAATAAAGTTCAAGAAAGAGATGTGCTTGATTTCTAGCATATTTATAAACCATTCATTGAATTAGTCTTTGGATTTCAATTTAATTAATTAAGCAGATGTATTAGATATCTGACAAAATTTTTAATATTAGATATAGTTGTAGATTAACCTGGCACAACTAAGGTTGTTGCCGAAAAAGAATTAACAGAGGTTTATGAGTATTTCTTATCAATTTAAACACATAATCCAGCCGGTCTCTAATTCATTAGGAAATGATTGATATCATATACTTTAATAATTTTTTATTGTTATTTTTAAATGGCCTTAACAGATTAACTGTGTCTTTGGTTTACTATTTTTGTATTTATATCCTACATAGCTCTTGATGTAGCACTTTAAATGCAAATACCTTTTTCTTAAATTGGACTACCACAAAAAGGTCAGATCTGTCCAAATCAATTTATCAAATATACTGATACCTTCTAAATAGAATGTGTACCAGAATGCAATCAAAAAGTAGAATCAATAAAAAAATCCCTTCATAATCATTTTGCTGGAACCAATTAAAAAAATTATATAACATGTAGCTTTTATTATTACATAGATGAAAATCAAATCTGCTTACCAACGTTTGACAAAAATTTCTATTAATTGGTACCTTATGTCGAAAAACCTATCTAAACTTATATTAGTTAATCATTAAAAGATGATGCTTTGATAACAATTTGCTTCATTTTTATTGTTTTGGCAATCACATATGGAACTCTTTCCTTTTATAGAATTTATGCTGAATTCATAACCAAGATGTCCTCAATTGTTTCACTTATCCTTAGCTTTGCTATTCTCTTAATTCTCATGAGGAAGTATAAGTCAGTTCAAGAAGCTAATGAAATGTATAATTTTAATCTTTTTACTTTTTAGATTAATTTCAAAAGACTCAATATATGATTTATCATAAATGAATGCTATTATGATACTTGATAAAATGAGTTTGGTTTATTTAGCTTTAATTGGATTAATGGCTCTTCTATTATTATACTTAATTTTTAAACATATTATGGATAGAATTTTGTTTTCAGTTTTACCCCTTTCTCATTGGTTCACTACTTTATATTACAAAGATTATTTAAATAACTAAAATAATGAGGAAAACCCACCAAAAAAATCTTAATGGTAATTGATACTATTTTAAATTATCAATTTTATCCTGTTTTATACAATTATCATGTAAAATATAATTAAATATTTAGGGCTTCTTTATCTCTAAGTTAAGAGTCTTCTCAATATGCATTTGGAGAAACCTCTTTAATTTTTAATATTGTTTTACCTATTCTATCTTTCCTAATTTATTTATACTTTGCAATTTAAATGTGTTTGCTTTCAGAATATAATTTATATTAAAAATAAAACACTTTTTATGATTAAATTGGAAAAGCAGGAATATAAGCTCTAGTTTTAATTATCTTGTCCCCCTTAATTATACTTAGAGCAATTTTTTAAATTTTTGGAAAACAGAAATTTTAATATATAGCATTGACAACTCTAAAAGTAGGTTAAGATCTAATCAATAAAGAATTTGAAAACATTAATCAACTTGAAATTTAAGCTTAAGAAATAGAATTAAGATAAAAAATTTAATTATGTAAAATTATTTATTAAATCAAATTTAGATGATTAATTAAATAAAATAGCTCATATTATAGCTATGTGTTTAGCTCTAGCTTGCAATTTCATCATGCTCATTTTATAATAAAATATCCCAGCTCCATTTCTACTTTTTTTGTTAACTTATGCAATCAGTTATTCTTATTTTATTCCAATTGTCGCCAGTCCACTTAGATATAGTTTCCTTATTATAGAATAAAAAGATTTTGATGAACTTAAAAAGGATAATATGAGATGCCTTTTAAGACTTCTAGAATAAATATAGTAATGATAATTTTAAAATATAAATTATTTATCAATAATTTAATTAGTCTTCAATGAAACAAAAGATTGAAGAATTGAATCTGAAGTACAGCATAATCATTAAGGATGAAGAAAATTATAACACTAAATTTACTAAAAATTTTCAAGATTTCTATTAAATTGCAATTGCTGCTGGAGAGGAAGATTTTTAGCTTGGAGCTCAAGCAATAAAGAAATTAAAAAAATTAATAGATAATATGTATGAATCATCAAAATTTTCAAATCAGATCATTGTTAAATAAGCTTTTGAAAGGTTATAATAATATTTTATCGTAGCATTTAAGTATTGATTGCTGTACTTTTAAAAAGTACAAGATGGCAAGATAATAATGCAGGAATTTGGATTATAATTGTATAATTGATCTCTATATTTTATAGTGTCATTTAGAGTCAAAATATAATTTCTTAGATATCAAAAAGTTAAGTTAAGTTTTTAAACTTCATCTAACATAATATTTAGAAGAATCAGAAGAAATGTTTTAAGAAAACACATCAAAATTATTAACATTATTAATGAATGAAAATAATACATTTTTTCAGCCAGATGAATATGAAGAAATACAAGAAAAGCTCATAAATAGTATGAATTAATCATTATAATTATGTGAAAATTTTACAGATTATTTTCAAGCTATAACAAATTTATTAAGTATAAGAATTACTTACTTATAAAAGGTTAAAACAATAATCAATTAATTGGACTACATACTTCAAAAATAGATTTTTAAGAAAAATATATTTCAAAAATATAATTAAGTCCATTATTATAAATACTGAAGGAACTTAAAGGTAAAACTAATTAAAATAACTTTACTGATTTATTATTGAAATGCTGCTTAGTAAATTAAAAACAAACTTAATTATCTGCTTTTTAATTATTATTAGAAGTTGAAGCTGCTGATTAAAAAGATTATATTGAAGTACTTCGATATTCTTTATTGCACAATAATATTCAAATAATCGAATTAGGAACTTCTTTAGCTAAGCATGTAATTAAAAATTGTGAATGTAATTCATTATAAGAAATTAAATTGCTTATCTTTTTAAATTAAACATTAGAACCTGTAAAGGAATGTTCAAAAGATTTGATCAATAATAGATTTAAATTATTAGATAATATTATACTGAGAGATAATTTCATATTAACACTAAATATATGTTCAATTTAAGCACGAAATTAAGATGATATATATAGACTATATTCATGGATTAATTTTACAAGGGCAATAAATACACAAAGCAGTGAAAATATTTCTTAAATTATACAATAGATAATTAAGTTTTGTTAAATTGCATAAAAAAATGATAAAAAGACCTAATTTTATTTTTTACATTTTATTGAATAATTTCTAAAGAAAAGACAAGATTCTGATAGATAATATGATTGTTCGTTTGCTGAAATTATATGTAACATGATAGGACAATTTGAAGATTAAAGAATTGACAAAAAATTTAATGACATATTTAAGATTTTTGATTTTAGTTATGAACAATTGTAGTAATTATAGAATTATGTTTAACATTCATAAGAAGCTTAATAAGCTTGGAAAGAATTAATTAATCAGCTTCACCCGACTCGTTAAAGAGAAAACAATTAAAATAAAAAATGAGTAATACTTATAAAATTTTTATTAAAATTTTAAATTCAATCAATAAATTTGTCTATTTTTTTTGAGAAAAGTTTCTTCTTCTTCACTTAATTTTTAGACTAAAACAAATTAAAAGTAAAATATTACTTAGTTCTTACTTAATAGAATTTGCAGGAGGACTACTAGAATCATAAATAGCTTAAACAACTTCAATTTTATCTGTTACTTCATTCCAACGAGGTAATTAAACCATATTAAATTTGTTTAATTGTTTTTAATTTTCTAAATGAATTTCTTTAAATTCTTAATCTTTATGTCTTTTCATTTAGTTAATTTATAGAAACTATTTAATCTCAGACATTTCTGTTTCAGCAACATCAGTAAACCAGTCAGGTATACAAGGTATACTTTTAGTTATTTTACTTTTAGCTCCACTATAGGATGGATCTTGATATACAACAACAGATGTTTTTTCTGGAATATAAATACTTTTTGCTAATCTCATTATAGCATTAAAATCTGATACATCCTTACATAAATATACTTTAGTTCCTTAATAATTGCACATTGAATAAACAATAGGACATTTTTTGTATTCTTTCTCTTCAAAATAATATAAACCTAGAACTGCTTAATTTCCTTTATCTAAAGTGATTCTAAGATTGACATTAAGAGCAGTTGGATCAATTTAATCTCCTTACCACATAAATGAGACTGGTAATTATGTAAATCTTAAACCATTGATACCATTTATTTATATAAGTTTAGGTTTGCTTTTCATTTATAAAAATTCTTTTGTTTCTTCTGATTTAGATTCTTCATGATGATCAACAGGTTCAATATGTGCTTGTTTCTAACCAGTATGTGTAACTTATTATGCTAATTCTTTGCTAGATTATGTAGCTACATATGCTAATTAAACTTTTTAAACGCTAGTATCTCCAAACTTTTTAAAATTTAATTAAACACCATGCAATGAAACTGTTAATGGAGATACTTCAAATTATATTAGTTTTGATTATGATTCTACTCCAACTAAAAATACTTAAACAATTGGATCCTCTGTAAATGTTCTTTTAAATGTTAATAAAGATGGAATAACTCTATCTCCAGCTTCTGCTTTTTTCAAAATTGAAAGGGCATCAACATTAAAATATCCAAATTCTACTTCATCTTAATTTATTGCAATATAATCATAAGCTAAAACTTTTAATGTGGCATGTAGAATTGTTAATTAAAATGTAAAATCTATATATAATCTCTTTTATTACCTTATTCAGTTACATCTTATATTTAACAAAAAAATCCAACTGGTCCTGAATCATATTCTATGGCTCTAATCGTTACTAATATTTAAGGAATGTCAATAAATTTGTCTGGAAATGTTATCTTCTTCATTATAGGATCACAACAACTTGGTGCTGTAAATTCAATAACACCTTTCATTACTGATTTCGTCTAAACTTTAATTAGAGTTATCAATCCAATCAAGAATAGTTTTTACATTATAAATTTTAATTATAAATATCAAACTATTAAATACAAACTAATCAAGCTAATGAAAAAAATAACAACAATCATAAATACAGGCTATTAATTTTATTATTATATTTTAGGTTGTTGAATTTCTATCTAAGGCTTTTTTAAAAGAGTAAGAAATGTTTTAAAATCTGGATTTTGTTTACTTGGTCTACTATCTATGATTTTCTTTATTAAAATTTCTTATTCTTTGATTTTATTTTATGCTAAGATAATCATATCTATGTTTACACAACTATCCAAATTAACTCAACTCTCTTTGTTTTTTAAATAGCTCTAAAAATTCTTCATTAAATCTTAATTGATCTAAACTGTTTTAGTTTCGAAAATGGGCTGATTCCTTTACATCACTATACTGACTATGAAGGTACTTCATTTCCAGTTTAAGATTTTTATTTTAATTTGGACTATTCTCCTAAATTAATCTTGAATCATCTATTTCATCTGAATTAAAATCATTTTCTTATTAAGAATTAGTTTCAACTTAATTTTATTATGACAAATATCGAACATGTTTATTAAAATTTTTTTTAAATATCTGACTATTCTATTCAGATCTTGATTATTTTGTCATAAAATCTTCATTTTTTATCATTTCTAATGGCAATTTACATCTTAGATTGAAAATTTTTTAAAGTTTATTAATTGCTAGACTCCAATGATAAGTTAGAACCATTTTTTTAAAATGAATTGATGGTTTTGAATTTTATTTAACGTGTATGCTACAATTATTCATCTTCTCTAATAATTAATTAGCTTATGATTTCATTTTTACTTTAATATAATAAAAATGGATTAAGTAAATTAGGCATTTAAAGAGTTATATTTTTAAGGAGAAACTTATGAAAACGTGAAAGAAAAAATAGACTAATGTCCTTATGATGAAGTTGCCTCTCTCATGGAAATTTATGTTAAAAATTATGTTGATGTAATATATTATTAACAAATAGACAGTACAAAACAATTTATACTCTTATAGTTACAATGATTAAGACTCAGCAAAATTCTATATTGAATAGCTGAATAGTCATTGGATAAGAATATAGAATATTGCATAAGAATTAAGTAAATATTAATAATTGAGTAATGGCTTTAGAGTAAATTTAAATTTAATTTAGATTTAAGAATATCATCGTATAAAGTTTTAAGATAGAATATTTTCAGATAACAAGATTAATTTTGCATTAAGAGAGATTTGTAGGATATATAAATTCAATCAATTAATTGAATCCTATTTTGGTCCACTTATTTTTCAATATTTCAGACCAAAAATAACAACTCATCAAGATTTAATGACTAATTGGCTTACTTATAGTTAATGTGAATAAGGAATAGATGAAATAAAGGATTTTGAAAGAAGACTCGAATGTGCATTGACCAATTTACCAGATAATGAAAAATAATAACCTAAATTACCACCAAATTGGGAAAAGAATATGGTGAATATGATGAAAAAGAAAAAGAAGAAGATTTGATAAACAATAATATGTAATATAAATATCTGGAAATCTCTTAAATTATTATAATCGAATTATAAAATTTAATAACATATATATATTCTGTTTTAGATAAATTAATTATTTACAAATTAAATAGAACTTTGTATATTTTATAATGAATTTAATTCATCTTTTCATTTTTATTTAGAATCCGCCTAATTGAGAAAGTTTTGAGGAAAGATTATGACATGAATCATCTTCTAAAAATAAATTAGCATCATCATCACTTTCAGAAGAATCACCATTCATACTTTCCCCAGAATCACTTTCACAAAATTATTCTATATTTGATCCACTCTTTGTTTCAGTATAAAATGAACCGGCTATCTAAATTTAATAAATTATTTTACATTTTTTACTGTTTCTTACACAATCAGATTTTCTTAATCTTCTTCATCTCCTTATTATAATCAATATATATAATTAATTATTATTATAAATCTAAAAATAATTAAATAAGTACTGTATTGTTCAGCTATTTATTACATCATTTGAGTTTTTTATTTTTCAGTAATTATTGCTTGTTTCAATAAAATATATTATCTCATAGATCTTCTTTTTGCTTTTGAAAGGTTTATTTATTCAGGTAATACCGAAGAACCTAAATAACTTAATCTAACCTATTAATTAATTTAAATCAATACTTCTTTTTTTTATTATAATGGGGTTCCTATTTCATTATTAATAATTTATAGTGATAAAAATGATGAATCTAAACAATCTTTTGCAGATGGTCTTTAACTTTCTTCTAAACATAAAACTTTTTTTAGAAATAATTATGCATCTTTACTTAGACTTACAAATTTAGAATTATTAAAATCAATATTACCTGCAGTATTTGAATTTAAAATAGCACTGATTGTATTTCCTGAAAATAATGGTTATTGAGTCAATAATATATATGCAATAACTCCTGCACTAAAAATATCAATTTTTTCATTATAGATTTTTAAATTGAGAACTTCAGGAGCAATATATCCAGGAGTACCATATTTTTTATATTCAAATTTTGGTATTTTTTTTGCTGCTAATCCAAAATCAGCAATTACAATAGTAGAAGAATCTTTTACTAATATATTTTCTAATTTAATGTCTCTATGCATAATATTAAGAGAATGTATATATTTAAGACCTTGAAAAATTTGTTTCATAAAATTGCTAATTTATTGTTCACTAAATTGAGAATTTTAAGTTTTCTTTTTTTGGAACTCTTAAAATAATTCCCCTTTTGCATATTCATATATTAAATAAATCTATTTATTATCTTCATGAATTTCCAGTAATTTAATCACATTAGAATGATCAATAGGTCTGAGTAATAAGATTTCTCCAATAACAGAATCTCTAAGTTTAGTAACTTTGATCAAATCAACTTTTTGAAAGGTCTTGCAAACAAATTGCTTCTATTTATTGTCCTCAATGAGATAACCCTTTTTTTAATATAAAGTACTTTCGAATAATTTCCATTGCTAATTTGACTTAAGAATCTAAATCTATTTTAGATCTAACCTCTTGTAATACAAAACCGTATTAGATGTTCGATCCAAGTTTTTAATTATTTTTGGTCAGTGCAATGATATTCTTTCACTCTGTCATATGAAGTCAATATAAAACTTTTATCGGTATATGATAAAATAAATAGATTGTNGTTCAGCTATTTATTACATCATTTGAGTTTTTTATTTTTCAGTAATTATTGCTTGTTTCAATAAAATATATTATCTCATAGATCTTCTTTTTGCTTTTGAAAGGTTTATTTATTCAGGTAATACCGAAGAACCTAAATAACTTAATCTAACCTATTAATTAATTTAAATCAATACTTCTTTTTTTTATTATAATGGGGTTCCTATTTCATTATTAATAATTTATAGTGATAAAAATGATGAATCTAAACAATCTTTTGCAGATGGTCTTTAACTTTCTTCTAAACATAAAACTTTTTTTAGAAATAATTATGCATCTTTACTTAGACTTACAAATTTAGAATTATTAAAATCAATATTACCTGCAGTATTTGAATTTAAAATAGCACTGATTGTATTTCCTGAAAATAATGGTTATTGAGTCAATAATATATATGCAATAACTCCTGCACTAAAAATATCAATTTTTTCATTATAGATTTTTAAATTGAGAACTTCAGGAGCAATATATCCAGGAGTACCATATTTTTTATATTCAAATTTTGGTATTTTTTTTGCTGCTAATCCAAAATCAGCAATTACAATAGTAGAAGAATCTTTTACTAATATATTTTCTAATTTAATGTCTCTATGCATAATATTAAGAGAATGTATATATTTAAGACCTTGAAAAATTTGTTTCATAAAATTGCTAATTTATTGTTCACTAAATTGAGAATTTTAAGTTTTCTTTTTTTGGAACTCTTAAAATAATTCCCCTTTTGCATATTCATATATTAAATAAATCTATTTATTATCTTCATGAATTTCCAGTAATTTAATCACATTAGAATGATCAATAGGTCTGAGTAATAAGATTTCTCCAATAACAGAATCTCTAAGTTTAGTAACTTTGATCAAATCAACTTTTTGAAAGGTCTTGCAAACAAATTGCTTCTATTTATTGTCCTCAATGAGATAACCCTTTTTTTAATATAAAGTACTTTCGAATAATTTCCATTGCTAATTTGACTTAAGAATCTAAATCTATTTTAGATCTAACCTCTTGTAATACAAAACCGTATTAGATGTTCGATCCAAGTTTTTAATTATTTTTGGTCAGTGCAATGATATTCTTTCACTCTGTCATATGAAGTCAATATAAAACTTTTATCGGTATATGATAAAATAAATAGATTGTTATAGAGATTGCAGTATTTAGTTTTTTAATGACCAAACTTGATCAATTAACCTTCTTTAGATAAAGCAAATTCATAATTTGAACTTTTAGTTAGATTGACTAATTGGGACTTAATTAAGAAGGTTGATTAAACATTACCAGTTATCCAAAAAGTTGTATTTTTAAGGAGTGATTATAAATTCTTACTATTTGGTATATACAAGTAATCAATGTTTTGAGATTATTAGAGCATTTATTTATTTAATAATTTTTAATTAATAATGGGATCATGTGCATCAATGAAATAAAAAAAAATAGATGGTAATATTTAAATAGCAGCATATAAGTAAATATAAATAATGATTTAAGAGTTTGTATAACAGCTTTCATTTGGAATAAAGAAAGTCATAACTTATTTGATTTTGAGAGTCATCAAGCATCCCGTAAAGAGTTGGAACTAGATTTTTCAGGTAAATAATTTAAATATGATTTAGCCACACTTTCAATGGTTGATAATTAAATAATAGCATTAAGTGAGAATGTAAAATATTTATGAATATAAAAAAGGAATATGTTAAAAAATAAGTTTAATTGCTTAGAGTAGATTGTGAATAAGATTATGTAACTCTATCTGAAGTGAGCTAGAAATCGGATCAAAGAGTATGGGCTATCCTATCTAAAAGACCAGAATTTGAGTCATTAAATGTATAAATATATATGAAACATTAAAAAGGATTGGGAACTATAGAAAGGAGATATCATTAAATTAGGAAGGATGAAATTACAACTTATAGATTTTAATTATGATATAGATGCATTACAGTAATAACATGACTAAACTGAAGTTAATGATGAAGAAATATAGTCACAAGATTTAGAACCAGATGGTTGCTAATGTAGAATTTGTTTCTAAAAATCGGCAACTGTCTCAAACCCTCTTTTTAGTCCATGCAAATGTAAAATTAAATCAATTTTAATTTCTTAGGTATTGGATCCATGAAATACGTTCATCTACATTGTTTATAACTTTGGATACAATAATCAATTAAAGTTAAAAATTAATAATCTTCAATCTAATATATTTGGAAAAAAATGGAATGTGAAATTTGTAAAATGCCATTAAAAAGCACATATACTTACTAAAGATAGATATTTTGTATTATGTAAATTTAAAAACCTAATGTTCCTTACATGATTTGGAAAATTACATCAGATGATAAATCTAAAGAAGGAATTATCTAAGTTATGGAACTATAAGATAAAGCAGAAATTAAAATAGGTAGAGTACCTGATTGTGATATTAAACTTAAAGATATATCAGTATCTAGAAATCATGCATTAATCAAAGTAATTAAATAAGAAGACAATTAATTTAAACTTATACTGTAAGACAATAATTCTAAATTTGGAACCCTTCTATATGCTCAATCAGATAAATTACTCAAATATAATTTACCCTCATTGCAAAAAGTGCTTTATCAAATTGGAAGAGTCTTACTATACATTCAATTTAAGGATAAAGGCAAATCTTATAATAAATAGTAATCTAAATTTCATTAATTTAGATTCACCTGTTATAAACACCCTGATAAAATAGTTGTTTAAACTAAAATCAATCAAAATGAATAAGCCACTATCATCCCTAATGTTGAAAAGGATAAAGATAATTAACTATCTTTTTAAACTAATAATGAATTACATTAAGAAGATATAGTAATTAATGTAAAATAAATATGATTACCTATTTGACTAATTATATTATTTATTTATTTAAATATTTGTCTGTTAAATGATATAAAAATTAAACAAGTGGGATTGCATCATAGACCCTATTATCAAAAACAATTAGTAAATGTAAATTACTTATTAATCATTTAAGTGGTGGTTTGTATTTGGCTGATATAGATTGTGCATTAAGCTAAGATTTATTATAATAATTATAAGTTGGAGCTTTACTTAGTGTAATTGATGAACCTAAAGTAATCACTTCTCCAAGCATTATTCATTAAGTAATTAACATTCCAGATTGTACTGAATAAAACATTTAAGAATTTTTCCCTAAAACTAATGAATTTATAGAAAGACACAGATAACATACTAATGTTATGGTTCATTGTTTTGCTGGTATATCCAGAAGTGCTTCTGTTGTTATTGCTTACATTATGCAAAAATTCAATTGGGGTTTTTAAAGAACTCTTAATTCAGTTATTGCTAGAAGACCACAAGTAAAACCAAATTCAGGCTTTGTAAAATAACTCATCTAATATGAAACTTAAAATAGAAATAGATCATCTTCTTAATAACACAGAATTCTTAACACTACAAATACTGTTATTGGTAAAACGCCTTTTTAATCAGATAGTAAAAATAATAAATACTTTTAACCTTCAAAATTAGATTTAAATCAATTAGAAATGGAAATTGCCAAAAGACAATAAGACTTATAAGTTTTAAGAATTAAATATTAGCAACTTAATGATAAGATTATTAATAGAAACAGTGTTTATGTATCTGCTTTTGAATGAATTGATAAAATACTTATATATTATATTTCATTTCTTATTTCATATATTTTTCATTCATTTTATCTACATTATTTTTGGATTATTCTATTTATCAAATAACAATAATAACTATATAGAAAATATTTTTCATATTGCTGCTTATTTTTTAAGAATTGATATCAAATTTTATCTAAATTTTTTAATATTATATGCTACATATTTAAATTTTCTCTGTGTTAAAGAGAACCAATATCTACAAAAAAAGAGCTTTTAATTTATTTATTTTTTATAAAAATAAGAATCTTTAGATATTATTTTATAATTAGTTTGTAAATATATAAATTTTCATCATCATATTTTTTTATGCATTTTGATCAAGGAATGGATATCTTCTAAAACTCTTAATTTATTTTATGTTGTATTTTATTCTTATTTTACCTATAATACTTATCTTGACTGAATCTCTCTTTCACTTTCATAAATTCTAACTTTTTCTTCAATCTATAAAATTATTTTTAAAATTTACTTATTTTAAAGAATACTAACTCTATTCAATTTGTTATTTATATTTTGCACATTTTTAAGCATGTTTAAGTATTTCATCTTCCTAAGTTTTAATTTTTTATTTAAATTCATTTTCTCTATTTTTATATTCTTTAATTTCATCTTTACTCTATGCTAACTATTTAACAAGATGATCAATTTTAATCTCAATTTCATCCATTGTTTTATTATTTTCATGTTTTGTCAATTAAATCTCATTTTCTAAGTCTCGATTATATTATTAGGTTTTAGTTGTTTGTTCTTATAAATTTAAAATTTAATTTTTAAGCTAAAAATAATACATTAAAGGATACTTATTCTATTGTACGAAAATCTTATCGAGTTTATAATTCAAACTCTTCAACTTTTTGTTTCTTAATTTATAATGCAGATTTTTAATCTTAAATTTCAAGAACAAGACTTTGTATCCTATTTTCTGCACTTAACAATTTGTTTTATTAATTATCAATGACAGATTTAAGTTCAGAATTAATTTGTTATAGTTTTTAGTAATCCTAAATTTAAATTTAATTGTTTTTTTCTTCGTTATCTAATAATCTTTAAAAATCAGTGATTTTTTAATTTAAATTATCAATAGTTAGTTTTTATTCTTGTATTTTTGATTTTTTTTTTTCAAGTAAATCTTTATAATTGGAAATTCTTTTTTCAACTTCGGTTTCTTAAGATTACAAAATAACATGTTGTTATTTTTCAATTTTAGCTAATTAAGTATAAGCTTCATCTTATTTATATATAGCTTAATCTAATTATGACTTATAGTAATTGAGTTATTAATTTAAATATTCAATTTATGATTATTAATCAGCATCTCTGTATCTAATATCCTAATACATTTATTCAAAATATCTAATTTGTTCATCTCTATTAATTAATTCATCTCTTAATTTTAATAATTCTCCTTCTAATACTTTATTTTGTTCTTCTTAATTTTTTCTATAAAAAATAAAACAAAATATGATTACATTTCATTTGAAAAATCTTCACATAATTTTTAAACTCTTTCAAGTTCTCTACCAAAATTTTAACCTTGTTCTTCATAAACAGTTTCTGCTTATTTTAATTAATCTCTTAAAGCAGTTAATTTTGATTTTTTATCTCCTAATTTTTATTTTAACATATGATTTTGCTATTATAATTCTTCAATAATTTTTTCCGAAGTTTCAGCTTTGATTTTGACTTCTTTAGTACTGATATCTCCCTTATTAATGGAATCCAATAATTATCTATTTTCTTATTCTAATGCTTTAATTTATTTATCCTTAGCTGATAATTTACCTTCTAATTCTTTATTAACAGTCATATATTCTTTAAGTGTAATCTAATGAATAAAATAAGAGTATACTTTTAATTCTTTATTCAAGATTCTTATTCTTTCATATTTTTCTCTTTCTTATAAATCTTTAGCATTTAATGTTTCCCTAAGTCTACTAATTTGTTCTAAAGATCCACTTTATCTACGTCTTTCTCTTGAAGAATCATCTCTACTATTTTTGATGAATAGATTACTCATCATCATTAAGTTTACTTGGTCTTGATCTACCTATAAAATATGAGACAGGTTATTGAGGAGTTGGCTCATATTACATGATCTAGTCTATCTATTGACTTGTTTTCTTATAACGATCCATAAGTTTATTGACATTTCTTTCTAATCGGTTATCCATTATTTAAATTCAAAATTATTATAATTCAGGTTAACTTTATTTTCTTAATTCTTACGAATCTATCATTTTCATATCTGATTCTTCATGCTACACATCATGGAATGGATTCTTTTCTTCTTCAAATAAGTCTAATTTCTATTATTGAGATTATTTTAAATCCTCTTCATTTTGCTCATCTAATTTCTCTATATTAACTTTTTATTTCTTCTAATTTGATTTCTAATTATTATTATTATTATTATTATCAATATCATCCTCAATCAAATTTACTAATTCAGATTCTTTCCTATTATTTATTACTAATATTTCACTATGTGACATTTTTACACTCTCTGGTTAATTATCATCAAAACTAAAATTCTATTATTAATCTTCTTAATCATCTTCCTCTTCACCTTAATTTACATCAAATGGTGAATGTATTTATTATAAAAATATTCTTGATGATCTATTTTATCTTTAAATTAAAGCATAAAAATGATCAATTTCTATCTTACTTAATTATATTTCAATCTAATTTAAAACCTCTAAATATGCCTATAATTATTTTTTTATATTGTTTTACATCTATTGTAATATATCCACTTGTATAAGTATCTGGATATTTCTTTATTAAAATATCAGACATCTCATTTTTTTTTTTCATTATCTGTTAATTTATATTACTCAATTATTCTATTGTTAAAATTTAATAGTTTTCCATTAAAGTCTTAAATATACTTTTTACTCTTGCACTAGTTGTTGTTTCTGTCTCATTTTCAACATCTGCTAAATAAATTGCTGCCATTTCCACCTATTCATTTGATTATAAACCAAATATTCTATTTGATAAATTTTATTTTAATTATTATTAAGTAAGTATTTCATCTGTCAATAAATATTCTTCTACTTATTATAATGATATTTTCAATCCAATCAAATTCAATTTTACTTATCTAGCAATAGCTAAAATATCATTTTTATCCACATTTATAAATTTCTTTTTTTATAATTCTATTTCCTCTTATAATTATCCTTATTCTTCAGGCTATTATGGTCCATTACTCTTTATAAGTATAGTTCTCTTAGATTAATATCTTAATAATTTTTCTTATTCGTGTTCTCTTTATGCAGTTTCAAATTATCTCTTTTAATCAGCCATCTTTTTTTCTAAACTCTCTATCTATTCTTGATGATCTGCCTAAAGTTTTTACATTTGATTTTCCAAATATTTACTCTTTTATCTTTCATTTCTTAAATCTACCATTGCTTAATCATAACTCAACTATAATTATTCTTCATTCTTTTTATTATCTTTTTATTATGGCCTCTCAAAAAACAACGTGTCTTTCTTTTTTAATTCCGCTATCTCCAATAATAATTATGCATTCAGATTCTTTATTTACTTATACTTATTTAAAATTGCATTATATTTAATGTTCATTTTACTGTAATTATTCTAAATTTATTTAATTTTCAGTACTTATGTTTATATAACTGTCTATTCCAATTACTAAATTAATTATGACATTCTCATATTATCTTCACTTAGAGACATACATAAACCTTCAACATTGCTTTTATTCAATGGACTCTACAATTAATTAATATAAGATATTTAATCCTATAACTATTGCTACAATTTAATGTTATTGTCCTAAATTTATTTATTCTATACTTCAAGCTTTGTGATTTTCTCCATATAACCTTATTTTATTCTCTAATAATTCTTTGGAGTAACACATTCTTCTTTTAAAATTGATTGTACTTCTCTCTTAAAATACTAATTTTACGATTAAAACTATCGTAATGCTAATTTTAATTGGTTGTTTTCTTATTTCAGATTTTAAATTTCCTCATATAAACTCTCTTTGTCATGAATTATATATTTAGCTTTCATTTTACTGCCTTCTGTATTGTCAAGTGTTACATTTCTAGTCAATAAATTAAATCTATTCAATTGCTTAGAAGATTGCACTTGATGTGATTTCTATATTTATGATAATGAAAGCATCCTTTTATTATATAATTAATTATCAAAATACAACATTTGTAAGAGCTATGCAAAATAAATGCATCTCTCATCAAAACATTATGAAAACTTTCTAAATAATCAGAAAACTCCCCATTCATCCTAAACATTCCTATAATACTCAAAATGAAAATTAATGATAAAGATTATAATTTATTTATTTTAACCAAAAAACTATTGTTATTATTCATAATCGTATCTATCAATACAATTTATTGTGTTGTCTCCTTATTACAAATATATATCACTATCTAAAGTAGATATTTAGCTAATTTGTTGTTGTAAATTAAACATAAATAATAAAGTCATATATATATTTTAATTACTGTATATATTAGCAATAAAAATCTGAAAATATTATGTATATTGAATTTAATCACATTTTCAATGAATTCTCTACTCTATTACAAGTTTCATTTATTAATTTTATGATTGTTCTTTCTGTTTCATCTCTTTATTATTTTTCTTCAGCTAATTACAATGATAAAATGCTTGTAATCTCATTAATCATCACTTACATTTGATTCTGAGAGTCTTACCTTTATTATTTCTCTATATTTAATATTTCCTAAACCTATAGAACTTATTCGCCTATTCTACTTATCATATTCTAACAATGTAGGTCTCTTTAAATAAAAAATAAGCTCCTTACCTTTCTCTTCTTTCATTATCGACATTCTCTCTCACTTAATTAATTTTAATCTCAATATCATTTTAATATTGATTCTAAGTATCATATCTATATTCTCTTTGTCTAGCTAATTTTATTTTTATTTAATGAGATTGCTCATCCATCTAATTTCTAATGCTTGTTAGTTTATCTGTTCTCTTTTTTTAATCTTTCATTAGTTCATTCTAAACTAACGATTCTAATTGTTTCAAATCTTTCTTTCTAAAATTTTCAATATTATTCTATCAATAAATTTTATTTTAATACATTTCTTATTTTTTATTCGTTTGTTAACATCTCGCCTATCTTATTCAATTAATTTTAGAATGATATAATTCGTTAATCATCATTTAAATATGCTTTTTAATATTTTTCATCTATCTAATTTAATTTTTCTTCATAAGGTTCCTTTTTGAATGAAAATTATTCATTTATCTATAATTATGAAAGTTTGAGGCTAATGTCTTATATTTTGGGCTTATTAGGAGAAACTAAAAAATAATGAAATCCTCTTACTTGAACTTCCATAAACTGAAGATAATAATAATGAAGAGTTTGTGTATTTTGTCGAATTTGGTGATTAATAAATTTTACTATTTAGCATAAAAATAAATTAATTGTAATAAAATTTATAAAACTCTTTTTATGTATAAATTAATTAAAATTACTAGAGTATTGATTAAAAAATATATATAAATTATAAAGTTAGAAAAAATATACTATTTTTCACTAAATAGCAATCAATTTAGGAATATTTTTGGGTGATTATTATAGAAAATAAATTTTATCATTTTTGAGAATATTTGTGGAATATTAAATTTGTCATTTACACTTTAAACAAAAATAAAAATTCTCTTTTGTTCTTGACAGATAGAAAACTTTATTATCAAATTGTTTATAATGGAAAATTTTATCATAGCTAATTAAATAATTGGAAATAAAAAATTAATTAAAATTTTAGAAAAAGAAAGAAAGCTATTCCATTGATAAATAAAAATTTTGTTTTTAAAAAAAAGAAACTTTAGAAAAATAAAAAAATTCTTAATAAGTAAAAGTGATTGTTTAATTTTTAAATGATGTATTTAAATAGTTTGAATTGATAGAACATTTAATATATATATTAATTTAAGAGAATAGAAATAAAAATAGATATGATGATTTAAGATATAAAAATATCATTTTCCCAAGCTTTTGATAACTTCGTTTGTGAATTGGTCTGTAGTGGCATTTCCACCTATATCTTTAGTTTTAATCTAAAGTATATAAGATTGTTTACCTTCTTATCTTAAATAGTATGTTAAACAGATCGACAAATTTAATCAGCAAAATTAGGTAAACCAAGATGTCTTAGCAAAAGTGTGGATGAAACAAGCATAGCAGAAGGATTCACAACATTTTTACCTAGAATGTAAGATATGATTACCTGCTATATCTCTTCCTGTATGTCTACAACCTTAAGAAAAAAGAGCATGATCTCCGCCAATAGATGCTCCAGCAGCCATTCCTACTCCTCCAGTTATTCCAGCAACCACATTTTAAACAATAGAGCCATATAAATTTGGCATAACCATTACATCAAATTATGTTGGATTCTTTACCAATTACATACAACAATTATCGATGATCATCTCTTCATATTTTATAAATGAATATCTTTATGCTACTTCTCTACATGCTTATAAGAATAATCCATCTACTAATTTCATTATATTAGCTTTATGAACAGCTGTAACCTTCTTTCTGCCACTAAGATGAGCGAATTCAAATGCATATTCAGCTATTCTTAAAGATGCTTATTTTGTGGTCACTTTTATTGATTCTACTACTCCTGGATATACTTCATGTTCTACTCCTGAATATTCACCTGTTATTTTCTATTAAATTGTTACCTTCAGTATTCTCTCTTATTACTACTATGTCTGTATTATTATGTCTTTATGTAATCCCTTCTACTGAAAAAGCAAATGTAATATTTGAATACAAGTCTAAGTATTTATAGAACTTGTAATTGTCTGTATACTTTTAATTCTTTTCTGTCATCACACCCAAAAGAATACATTCATTTTTTCTAAGTTACTTCTTTGAATCATCATTCTCAAAATTAAAATTGTCTAACACATCAAATTTTATTGGAACATGTAATGCTTCAAAAACAGTTCTTACGCTATCTATTAATTTCTATTTTTTAGTACTTGTTATTTCAGGACCTATACCTACTCCAGGAATTAATGTGACATTTTTCAAAGCTCCTTCTCCAGGCTTTTACAAATAGTTTTAAGACCAAGCACCTCTGAGTTAAGCATTTTAAACAAAAGCTGATCTTACACAATTTCTCATAAATAAATTTTTATAAAAATATTTGAAATTATGATTATGTATATAAGAACCCCCATATCCTAGAATAATTCATATTATTATAAATTATTATTATATAATTTTATTATTTATGTCATAATATAATTTATATATTATAACTCTATTAGTTAGTCATTTTAATTCATTTATCTCTACCCATACAAGTAAACAAACTAGCAATCTTCTATAACACAGATCTATCTGTGCTGTTATTTTTTTATTAAGATACTATTTATTATGTTTGATAACTTGTTTATGTTTCATCTGAATAAGAATTTGAAGATTCTTCCACCTTCATCTTAATTTAATCTTCTCTAGTAATAAAAGGATGCATGAATATCTAATTTAAAGAAATTCTCTCATTAGGATTCGGATTAAGCATCTTCAAAATTAAGTCTTTTGCACATTAATCAACAATTGTAAACTTTGGCTCTGTAAAAATAAGTATCTACTCTATCATTTCTGCCTCAGTACCTACCTTATCATTAGTCCTTACCTGTTATTATTGGTTTTTTTTCTAACATCCAATAAAGTAAACATCCCAAACTCCAAATATCTACAGAATAAGACTAAGGATAGTTCCTTAAAATTTCAGGAGCCATAAACTCATAGGTACCACTAAAATTGCTAATTATGTCTATATGAGTAGCCAAACCGAAATCACATAATTTCACATTTTTTCTATGATCTATCAAGACATTGCTTGGCTTTATGTCTCTATGAATTATTCCTTATTAATGGAGGTATTACAAAGCATTACATAATTATAAAACTACCTATTTTGGATCGATTTACAAACTTGTTGTCAAATGCCCATATTCTAAACTTTTATTATTAAATACTTGCATATTCCAGTACTAAATATAAATCATCCTCTTTCTCTATGAATTATAATAATTAAATTATATATTTATGCTTAAGAAGCTTATGAATTTTGAGTTCCCTGTTCCCAATATATTTATTTATTTTTTTTATTGCAAAATTATATCCATTCAGTTATTTTAAATAAACTTACCCAAAACTTCCTGAACCTATTAAATTCATTTCATAATTCAATTAACTTAAAGATAGTTTAGGAACTGATTCAAACAAACCATTACAAACTAAATAATGGTATCCTTCCCTACCAAATTACTTATCATTTAATACCAATCAAAATCTCTACATTTTATTGAACAATAAAATGCATTTGAGCAGCTATCACAGCTTACTTGAGTTCCATTTAATATTGAATTATAAGGTATATCCTTATTGCATTTAGCATTTTGGCAATTCATTTGAAGTTTCAGAATGAAAATTTATTAAACTAAAATAACAAATACATTTTAAACTTATTATTTTTCATTCACTTATAATCATTATCCAAAAATAATGGCACCCTCATCTTTTTCTAAATATTGCCTTCTCATTCTTCTGTATTCTTAATTAAATTTCTCTATTTAATCTCTAAATCTAAGATCATCAAAAATTTTATTTTGCTCCCTACTGATAACAATTCTCTTTCTCTTATTAAACCCATAGTTTTTTCTAACTATATTCAAGTATCTATTAGCTTCTTTTCGTTCTTTCGTAATTTTTGCTTTTGCTTCAATTAATTTGTTTTTGCCCTATCATATTTCAAGCTCAACTTATGCCTTAAAGAACATTAGTTATAATATATTATTGAGATTGCAATTATTGAAATAAACAGATTTAGAAAATATTTTATTTCGGTTTATTTACAAATTATTTATTTAATTAATGCTGATATTAAATTAAAATTGCAAATTATTATTAAGTATTTATAATACATGTTTTTTTTTATATTTTGATAAATAATGATAAAATCTAGGTTCTATTTAGTTGTGTTTTTCTATTTTAATTCTAAAATTATCATCTAAAAATTATATTATCTTGTAATCCAATAATTTAAAACTTGATTCAACAACTTCCAATATATGATGAAGATGTTATCTTTATCATTTATATTGTAACACAAAAATAAATCTTATTTATATTGTATTACAAAAATAAATCTTATTTTATTATTGGTGAAAAATAATAACTTTATGTATATTTAGTAAATCTATAAATCATGTATATATGCTAAATTTATTTAAACTAGAATGATCTATCTTCAGGTTTTTTAAAAAGTAAATATTTTTTGGGCAAATTGTGAATTGAAAAAACAGCGAAAATAATTATTTCTTATAAAACTAAAGATATATTGAATAAATTAATTATTGGTTTAGCTTTAAATTTATATTATTATTTTTATTCAGATAAGTCTGTAAACTCAAATGAACTCAACATCAGTTGGAACAAGCATTAGAAATAATAGGGAATAAATGTCAAATATTACAATCAATAAACTTCTGCTTCCAAACAACATCATATTAAAGAAATCTCATAACAATTCTTAAAGCCAACAAATTTTAGATTAACATTTAAATGAAAATGTTTTTTTTATTCCAAAAAAAAGTTTGAGAAGAGTTAAATATTCAGATTAAAATAGTAAGTTAGAATTCTATCATTCATAGTATTGATTAGCTCAATAACTGGAAAATCACTATAATCCTAACTAATCGGTAAGTTTTTGCGTGAGAACAACATTCATTAATTTCATCGAATAAACTCTCGAAAATAAATTGCCATTAAAGAATTAGTATCAACATCCAAAGTTTATAATTTTATAAAAAAAGATGGAAATATAAATACAGAACCAAATTCAGATAAATAAAATCTCCCATTTAAGCCTTAGTTGAAATAATCTTAAGTTATTGATGATCAATATAAATTCACTTTTTATAGTCCTAAAACTGAAGAGAACAAACTTAGATTGCCAAAAGAATTCTAAATTCAACNCAGATTTAGAAAATATTTTATTTCGGTTTATTTACAAATTATTTATTTAATTAATGCTGATATTAAATTAAAATTGCAAATTATTATTAAGTATTTATAATACATGTTTTTTTTTATATTTTGATAAATAATGATAAAATCTAGGTTCTATTTAGTTGTGTTTTTCTATTTTAATTCTAAAATTATCATCTAAAAATTATATTATCTTGTAATCCAATAATTTAAAACTTGATTCAACAACTTCCAATATATGATGAAGATGTTATCTTTATCATTTATATTGTAACACAAAAATAAATCTTATTTATATTGTATTACAAAAATAAATCTTATTTTATTATTGGTGAAAAATAATAACTTTATGTATATTTAGTAAATCTATAAATCATGTATATATGCTAAATTTATTTAAACTAGAATGATCTATCTTCAGGTTTTTTAAAAAGTAAATATTTTTTGGGCAAATTGTGAATTGAAAAAACAGCGAAAATAATTATTTCTTATAAAACTAAAGATATATTGAATAAATTAATTATTGGTTTAGCTTTAAATTTATATTATTATTTTTATTCAGATAAGTCTGTAAACTCAAATGAACTCAACATCAGTTGGAACAAGCATTAGAAATAATAGGGAATAAATGTCAAATATTACAATCAATAAACTTCTGCTTCCAAACAACATCATATTAAAGAAATCTCATAACAATTCTTAAAGCCAACAAATTTTAGATTAACATTTAAATGAAAATGTTTTTTTTATTCCAAAAAAAAGTTTGAGAAGAGTTAAATATTCAGATTAAAATAGTAAGTTAGAATTCTATCATTCATAGTATTGATTAGCTCAATAACTGGAAAATCACTATAATCCTAACTAATCGGTAAGTTTTTGCGTGAGAACAACATTCATTAATTTCATCGAATAAACTCTCGAAAATAAATTGCCATTAAAGAATTAGTATCAACATCCAAAGTTTATAATTTTATAAAAAAAGATGGAAATATAAATACAGAACCAAATTCAGATAAATAAAATCTCCCATTTAAGCCTTAGTTGAAATAATCTTAAGTTATTGATGATCAATATAAATTCACTTTTTATAGTCCTAAAACTGAAGAGAACAAACTTAGATTGCCAAAAGAATTCTAAATTCAACCTTGTAGCAAAAAGAAATATTTCATATGAGTAAAGCAATGAATCTAATAATTATATTTAATAATTTTTTATTGTAAAATCTTTAAGAATCTCATGTCTGTAAAAAAAATAACATCTCCTTAAAGTAGTAAATGCAATTCAACTAATCGAGGTCATGAAATAAGAACAATTTAAAAATTAGAATGTTTTACAAGTACAAATGCCAAAATAAATAAGGTATTCAACTCTAAGGGTTATTAGTTATTAGTGCAGCAAACATCAGTTAACTTATGCTACGGATCAATTTTAATTCAATAGCTTAACAAATAAATAATTGATAAAAATTAGACATAATCATGACAGAGAACAAATAATTAATTAATTACTTGAAGAGAACATAAAATTGAAAGAACAAAATGATCAAAAAAATAAATTAATAGAAATGTTAATAGATGAAAGAACAGATGCCAAAAGAGTTACTAGCCTACATATTCCTCATGAAAGAGATATTTAACAGTCAAAAACAAATTTTAGACTTTTGAGTCCAAATCATATGGAATTTACATTTTATAAAAGTCCTAGTAGAGGCTTACCTAAAGAATTCTAAATAACTCCTTCTAGGAAAATGTTTTTTTGAAAAATAATAAATACTGATATTTTCATAAATATTTGCTCTATTATTATGCAAATTTAATAAAATATCATCATCAGCCTTTATTTAATATTTAATAAGAACTAATGCATTTTAAACACAACTAAATCAGTAATTAATTAAGTTAGTTATAAATAAAATTGATTAATATTAAAAATGCTTATTTTTTATTAAATAATTAATTATTAAATATACAAACTCTTAAAATTTTAACTAAAAAAACTAAGTTCTCTAAATATTAGACAAAATAATAAAATTTTCAAACTAATTTTTTAGATGGAAAAGGATTCGGAAACAAAAAAGTTGATACTTTTAAGTGAATAACAAAATGCATAATGTAATTCTTCGACTGATGGAAAATTGGAAGAAATAGATTCATTTTGGAACTACAATCTTAAGTAAATTGGCTCTGTAAATTTGGAAGATTTATTTTAAATCTAAGCAGAGGACAATAGTACATTAGAATAAATCAATTCAAAACTAAAATTATTGTTAAAACCAAAAATTGAAATTGTAAAATTTAACTTCATCAATAGTTTTTAAAAGTGAATCGTAGAAACGTTAAACTTATTAGATATCCAAAAGTTTAATGGAACTCAGATGTAAATAATGAAAAGAAGATGGGCAAATAATTATTATTTTCAGAATAATAGATTGGAAATCAAAAAAATGAAAATATTATTCACAATATTGCGCCCTAATTAATACATTAATATACAAATTATTTAAAAATAGATCAAAACATAAAAGTAATGAGTGTGTCTAAAATAGAGATAAGAAACCTAAGATTTAAATTTTAAGTACAATTTTACTTCAGAATTACGAGAATAATTTAAAAATGACATTCTTAAAGTAAATTAAGAAGTGTGGAGATCTTAAGATGGAGTCAAAGAAATGATTATCTTAAATTAGAAATATGCTCTGAATCATATGGACATTAGTAAGATTATTTTTATTAAATTCTAGTTCAAATTTATTCTTAATTTTTATATTTAATTGAAAAATAAAATATTTCAAAATTAACATTGGATGAAATATCTGAATATCTCAAAAATTAAATAATAAAAAAAAAGGAAAATCTATAAATAAACTTAAGTTCATTGATTCAGATCTATTTATAATTATAAAACAAACAATTTTCTGAAGTTAAGTAAACGATATTTTAAAAATTAAATCTTATGAAATAATTTGATTTAAATGCAATTTAGAATCTTTCGTTTAAATCTTTTAAAACTAATGAATACATCTAAAAAGATTTTGCATTTATTTGCAATTCATGTTCATAATATAAAAATTAATGTAAATGTTAATTTATGAATTAATTGGGTTAAATTAAAAATTTCTTAGAATTTTGCTATATTTTAAATTATAAAGGAAACACAAAGAGATTTTAATGGTGTTATGATTTACTAAAAGCCAATGCTTAAAATACATGCGGATAGAACTGTTATAAAAATCAAAATAACTTTGATATTTTAAAAAAGCAACCTAATTTATATTAGTCGATAGAAGAAGATGAAAAAATTTTAATTGATAGAGATCCATGCTTATTAGCTCAAATGTATAAAAAGGATTGTTTATAATTTTTTAAGCAATGTAAATATCGATATAAGGAGATAAAAGAATAATATTTATAAGCAATCAAACAAATATAGGAAAAACAAGATTAATAAGCTCTTGTCAACTATCCATATAATAATGCAAATTTATATATTCCATGTTGTCATTAATAAGATTTTAAATGTGAGAATTGTAATTGTGACTAATTTTGTTCAAAATACTGTGATTGTTAACAAGATTGGTGTTAAAAAAAACTAAAAGGATGTGCTTGTAAAGATAGATGTTCTATAGATAGTAAATGTTCTTGTAGAAGAGAAAATGTGGAATGTGATCCTTTGGTTTGCAAATGTTGTAGCATCGATTCTTATTTAATTTGTTCGAATATCTAGATTTTAATTAAGAATGTTAAGCCTACTTTATTAGGAAGATCAGGAGTTTGTAATGGACTTGGAGTATTTGCTAGAAATTACATTATGAAGGAGGAATTAATAACACAGTATATTGGAGAAGTTCTAATTGAGGATGAAGGCGAAATTCGAGATAAATTTGATGATACATTTAGTTTTTATAATTATTAATTGAATGAAGAAAAATATTCATTGGAAAGTCGATTTTGTGGAAATGAAAGCAGATTTATTAATCATAATAGTAAGAATTTAACGAATTGTTATATTCAATAAATATTTTCTTCAGGTACAAATATAATTTAAATTTCAGGGAAATTTCACTTAGCTATATTTGCTCTTAAGGATATAGAGCCTGAATAAGAGATACTTTTGAACTATAATGAAGGTGATCAAATAAACAAAGATCTAAACAATTGGGTCGATATGAATTCCTAATATTGGAATTATAAATTTACTGCTTGTATAGGAAAAAAATGATCTATATTTTTTTATAATAATTAAAAGTAACATCAATTCAAAATAATTTTACTATTTCATCTTTATTGAAGAATAGAGAACTTTTCATAAGCTGACAAATATTTTCTCAAATGAATTAGAGAGTTATTGCACACAAAAAGTAACTAAAATTATTATTCATAATTATTACTTAATATTTTTTAATTAAAACTTGAATCAGTTAGAGTAACCTTTGTGCTAAGTTTTCCTGTTTAAAATGATAGAGATTTACTACTAAGTGTACAATATCTTCATATTTTTTTTCTTGTTCAAGTAGACTTGATTCTTTCATATTACAAAACTCTATAATAGTCTTCAAGTTAACTTTTTTAAGAGCTTAATAATCTTCTTATTCATTAGGTACATATCCATAACAAATATTTTTATTCAGCTAAAATATCATTTGTTTTAGTTTTGTAAGTCCATCTGAGAAAACGAGCAGCGCATCTTTATAATATTATTCTAAAATTTGTTATTAACAATGTTTACATGAACAATTTAGGTTAACTTAATAAACTGGACTGGAAAACTCACTTTTTGTTAAAATATGATATTGATATTGAATTTAAGGGTCCTCAATATTGATGAGAAATTTCTTCTACGATACTCCATCCCTATTTTTCATTTGAATTCTTCTTTAAAATTGACCCATCGTAAATTATGATCCAGCAATGTATATTTGGAAGTTCTATGGATTTGCACATTGAAAGCATATTTTTCTATGGTTCCATACATCGAATGAATGTTTATTTGTTACTCTGTTAGGCCCTGATTCCCAAAATACTTTTTGAACTTTATCATAATGAGAAATGAAATATTTGTATTCAAGTTCATGATAAGCTACCTCAGCTATCCAAATATCATGCTAAACATAAAGCTAAATTATACCTAGGTCCAAATCATTCTAATCGCCTGCTCAGGATTCCATTGTCCTAAAAATCTTGATTTACCTGAAATATATAGGGCCTATCCAAATTCAGCCTTATAATGGATTTATAATTGGATCATTTTTACTATTAATTAATAATTACAAAGGATTTATTTGAGAAGGTTATGATGCTAATAATAATACGCAAATTTTACACTAGTAATTTTTAATAAAAATGATATAGTATGTAATATAATAAATTAATCTAAAAATTGTATAATCTCCAACATCAAAACTGTAAAATCTGGTTAGATATTTCATTTGGATAATTTTAGAATTTGATAACAGAAAAATGAGGGAATATCAATTTAAATAATTTATAATTAATTTAATATATTCAGGATGGCTGAGATACTTTTACTTTTTTTAAATTGTTCTTAATTTATTAGATGATCTCTAATAAACATATTTCCATAAGCTTTTATAAATAATTATAAATCTATAATTTTGTTTGTTTGTCTATTCTCGAACTTCTTTCTATAATCAATTCATTTAAGGAGAATGCGCTTTTAAAAAACATCTGTAACCAGTACAATAAATCATCATTAACCTTACTTTTTTGTTTTAAGTAATCCTTATAAACAAGCATGAATTGTTCCTTCAACTCTTAAGATAACGATCCTATTTCTGCCTCTGGTGTAAATTTATATAAAACTGTCATCTATAGATATTAATATGACACACTTTATCAATTGCAGCAACAGCATTTTTGAATAGAGCTGCCTTGTATTTATGCTCCGGTTCTGAAATAAATATTTTTGGTTTAAACATTACATATTATGTAATAAGTCCTCCCTTTACAAGTAATATATTCCATCTTTTGATTAAAAAACTCACCTACAATATTTTTATTACTCACCTTATTTTCTAATTTATCAATATGATGAATTTATTCAAGAGATTCATTTAGAGTAATTTTACAATCATTTAATCTATAAGGATTCATTTAGCATTAATCTAAACATTATTAACATTTATCTAAAAATTTTTCTATATTCTTGTTAACTTTTCCAAGAGAAGTTAGAAGTATTATTGTTTTTGTGTAACACTCTGCTTATTCAAAATGAGAATTTGAATGTAAACCTTTACGAAAAAGGATGAGAGCGTTACCTAATGTAATGTTATTACTTGTCTCTTCCTATAATTCAATCAATAATTGATCAATTTTTTAAATCATAATTTAATAATCTCATTTTAATATTTTAATGGAAACCTAATCAATATTTTTTAATCTAAAAAGACATTCCTTGTGATTTTCATGTAATTTTTTTATTTATTCTAATAATTTTATTCAAATATGTTTTTACTTGAGAAATATTGTTTTAATTTATAAAATTTAAGAATAATTTATTACATAAATTTATTATATTTAAAATTTCTAAAAGAATTAAAATGTGCATACGGAAGAACATATTATTAAAAAAAAATGAAAGATTTTTTTGTAAATTTAATTTTTTTTTTAAATTATATTGAAGCATAAATGATTTTAGAAACATTTTTAAAAAGTGGAATTTTATATATAGAGATAGAAATTGACTTAATTATTCTTAAAAATAGTGAGATATTGAATTAACATTCAATTAAAATAATTCGAGTGAAAATTTTGAATTGATATTGTGTTTAGTTTTTTTATTAATAATGCTAATGGTTGAGAATATATAATAGCATTGATTTTAAAGTTCATAATTAATAATATAAAAACGAAAAATGGATATCAGATTAAGACAGNTAACCAGTACAATAAATCATCATTAACCTTACTTTTTTGTTTTAAGTAATCCTTATAAACAAGCATGAATTGTTCCTTCAACTCTTAAGATAACGATCCTATTTCTGCCTCTGGTGTAAATTTATATAAAACTGTCATCTATAGATATTAATATGACACACTTTATCAATTGCAGCAACAGCATTTTTGAATAGAGCTGCCTTGTATTTATGCTCCGGTTCTGAAATAAATATTTTTGGTTTAAACATTACATATTATGTAATAAGTCCTCCCTTTACAAGTAATATATTCCATCTTTTGATTAAAAAACTCACCTACAATATTTTTATTACTCACCTTATTTTCTAATTTATCAATATGATGAATTTATTCAAGAGATTCATTTAGAGTAATTTTACAATCATTTAATCTATAAGGATTCATTTAGCATTAATCTAAACATTATTAACATTTATCTAAAAATTTTTCTATATTCTTGTTAACTTTTCCAAGAGAAGTTAGAAGTATTATTGTTTTTGTGTAACACTCTGCTTATTCAAAATGAGAATTTGAATGTAAACCTTTACGAAAAAGGATGAGAGCGTTACCTAATGTAATGTTATTACTTGTCTCTTCCTATAATTCAATCAATAATTGATCAATTTTTTAAATCATAATTTAATAATCTCATTTTAATATTTTAATGGAAACCTAATCAATATTTTTTAATCTAAAAAGACATTCCTTGTGATTTTCATGTAATTTTTTTATTTATTCTAATAATTTTATTCAAATATGTTTTTACTTGAGAAATATTGTTTTAATTTATAAAATTTAAGAATAATTTATTACATAAATTTATTATATTTAAAATTTCTAAAAGAATTAAAATGTGCATACGGAAGAACATATTATTAAAAAAAAATGAAAGATTTTTTTGTAAATTTAATTTTTTTTTTAAATTATATTGAAGCATAAATGATTTTAGAAACATTTTTAAAAAGTGGAATTTTATATATAGAGATAGAAATTGACTTAATTATTCTTAAAAATAGTGAGATATTGAATTAACATTCAATTAAAATAATTCGAGTGAAAATTTTGAATTGATATTGTGTTTAGTTTTTTTATTAATAATGCTAATGGTTGAGAATATATAATAGCATTGATTTTAAAGTTCATAATTAATAATATAAAAACGAAAAATGGATATCAGATTAAGACAGCAATCAGCAATGACCTATCAAGAATACTTAAACTATTATAATAAGGAGCCAGATTCTCCCCATATAAAGTAATAATATTATTTAAAAGTTAAGGCCCAAGGATAGTCCAGTAGAACCTTTATCAGATTTAGAATTGAGTCCTGTTTAGGAGAAATATCGAAAAAAGTTAACAGTGTAGAGCTGTAAAGTTATCAATATTAATTCAAAACTATGATTATCAACTTTAAATAGTAAAATATGTTCAGCTAAAAAAAATATTTTTTTAAGATATGTAAAATATATTTGTGCTTAATAATAAGAAACTTAAACTTATTTCTTTCAAACTTAAATGTTGGTAAAATCTGCACTTTTAACAACTGATAAAGCTTATTCACTGATTCCAAGTTCTCTAGTGAATTCATTTTTTAAGTTTGTGTAGATATCAGTCTCTTCGGCATATGTATTATTTTCTAATTCAAGTTCAGCAATATATTATTTTCTATCAGCTTCTCTTTAATCTCTGAATTCGCTCATTTAATCAATTTTTTCTAAAATTATTAATATAATTGATTACCATTTGTAGCTGTCAAGTCAACGTTGATTCTATTAATTTGTCTTTAGAATTCTGCAAATTCAGCATCTAATTACTCAAGATATTCTTCATGATCAGCTTAAGCATCAGCTTCTGCAGCTGTTTATGCATTTATTGAATCAACAATAGCATTTCTAAATTCATTAAGAGCATCTACAATTTATCCGATAATTCCTTAATCTGAAAAGTTTTAATTAGAAGCTAAAGTGATAAGAGCTTTGATCATTGGAGCCATCTTAGATCTTGATTTAATTTTAGATTCAATATTTTTCAATGAATTTTAGAATCTCTTGATTTAGAGGAGTGATGGATTTGTAAGTGATGAAAGTAATGCTAGAGCATCATCAACTGCAGCTGTGGCATCGTTTAATTCTGCAACTTAAAATTCAAAATCTTCATGTTCTTATTCCCTTGTAAGAACTGCTTCATCATAATTTTATCTATTGGCCTCTTAATATTCTTAGATTTATTCGATTCTAACTTAGAGTTATTCTCTTCTTGGGAAAAGTAAGTTATCCAAAGTATCTTAAGTATTGTTAACATCTAAATTTTAAAAATATTATCTTACCAATCACGGCATCTTAAATATCCTATTCATATCCAATGACTAATGAATTATGTTCATTTGTTCTTTATTAGAAATTGAATTCTAATTCTTCTAATTCCTCTTCAAGGTCATTTATAAGCTCTTCGATAGCATCAACCAATTCTTATACTGGTCCTCCTACCATTGAGTGAAGTTCAACCAAATGAAGAAGTGCATTTCCGTATGTACTCTTTTTTAAATCAGTTGTAATCTTCGCTAAATTCTTTTCTTACACTCTGGCTGTGAATGCAATAGCAATCAAGGTAATAAGCAACACTGTTTTCATTAAAAATAATTATGTAAAATTTAGAAAGAAAAATTGTATTAAACAAAAACGACTAGCATATTTTTAATATAAATTATCAACTAAACTTCTTTCAAAATAATACTTATACAAAGTTTGAATTAATTAAGAAGAAAAAATCTATTAAGTTTAAGCTATCATCGCACAGGCTTATTAGAATTTAATCTTTATTCTTATGTTATATTTTCAAAATATGAATTCATAAATACTAAATTTTATTTAAAACATAGAATTATGTATTTACCTCACTCTATTGATATTAAATAGTAATATATAATCTTATAAATCTAGTTCATTTTTAATAAGTAATTATTTTAAAAAAGTCTTCAAAATTCACCATGTCATCCTTATCAAAGTCAGCTCTTTTTAACATTTCATTCAATTCATTTTCATCAATTATCTCACCAACTTCTCTACAAATTTCTTTCAAAGATTCTAATTCTAAACAACCTTTATCATTCGGTTTAAGAAGATCAAATACTTCCTTTAGATTTTCTCTTGACTTAATATCTGATAATCGAACAGTCATAAGATCTAAAAATTCATCAAAATCTATTTTTCCATCATTTTTATTTGTTTATGCTATATCAATTAAATTGTTGAGCAATTATTCATCAGTTGCAAATCCCAAAGATGCCATCACAGTTTTTAATTCTCTTGGATCTATTTCTCCACCCCTTAAAATTATGTTATTAAAATTACCCATCTTCATCAAAAATATCGAATGCCTCTTTGATTTCCTTGATTTCATCTTCTGTGAATCCTGGCCTTTCATATGATTTTATGTTGAAAATTTTATTAGGTCCTGGAGGAGCTGCAATAGATTTCTTTGGTAACATTAATTTATAAAATGAGATAAAGACCTTTATTTCTAAATGTTGACTTATCTTTTCAACCAAATAAAACAATAAATAAATCTCCGGTATAAAGGACGAAAACTTCACTTAAAGAAACTTAGAAATCGTAAACTAGATTTCATTCTCCTATAGATACTCAGCTTACTCGTTAAATTTCGACAAATATCAACGTATATACATAATATAATTTTTTGGCAATAGAAACTAGTGTGGAGCAACAGGCAGATCTTTAACCTCAACAAATGCTGAATAAGAAATTCTAATTAAATAAACTTTTGATTTCAAAATGATCTACTAACATAGTTTAAAAGCTAACTATATTTTTAAGATAACTCATATCAATATTTAAACACCATATGATCTTCTCCTATTTTGATAAATTATTATCCAATTTTAGTCTAATTTATTAGTAAGTTTCATTTGAATAATGATTCTTATTAATAAATAGAAGGAAAAAAGTTTAAATCGATATTAGGATCAAGGCAACCCTAACAAAAGAAGAGTCTGCAGCCAAAAAATTATCTCATTAGCATCTGATTGTTCACACTTTTGAAGATACAAATAGGTAATTTAAGTTTGATATTATATTCGATAATTCAACTTAAGAAGAAGTCTATTATTTACCTTTTATAAATAGTATCAAATTGTATTGCTGGAAAGGCAAATGGTGTAATTATTTATGGAGAAATAGGATCTGGGAAACTCCATGTTTGATATATTTTAGCAAATTTAGGAATAAAATGAAAATGGAAACTTTTTCAAAATCGAAATGAGTATTATACTGATATACATGGATAAAATCTATGATTTACTAATCAACAATAGGTAGTCATTATAAATAAGAATCCAAAGATTCAATTCCATATTTTTAAGCGGGCAGTTTAAATTTCTCTTGAAGATTAAAGGGAAGCAATTTAATTGATGAAAAAACTTTGGATAGTGGAGATTTATTATAGTTATCTGAGTTAAAGGAAACTATCAAAGATTTATTAAAAATTTAAATAAACTATAATCTTAGCAGAATCATTATCAAAATAATAAGATAAAGATTTCTTAAAATTTCTCATCAATATCATTCTTAAATAAAAGAGTCATATAGTAACTTAATCAGCTGTTAACTCTAGGAAAATAGACATTAGCTGAAAAGTTCTTACAAGATAGTACTTGTTACTAGACAATTTAATTCCCAAAAGAATTTTAAGTCATGAAAATAGAGCCAATTAAATCCTGATGGCAATAAAGAATAAATTAAAGAACTTGTTAAGAGTTTTACCTAAGATATTTATTATCTTGTATAAGCCTTTAAATAATACACTGATATGCTTTATAATTATATTATTGAGAAAATTATTGAATAATATAGATTAAAAGAAATCTAAGTTTGGGCTAAAGGTTTGCCTTTTTTATTGATAACAATTAAATAACTCTTAAATTAACTATATGAAATTAAATAATTTGAAATTGCCTCTGATATTTATTTGGAAGTGATTAAATAATAGTTAGATCATTTAATTAAGATAAAGAAACGATCTATAAATCTCGGTAAAAAGTTAAAGATCTGATTTATAAAAATAAAAAAAATATAATTTGTTAGCATTTTCACTAATATTACTTTTTCTATTCTTAAAAGAGTTTTATTATTATTTTAAAAATTTCAAAGATAAAAAAAATAATTTAAAGTTTCTTAAGTATTTCTTCTCCCTATGTTTATTAAATATTTAGAAATTATATAAATATTAAGAAACTGTGTATTTAAATTAATCAAATTTATCAACAAAATAATACTAACTTGCTCTTTCATAAGTGTAATTAAATGAATAAACCATATATACGTGATGTATATCCATTTACTATTTGTTAGAGCCTTTATCATCAAACAATTTTGAAATTGTCAAATAAATAATTTAATTAATTGATGTAAAAAGGATTACTTTTTGTTTGCTATTGTGGAAAATCACACACAGAAACAATTTTCCCTTTATATCAAATCTATAATTTAATCTAATTATCATTTTTTATTTTATTTTTTCAAAGATAGATTGCAGGTGTGATTTCTCCTTTACTCGCTTTGTACCATTTCAATTTAGCCTATTGTTGTTAAAATTAATAATTTAAAAAATTTTGATAAGTAATCATATCGAAAAATTGTTTCAACTTAGAAAGAATTAAGGAATACTTATTTACGTTAGTTCTAGTATACTTCAATGAAGATTTTTGTTTCTTAAAATCCCATTATATATATTATATTATATCTGGGATTGAAAGAGAACTATAACTTCTTATTAATTTTTGATTTAAAGCTGAATCTTGAAACATTAAATTTATTCACAACACATAGATAACCTACTATATAAAATAAATGGTATTGAAAATATAATCCAATAGTTAGGATTCAATTAAAAGAACATTTAAGATCTTATTGACAGACTGAATTGGACACATTTAATTATAGTCCTGAATTTTAAATTGCTATATAGTTTAATTGTGCCTACTAGTAAATAATCCTAATAAATTTTCAATTTTGTTATTTAACTTCATAATTTTAACATAAGAATAGAAGGCTTATTTACACATTAGATAAAAAGTAACTATTCTAATTATATAAAAACGGATTATAATATTTTTATGAATAAATTTGCATTAGTCTTGATCCTTGTTGTCTTTGCAAACTCCTCTGAATTGAACAATTAGATTTCTTTAGGAAGGGGTATTCTTTTAACTTATAAAACTAGAGCTAAAATTTTAAGAAGCATTACATCTAAGTGCAAATCGTTTCACATGTGAAATGGATCCAAAATTTTATGATTTTATTATTTTGGAACTTTCGAAATGGTCAGATGTCATTGATCGAAAGCCATAATTAATAAAGGATTTGACAATTATCGAATAGATAATTAAATTAGTCGATAAGTCTAAACAAATAGATAATGCGTAATAAGGTATATATGTTTAACTTAAATAGACATGTTTATTCAAATGACTCAAAGTCTTTTAACTACAATTCAAGAAATATCAATGCTTGAAATAAAAAATCAATGGGCTTAATTTAATATTGAACAGGTATTATAATAGATAAAACAATTATCTTAAATACCTAATACTGAATAAAGAATCTAAATGGCAGAAAAAATAGTCAATTAATTGTTAATTATGAAAAAACAAATTAATTTTTACTTAAATGAATGTTAAGGTTATTAAAGCAATTCTTAATTATAAGAAAAAATAACAGAACTAATTATTAAATAAAAAAAATGTGGTTGGTCATATAATAATTAATATTAAGGTACAACTCGATTACCGCCTGGAAGATCAGATTAACCTGAATCTTCAGATCCAAAATATGATACATAGTCAGTTCATTAATAGGCAGCTAATTAAGATAAACCATTTTAATCAAATCCTAATTATTAAGGTGGTTAAAAAGAATCAAGATAATAATCAACTAGATTACCACCTGGAAGATCTGATTAACCTGAATCTTCAGATCCAAAATATGATACATAGTCAGTTCATTAATAGGCAGCTAATTAAGATAAACCATTTTAATCAAATCCTAATTATTAAGGTGGTTAAAAAGAATCAAGATAATAATCAACTAGATTACCACCTGGAAGATCTGATTAACCTGAATCTTCAGATCCAAAATATGATACATAGTCAGTTCATTAATAGGCAGCTAATTAAGATAAACCATTTTAATCAAATCCTAATTATTAAGGTGGTTAAAAAGAATCAAGATAATAATCAACTAGATTACCACCTGGAAGATCTGATTAACCTGAATCTTCAGATCCAAAATATGATACATAGTCAGTTCATTAATAGGCAGCTAATTAAGATAAACCATTTTAATCAAATCCTAATTATTAAGGTGGTTAAAAAGAATCAAGATAATAATCAACTAGATTACCACCTGGAAGATCTGATTAACCTGAATCTTCAGATCCAAAATATGATACATAGTCAGTTCATTAATAGGCAGCTAATTAAGATAAACCATTTTAATCAAATCCTAATTATTAAGGTGGTTAAAAAGAATCAAGATAATAATCAACTAGATTACCACCTGGAAGATCTGATTAACCTGAATCTTCAGATCCAAAATATGATACATAGTCAGTTCATTAATAGGCAGCTAATTAAGATAAACCATTTTAATCAAATCCTAATTATTAAGGTGGTTAAAAAGAATCAAGATAATAATCAACTAGATTACCACCTGGAAGATCTGATTAACCTGAATCTTCAGATCCAAAATATGATACATAATCAGTTCATTAATAGGCAGCTAATTAAGATAAACCATTTTAATCAAATCCTAATTATTAAGGTGGTTAAAAAGAATCAAGATAATAATCAACTAGATTACCACCTGGAAGATCTGATTAACCTGAATCTTCAGATCCAAAATATGATACATAGTCAGTTCATTAATAGGCAGCTAATTAAGATAAACCATTTTAATCAAATCCTAATTATTAAGGTGGTTAAAAAGAATCAAGATAATAATCAACTAGATTACCACCTGGAAGATCTGATTAACCTGAATCTTCAGATCCAAAATATGATACATAGTCAGTTCATTAATAGGCAGCTAATTAAGATAAACCATTTTAATCAAATCCTAATTATTAAGGTGGTTAAAAAGAATCAAGATAATAATCAACTAGATTACCACCTGGAAGATCTGATTAACCTGAATCTTCAGATCCAAAATATGATACATAATCAGTTCATTAATAGGCAGCTAATTAAGATAAACCATTTTAATCAAATCCTAATTATTAAGGTGGTTAAAAAGAATCAAGATAATAATCAACTAGATTACCACCTGGAAGATCTGATTAACCTGAATCTTCAGATCCAAAATATGATACATAATCAGTTCATTAATAGGCAGCTAATTAAGATAAACCATTTTAATCAAATCCTAATTATTAAGGTGGTTAAAAAGAATCAAGATAATAATCAACTAGATTACCACCTGGAAGATCTGATTAACCTGAATCTTCAGATCCAAAATTTGATACATAGTCAGTTCATTAATAAGCAGCTAATTAAGATAAACCATTTTAATCAAATCCAAGTTATTAAGGTGGTTAAAAAGAACCAAGGTAATAATCAACTAGATTACCACCTGGAAGATCTGATTAACCTGAATCTTCAGATCCAAAATATGATACATAATCAGTTCATTAATAAGCAGCTAATTAGGATAAACCATTTTAATCGAATCCAAATTATTCTTTTGATCCTCTTTTTGATCATTTAACTGCTCATTAAAATTCTAATTATCATGAAAAATCTTTAAAAGGTAACCTTATACATGATGAAAATAAGTCTACTCCTACCAAAATGAGCGATCAGCCTGAATCATCTAATCCAATTTATAAATAAAAATAAGCTTAAACAATAATCGAAAATTAAGGTTTTGGATCAGGTTCACCAAATATTTATGATGAAGATGGATGTCCGTAGGGAGAGGAAGATGAAACTCCAATAAATTATGAAGAAGAGGAAATACCAGAATAACCTGAGCCAGTGAGTTAAGAAGATCCAGAAGAAAATGAAAACCCATAAGAGGAAGATGAAGAAACTTAGAAAACAGAAATTGATAATGAGGAAACAAAAGAAGAGCCTAAAGAAGAACCTAAAGATGAACCTAAAGAGGATCCAAAGGAAGAGCCTAAAGATGAACCAGAGGAAGAGCATAAAGAGGAGCCAAAAGAAGAAGCTCCTAAAATTGAACAAAAATAATCTATTCCAGATATACCTCCAGATGATGAAGAACCGGCTGTTGAAGGGGACTTAGTAAAAACAGAAGGCATTGGCTCATCAGTAGAAGGTAGAGTAGGGTAGCAAGTTTAAAATTCTTAAGAATAAGAACAAGATGAATCTGAGGAAATGGATATTGAAGTAGATGAAGAAGTTGATGATGGCAAAGGAGGAAAAAAAATTGTTAAGAAAATTATTAAAAAGACTCTAAGAAAAAGTAAATAAAAATAAGCTAAATTAACAAAAAGTTAAAAAAAACCACAAAAAAAGGTTGTTTCAACAACTAAAACAACAACAAAATCATCAGGAGTGAAATAAAAGACTTAAAATAAAAAAGCTGGGGAATCTAAAAAAAAAGTAAAATCTAAATCAGGAGGAGATGGCAATGGAGATGCAGAAGAATATTGGGAGGAAACAGAGGAAACATTTGAAATTACTGAAGATGGCAAGGAAACTTTAGTATCATCCACTACTAAATCATCTACCCAAAAGAAATAGGTTCTAAATGCCATCGGTGATACGTCTATAGATTTAAAGATTTTAGATATTAATAGTGAAGATGAGAAAGTAATGGAAGATGATAAAACAATGTTACAGGATAATTTTATGGAAAATGACAATTTAGCAGAAGATTACTATTAATAAGATATCTTTTATGAAGAATTAGATGATAAATTTATTTATTATGAATATGATCCAGTCGAAAAGGTTTTTAGATAATCAGCAATAATTTTAAAACCTTAATAACAGAGGTCCTTGATGATATCAAATTGGAATGATCTTATCGATTACGTAATTGATCTAGAGGATAATGAATAAGATACCTAAGAATCTAGTTAAAGCGAGCAGAAAGAAGGAAAAGAAATTTCAGAAGAGAAAAAATAGAATAGTGAATAGAATACCAAAAGTTCATAAGAAAATAAGGATTAACAATAATAATAATAATAATAGGAGCAAAAGTAATAATAATAGTAATAGGATTAATAGGATTAATAATAATAATAATAATAATTATAATAATAATAATAATAATAACAATAATAATAACAATAAGTAGAAAAAGATTAGAAGATACCCTAAACAGAATAATCCAAAGAAGAAAAACCAAAATAAGTTGAGGAATCTTCAAAAGAGATTAAATAAGATCAAATAGAATAATAGGCTAAAAATTAAGTTAGTAAGCAATAAACCTAAGATTAACAGACCAAATAAAGTTCAGTAGGGGATGTTATTTAATAAATTCTGAAAGATGAGAAATAAGGATTAGGTGTTGGTTAAAATCAAGAATCAAAAAAAGATAAACAAGAACACGAAGTTGAAAAATCGTTGAAAATAAGCTCAATAAAGGAAGAATATAATGCTAATGAACCAACTCAATATGTCCCTCCAAAACATAAAATTAATTCACGACCTGCTAAAGAAAAAGTGGTTGTACCTGTATCAACTAAATATGTTTAAAGTTCTTTTGATGGGGAACCAGCAGAACAGTATGAATTTGCAGATCGAGAAATGCTTTAAGATTCTGATGAGTACGGTTATGGATTTTGGTTAAGGTACACCGATAGCTCTCCAAAAGAGCACTAACGCTAACCTTAGACTTATCATTTTATATCAAGATTGACTTCAAATAAAGATTATAAAGATTATACATTCTATGGAGATAGAACCCTTAGCATATTCTTATTAGAAAATACATTTGTCTTTTCAACTTATGACCATGGAGATAGAAAGAAAATAAAGGATTAAGTTATAGCTTTAAATGAAGAATTAGAAAGTATGTGGTATTTTCTTACATTTTCTTACAGTTTGGCAAAAAAGGCAGCTGTTGGTTATGTAGTAGGATATGGTGATAATGGTAAGATCTTAAAAACAGAGTTAAATTGTTAACATGTACCTCCCACATACTTTAAACTAATAATAGGGGGAAAGCATCTAGCATATTAAGGATTTAATGGATAATTCGCAAATATTTTTTATGATATTGATGCTCCAGCTTTTATTGATAGTGAAGAAAAATTAAATCAACTCATAAAAACGATAAGTAATAGTCCTCAAGCAGTTAACAGTTTAAGTGATTTGGAAATCTTAACAACTCCAAGATAATTTAATGCTAACAGTAAAGGAGATGCTATTGTGTTAGATCCTTAAGAATCAACATTAATAATAGAAGAGTATAGTTTTTCAGGATGGTTCAGATGGGTAGACGATTTAAAAGTTGATGAGTCAAATACATTCTAATTATTTAATTTGAGATCTACAAATAAAAAGTAGCCTAATAAAGGAGCATTAGGGGATCGTGCATTAGAAGTACATTATACTTATGGAGGGGGAGCTAAAAGCACAGTTTATTTTAATACTTATACAATTTAAGGAAATAAAGCAAAAGGAACACCTTATATTTCAAAAAATGTTGAATCACCAAACTATACTTGGACTTATGTTTACTTTGGTTATGATAATGATAAAATAAAAGCTTATGGAGCATTGATTAGACCAGGTAAAGCTGATGAAGTAATTTTTGATCCAGTACAACATAAACTTGTTACTCAGTTACACTTTACTATAGGAGGTGATGAATAAATCTCATCATTTAATGGTAAAATAGGATATGTAGGTGTATATTTGGGACCTGGAGCATTTAAATCAAGCCTTGATTTTGGTTAACAATTTTTCTATGGAGATGGTGCAATTGGTGTTTATCAATTAGTCAAGCCAATTTAATTTTAAGATGATGCTCAAGATCCTAATATAGTAAGAGATGCTGAATATGATTCTGATAAACCTTTAGTAGATAAGATATTAATTCATGATGATACCAAATTAAGATTTAATGGATAGAGTGAATATTCATTTGGATTATGGACTAGATGGTTATAGACATTACCTAAATTTTTAGTTCAAAGAGGAGCTGTTCATAATATAGCAAGACTTGGAACAGCACCATATTTAATAGAATAAGTTGATGGAAAATTAATGAGAGCTAATAAAAGACCTTCTTAAGATAAAGACCAAACTTTGGCAGTTACATTAAACAAGGAAGCATATGAATTTTATACATACAAAGCAAAAGATGAAATTAAATTTGAAGACATTGAAGGTTCTTGGAATTATGTCTATTTTGGTTACAAACGACATGCAAATAAAGGCATAGCTAAAGGTTATGTATAGTTTGGAGTTGAGGGGCACATAAAGGAAGTAGTTTTTGATATTTTACATGATTTCTTGTTAGAGTATTTAGAGTTTGTAGTTGGAAAAAGTACAGCACCCTTCTTTAATGGACAAATGTGTAAAATTTAATGTTCAATTGGACCAGGATCTTTCTTTAGCTCAGCAGAACAACTTAAATTATATACTTAAAATACCCTTCCTGATAAAGCTTAAATACGTCCTATATCTAGATAAACATAATAATTAATAGGGCTACCTGTAGAATAACCAACCTAAAAGTTTTAATTTGATAAGTTTTAAGGAATCAAAGAATATAGTATCTCAGGATGGGTAAAATGGAGTGGAATGTAGAAGGTAGGAAAGGTTTATCATATTGCTTCTTTTGTTTAAAAAAGACTTGCTGATCTAAATGGAAAATCCGAATAAACTCTTTAGATATAAAGATCAGATTAGGCTTATAACTTTAATACCTATTCTTGTAAAGGAGACGATTGCTCTGGAGTTGTTACCTAAGATTAATCACTTGGAGAATATTGGGATCAATGGACTTATATTTACTATGGTTATTCATAATTATTAAAGAAAACCTTTGGTTATGTTAAATTTACATTTACTGATAGTAAATTTAACTAAGATTAAATTACTCACTTTTATGTGGCAGTATTTTCAGTCATTATTTCATCAGAAGAGTAAAAGTTTATAGGTTCAATGAAAACATGGGTAATAAATGTTGGAGAAGGATCATTTAGAGAAGGTAATTTTGATTCTGATGAAAATATTAAAGTACATTTTGGTTTCATTAGTGGAACAGATCATGTTAAATTATAGTAAGCAGGATAAGAAGCACATCACATAGAATAAGTATTAGAATGTGCATCAAATGAAAAGGATGTTCCTTTACATGTTTAATTTGAGTAAAATGAAAAATTGCATATTCATGGAGTTAGTGAGTATGGTTATGGATTTTGGGCTAGATACTAACATTTTGCACAAAAAGGTGTTTTGTATTAATAACCATAATGGATGGGATTAGCTAGGTTAACTAACTAAAAGGATTACAAAGATTTTGAATAACCTGGAGATAGAGTTCTTTTAATTTTACAAGGTAAAGGAGTTCATCATTTTTCAACATACAACGTATAACCAGCTTCAAATAATGTGAATGGAAATATTCCTTATTTATTAGAATCTGAGAGTGAATGGATTTATATTTATTTCAGTTATAAAAGAATCTCATAAACTTTAGGTCATGCTGTTGCATTTACCTCATATAATGATATAACTGCAGGAATTTAGATGGATGTAATACATACATTATTGTAAAACTATTTACAATTAACAATTGGTCATGCAGGAAAGTTCTATCCAAATTTCAATGGATAAATAACAACTGTAAGATTTAATCTTGGCCCTGGAGCATTTATTGAAAATAAATAAGGCATTTTGGCAAGAATAAAAAATAAAGATCCAAAACCAGAAATAAATACAATTACAAAATAATTTGAAGTAGTAGCTGGTAAATAAGATGCCTAAAATCTAAAAATAGTAAATCCATTAATAATTGAATAAGAAGCAAGAGAATATTCAGTGTCTTTATGGTTTAGATGGTTTAAAACTCAAGTTAAACCTAATTAAGTAATTTATAGATTGACATCAAATACAGGAGATGAAGATTCAAAAAATATTGGTGATAAGGTTTTAATGTTAGCACATATCGGAACTGCTTTATTTAGTACCTATTCTTTGTAAGATTATACTTTAAATGTGCCATATGAATGTAATATTCCAAAGTAATAACTTGAAATATGGACATTTGCATACTTTGGTTATTCTAAAAAAGAAAGAAAGGTTTAATATTTCTTAAGAGCAGATTCTCATGAAAATAAAGGATTAGAACCTATATTACATGCAGTGGCATCTAAATATCTTCTTTTTGTTGGCAAAGATGGTCATTTAGAAAATTATAATAGTAGATTAGCTTAACTTACTGTAAATTTTGGAGATGGAGCATTTAGAAATGATAATTTCTTACAATTGCCAGTATATATTTTAGGTCCTAAGTTATTTTCACAAGAGAAAATGCATAAATGGGAAAGAAGTGAAAAATTGATATTAGGTTAACCATAAACTATTAGATTAAATGATGAACCAGATAAACCAATAGAATCTATGTAAGAATACAGTATTGGACTTTGGTGTAGATTCTTGTAAACTTGGCCAGAGAGATAATATAGATTACCTTTAGAAATGTAATTAATAAGGTTGACTAATAATGAAAAGAATGAAGTCGGAAAGGTTGTTTTAGGTGATAGAATTTTGGCATCTTATGTAATTTAGAATGGATTTTAATTTGCAACTTACGACTTGAATGATGAAGCTCCAAATGAATTACACACTATTTCAAATTAAAGATTAGAAGGAAAATGGTATTATGTTTATATGGGTTATATGAGATAGAAATAAATTGCTTCATTTTTCGTATTTGATGGAACTGAAATGTTATCAGCAAAGAATACTGATCTCTTACATAAACCTTTAGGAGATTTTGTAATTTTACATATTGGAGGTGAACCAGATGTACCTTCATTTTAAGGAATTATAAGTAAATTATCAGTTAGTTTTGGTCCTGGATCTTTCTTAAGCTTAGCATAAGAAGTTATGAAAACCATTGATAATTCTTAAGCATTAGAGTAATCTTTAACTGTTGGATATATTCATAAATAGAAACATGGATAATAAGAATTGATTGGTAAATTAGAAACTGTTACAGATGAAATAGGTGGTACTGAATTAAGAGGAGAAACTTGGTCAAGTGTTGGAGAATATTCAATAAGTGGATGGTTCAAAACTGCAAATGTTAATGGAATGAGTGCTAATGATTGCTAAATCTTATTTAGGGTCACTAATAATGATAAAGAGCATTTAAATGATAAAAGATCTTAAGGTGATAGAATATTTTTTGCATCTATCTGTGTTGATTCAATTAAATTATCCACATACACACTTTCTGGTTTGAAAGATTGGAATGAGGCCAAATTTTTAGAGGAAAATGTACCATTAGGTCATAATAAGAGAGCTTGGATATATATTTATATGGGATACAATGAAGATTTATAAGAACTTCATGCATTGTTACATCTATTTGAAGAGGATAAACCATTAATTTTCAAAGGCGTGTAACACTATGTTCCTCATTATACTGGTATTTATGTAGCTAAAGATCCATACACAAAGAGATTTTAAGGAGAAATATAAAAATGGGTCGCTTGTTATGGTTTTGGAGCATTTGTGAGTGTTCAGAAAAGAGGATATGAAGATTTATTACCAAATTATAATGCAATAGCCATAAATCAAAAATTCATGTGGTTTAGAAAAGAAGACACAGTAGTAGAAACAGAATAAGGAATTACTCAAGAGTTTAATTAAGAAGTTGAATCTGTTGATGAATATTCAATAGGAGTATGGACTAGATGGCTGATATCTTTCCCAACAACTTTGACAGAGAGATAGGCATAACATAATATCTTTAGATTATCAGCAAATAAGTTAGATTAAGATAAGAGTGAATTAGGAGATAGAGTATTATCATCATTCTTAATTTTGGGTAATTATGAGTTTAGTACTTATGATATAAGTAAGCCATCAAATGCTGTAGATGCTAAATTACCATATGGAGAATTAGAAGGTGCATGGACATACATTTATACAGCTTATAAAGGTGGGCAATTCTATGGTATGGTGTTGTTTAGAGATTAATAGAAGGCATAACATGTTGAATTATAAGTATAACATAGAGCATTGACTGGTTATGCTAAATTTGTATTAGGAGCTAAAGAATTTGGTAGAAAAGGATTCCATGGATGGTTATTTGATCCTAGAATCTTTTTAGGATCTGGAGCATTTATTAATGAGGGATAGAAAGTAGTAGATATGGTTTTAAAGTTACATCGTAAATTACCAGTACCTGCTCTTGATGCAGAAGATTTCAAATGGCCAGTTACTATAATTGATACAACTTTACCTGATGATATAAATGATAAGAAAGATAATTTCAAATTCTCTTTCACAGATAAAGTAGGTTTAGTAGAATATTCATTTGGATTTTGGATGCAAAATGCAGTATTATAACCAGAAATGGCTGATGATCTTAGAGGATTAGTTAGATTAACAACTAATAATGAAGGATCTGATGAAAGATTAATAGGAGATAGAACTTTAGCTGTTTTCACTAAGGTTTAAAAATTAGTCGCTTACACTTACACTCTTAAAGATCCCACTTTTGAACCTGTATCACATGAATTCGATTTGTTACCATATCAATGGACATTTGTTTACTTTGGTTATACATAAGGAAAGGCTAGAGCTTATATTCTAAGTACTAAAGGTCCTACTGAATAAGTATTTGCTGTTAAACATGCTATTCCTAATGCTTTTTACTTAAATGTAATCAAAGATCTATCTCATCCATTGTTTTATGTATATTTATTTATTTAAATCCTAGGGTAAATTCTACGGTTTGAAGGTCAATTTCGGATAAGGCAGTTATTTAGAAAATCCTTAAGAACTTATAGAGAAATGGCCTTATGATCCAAAGGTTCTTCCAGTACCTGAACCTAAAGAAGAGAAAGTGTTGGCTCTAAATTCTGCTAAAGTTGACAGAGCCTCTAATACTTAACATGAATAATTCAGAGAATGAAAAATCATAAAAAAATATATTTAATTACATTCATTGTCTCTGATAAAATAATACATAAGAATTCTACGATTTTTATAGTTCCTCATCTACAACTTTATTTGAGTATTCCGAAACTCTTTAATCATTAAAATTATACCAACAATTTTTCCCTTTTATTAAACTTACATAATCAATAAATTATACCATGTATAATGCCCGCTATAAATTGTATATCCTTAATGATTTATTACAGCATACAATTTATACTATGGACTCTAATCACAAAATCCTTTAAGTACTAGACTTTGTTCTATCTCAATAGCATAATTAGATCTTGCTTACCTTTAATCATATCTTTTTAACTAAATTACTAAGACCATTGGCGCTGTACTTAAATTAGTTCTTCTTATCAAAGGACTTGCCTTTTGACATTTTCTACATTTTTCTTAAGAATTTAATTGTTCTGGCTTGAAATAATCACATATCAATTAACTCAACCGACATGCTGACTATATGTAGAGAGATAAATTGATAAATTATTCCGTTTATTTACTAGAGTTATTGCAATTTTAGCAATTTATTTAATAAGTCAATTAACCAAAAAAAGGTTATGTAAGAAATGCTGTATTTACTATGTCCAAAAAAACATGGAAGAATTCAATGCAATCTTATTGATTAAAATTATCAAACTCTTTATGCTAGTTCATTAATTTTTTAAATTGAATTATCTCATTGTGTAAAGGTTCTATTTCTGCTTGAATGCTAAACCATATTTTATAAAATTGTTTAAACAACTCACTGCTATTTTTATTGTCTCTATACTACTACATAGCTGTACTAATGGCAGGAGTATTGAATAAACATTGCAACATTGAGTTTCTAGGATGCTTATTGTTCTTGCATACATGTAACAAGTATTGCCTATATTTTCAATTCCAATCCTTATTGGATCTAAATCCTATGGCTTTTAACTCATCTACTCTTTATTTCTTGTAACAACGCCACTTCCATATACTTAATTAGTTGTTCTATACATGTTTAAATTTAAATTAATTAATTAAAAATCATCTTTCTACACAATAGGGAGTTTTTTTCAAACTAAATAAATTCTTATTATAACCAAAAAGTTTTTATATTAAAAGGTATTAATTATATTAATTATTTAGAAGAGGAATCTAAATATATATATAATTAGAGATTAAATGATAAGAGTTAAAATTAGAGAGTATATAAAATTTGTAATTATTGATAAATAATGAGTCAAAGTTAACGCATTCTGATATTAGTTCTTCTCTTTTCTATAGGTGAATTACTAGAATTAAGTGGGCTAAAATTCTTATAAAATAGAAAAATACGGTAATTTATTTAATGATCCTCTTTTTGCCATTTGAGCTAATTGCATAGAATTTGACTATTATAACATTCTAGTTTATGATTATCTTTATTAAGTAATTCTAAATGGAGATTATTTCTTCAATGGACTAGCAACATTAGTTTCAAAGAATAGTTGACTAGTTGATCTAGCTTACTTGATTCTAGATGTAGATTTTCTTTGAGTGGCATCTTAATTCTATTATCTTAAAGTAATATCTGTTTAAGAGACTTGTTAATTTAAGGGAATAATTAATCTAATGGATTTAACAAAGGATGTGCAATATTTAATAAATGATAGTGCATTTATCAAACAGATTAACTTTTATTTATTTTAGAAAATGGTCATTCGATCATGAATAGTAATTGGTTATCCAAGATCTCCTTCTCCAGTGATCCAAGGATGCATAAGAGCTTGTTCAGCAGACATTCTGGCTTCAGGATTAATTGCAGCACATTTTTTAAAAAAATTCTATGCTGATTTATCCATGATAGTGAAATTGATATTATATGTCTAAATGCTTTCAATAAGATTTTCATAATTAAATGGATGTTTCCTTTCGTATAGAAGAAATTGAATAATTCCTATACTCCACATATCCACACTTTTAAGATATGGCATTTTTAATATCATTTCTGGAGCCATAAAAAGTAGAGTTCCACATTTATCATATGAGATTTTAGATTCAGATTATTAAGATAATCCAAAATCTATTAATCTCACTCTACCATCTAATCCAACCAAAATGTTATCTAATATTATAATCCTATTTACCAGGCTTGATATCTCTATGAGTAATGTCTTTATTGTGTATATAAGTTAAAACAATAAGTAATTATTTAATTATACTTTTGATAGTGTCTTCACTTAAGTTTTATTTGCATAATTCAGTCAAATTAGATCCTTCAACATAATCCATTATGATATATAATTTATCAAATGTTTCATAACTCTAAGATATTAATTAAAAGATATACTGCAATATATTTCACTAAATTAGGATGTTACAATTACTCTAGTATTTCTACTTCACGATTAAATAATTCACAATAACTGGGAACTGATTTATCCAACACCTAACTTACTTCTCCACACTTACCTTAATTGCCACTTACCTACTTTTGTATGTGCCCAAATAGACTTAACTAAATGCACCATTACCAATCTTTTGCAATATATTGAGCTCATTCATTATTTATATTTTAGGAAAATCTCTTATTTATTTATATAAATCATAAAAAATTTAATTAGTATTAAACTATCAAATCATTCTTGACTATTCACTTATAATCAAATCAATTAATAAATATAGATCATTTTATTTTGCAAATCTTCTTAATTAATTAAATTATTAATATTAGATTTAATAATAAGTCAATCTGGCAAACAAAATATAAAAATTAATGTGTGTAAAAATGCCTCTGCTTAAGTTTAATAGGAAGAGTAAGGTATTATCTGAAATAAAACTGTTTAATTTGGAAATACTATTATTTTCAATAAGAATTCTATTTATGGACTACTTAATGTAAATACTAATCCAAATTCATAGCCTTCCATTTCATTATTCACTAAAATTTATTATATTAATAATTACATTCTTTCAGAAAAGTTTATTATCCACTTAAAACCAATATATTATATTCACCAAATAATTTTACAAAATCTTCTTTGGATTTTATAATTTTAGGATTTAGAGTTACTTACTCTGATTTTAAAATACTTTTAGATTTATACTCCCATCTTTTTTAAAATGATTCTATTGTTGTTTCTCTGAAACTCATGAATTTAGTTAACAAACAAGGAATTATGAAACTTGAGGTTTTTTATTCTTCCTCATTTTCATAACTAAACTTTGCAGAAATACTTTCATAAGGAACACGATTATAATTAATGCATATAGGAATATACATCTATTAACCTGGATTTAATAGAATTCTTCCTTACTAATCTTTTGCTAGGCCTCGATCATGTTAATGGATAGGTTCTTATGACCATAATCCCATACATTATTCTCCTTCAAAAGAATATTAGAAATTTTATAATATTGATTAAGTCTTATTTCCAAAACATAAACGAATTCTTAAATAATAACGATTTGTAATATCATGATATACCAAATTTGAATCAAATCCAATTTAAATATCTGAAGATTCAAATATTGAATATTTTTTCTTTAAATTTGCTCTTTTTATTCTATTAATTCCAGTATTATTATATATCTCTTCAAAAATTGAGAAATTTCTATCATCATAAGGAATAAATTATCCTTCATAAGTTTTAGAAATAATCCCTAATTATCCTTTCAAATAGAAATCCTTTCCTGAAAATTATGAACTCTAACTCCTATTATCATATTAATCATCAAATTATCCTTTATTTGGAGTTTGAATATGTTCATGTTGTGATCTATTTGTAGGTAACTTCTTAAAAGCAGGTGGTTATACTTGTTTTGGTGGTGGTTAATAAGGTTAAATCTATTATCTAGGAGGTTAATATTATTATTATGGTTATGGAGCTCTAACCTATGTTTAAGGTTAATATGCTTATTAAGTTTAAGGATGATAAGGTGTAGATTACTAAATTGATTTTTATATTTCAGGCAATTTCCTAGTTGGTTGTTATTAAACTTATTATGGTTAAGGTTGTCTTCTATCTGAATATTATGGTGGTTTTGGAATCTATTATTATTACACATTTTATTCAGGTTATTTATTTATTTATTATTATTATTATTAAGCTGGTTTTCCTAAATTTTTAGGTGGTTGAGGTTTTTCAGATCCTGAAATTTCTCTTGTTGCTAATAATAATTCATATCTAAAAATCTAATAATTTTCATCAGTAAATCCTTGTTCTTTCATTTTTTTATATGCTTCTATAAAATTTGTAATCATTTTAAATCTATAACCGATCTATTTTCTTTAACCTTCACCAAATTCATTTTGACGAGCATTTAGTAAATCTAAATTGAGTTTTATTTCATTTGCTTCCTTAAATGCTAACTCCAGTACTTAAATTATAATTAACAATTACTTTGATCTATAACCTCAGTTGCTTATTCTTCTCCTTTTACATTTAGTTCAAGAGTCTCAACAATTTCATTTGTTTGTTTATACATTTCTTAATATATCCTTTTCAATTCGTCTAAAGAAACATCATTCATATTGTTTTTTTATTTTTAATATTCAGTTGGCTTTGTATAATTTTTTAATTTCTCCCTTTATTCCTCTGTTAGCTCAAAATATTATAAATCAACTTTTGGTGTTAACCCTTAATTGTGTAAACCTTCAAGAAGCTTTAAAAATATTGTTGCATTTCCTTTTGAATCCATTTCATACTTTGTTCCCCAAAATGATATACATTCCATCAATGTATCATAAAACATATGACTAAAGTTTGGATCTATCTATTTGATCATCTTTTATTACCTTCTTCTGCACCAAATATTTAAAACCCTCTCTTCTCATAAGGTTTTTATTTATCACACAATGCAAGTTCTTCTAATATAACAAATAGATCTTTAGCCTTTATAAATTAGTTAAGGAATTTTTATTTTTTACTCAATAGCATCATTAACTTGATTCTTTGATTAAAGATAATACTTTCATTGCAAAATATTTTTCTTTTGATTGCCCCTATTATGTGAATAATTTTTTAATTGTTTCCACTACTTATTTGAAATTCTCTTAAAGATCTTCATCCTTTAATATCTCTACCAAATTCTACAGTTCACTCTCTCCTTAAAAACTTTTCAATATTTCTTCATTTGTAACAACCATTATAAAATTAAATTATAAATAGAATTTTTATTCATAGACGAAAACTCTTTTTTTAACAATTCCAACTAATTTAGAATTCTTCAAACTAATTTAAACAATAAATGAATTAAATATATATTCATTAGAATATTTTTAAAGAAATTATGTTATTTCATATTTCTATAAATAAATTAGAAATATTTAATTTAGATTTTAAGCTAATGCTATTCAGTCATATTAATGATTAATTAACAAATAGTTAATTCTACACATAATATATTTTTGTTTTTAACAAAATTTTGTTACTTAAATATTAAGCTTGCTGTATAGAGTAAGATTTTATGAATTTTTTTTATAATAATTTAATGATTGAATTCAAATAGTAGAAGGAAAGATTATAAAAGATTATTTTAATAATAAATTGGATATATATTTGTTTATGAATATTAAATATTGTAATAAAGAGATATATGTATATATATGTATAAAAACATAATATTATTATTAATTAATTATTTATGCCAATCGTATAAGGAAAAGCAAAGTTGTGGCATCCAACATAAGAAGAATAAGTAAAAATTTAAGAATTTATAAAAAGGATGCTTATGATGATAGAATGATTGCAAATATTGAATTAAAATCATTGGATTTTGATGATGAGAACTTTTNTAAACCTTCAAGAAGCTTTAAAAATATTGTTGCATTTCCTTTTGAATCCATTTCATACTTTGTTCCCCAAAATGATATACATTCCATCAATGTATCATAAAACATATGACTAAAGTTTGGATCTATCTATTTGATCATCTTTTATTACCTTCTTCTGCACCAAATATTTAAAACCCTCTCTTCTCATAAGGTTTTTATTTATCACACAATGCAAGTTCTTCTAATATAACAAATAGATCTTTAGCCTTTATAAATTAGTTAAGGAATTTTTATTTTTTACTCAATAGCATCATTAACTTGATTCTTTGATTAAAGATAATACTTTCATTGCAAAATATTTTTCTTTTGATTGCCCCTATTATGTGAATAATTTTTTAATTGTTTCCACTACTTATTTGAAATTCTCTTAAAGATCTTCATCCTTTAATATCTCTACCAAATTCTACAGTTCACTCTCTCCTTAAAAACTTTTCAATATTTCTTCATTTGTAACAACCATTATAAAATTAAATTATAAATAGAATTTTTATTCATAGACGAAAACTCTTTTTTTAACAATTCCAACTAATTTAGAATTCTTCAAACTAATTTAAACAATAAATGAATTAAATATATATTCATTAGAATATTTTTAAAGAAATTATGTTATTTCATATTTCTATAAATAAATTAGAAATATTTAATTTAGATTTTAAGCTAATGCTATTCAGTCATATTAATGATTAATTAACAAATAGTTAATTCTACACATAATATATTTTTGTTTTTAACAAAATTTTGTTACTTAAATATTAAGCTTGCTGTATAGAGTAAGATTTTATGAATTTTTTTTATAATAATTTAATGATTGAATTCAAATAGTAGAAGGAAAGATTATAAAAGATTATTTTAATAATAAATTGGATATATATTTGTTTATGAATATTAAATATTGTAATAAAGAGATATATGTATATATATGTATAAAAACATAATATTATTATTAATTAATTATTTATGCCAATCGTATAAGGAAAAGCAAAGTTGTGGCATCCAACATAAGAAGAATAAGTAAAAATTTAAGAATTTATAAAAAGGATGCTTATGATGATAGAATGATTGCAAATATTGAATTAAAATCATTGGATTTTGATGATGAGAACTTTTCACCAGTTTTCAATAGAAGCAAAAAAGAATTCTTTTTGTAAGCAAGTGAGAAATACAAAAAAGATTTATCAAAAGTAATAAAGTTATTAGATAAATTTAGCTAGCACGACCATTCTAATCATATTCATGTGAAGAATTTGTTAACAAATATATATTTATTAAGCCTAATCATACATATTGGAGAGAGTGGACAGTTACCAAATGGTTGTCAGGTTTTGGATTAGGATATTTGGTGTTAAGAGAAGTATTAAATTATCTGGAAAATAAATTAGTTACCATTACGTAATTTTTATGCAAGAGTCTTTGTAATGTGGATCTTTTTAGCAAAGTTGAGTGATCATTTTAGTTCAATTTTACCTTATCATGGTAAATTAGTAATATCTACTCAATCGGATAGATTTTCAAAGTAAATAAGAATAAATATGATTTTAGCAAAGATATAAATCAATATCATAATGTGTGCAGTGCATTACACTTCTTAGAGATGCCAACCTTTTAGAATAGAATATCAGAATCTCTTGCTTGGAGAGCCAAATAGCCAGCCCACTTGTTATATAATGATACAAATTGGTGTTTACATATTCTTAAAAAATGGCATGGTCGTCCAACTCATATTGCACATTGGGTATTTTTTTATTAATTTATATTTCAGGATGGTACATTCAATCAACCATTAGAAAGATTAGCTGATCCATATCATAAAGATGCTCATTTTATTCATTGGATTTGAGTTATTTTTCATACAAAAGATAAATATGGATTTATTTAATATTACAAAATTATATAAAAAATTACAAAAAATCATAATACAAAAAAAATAAAACATATTTAAAATACACCTCATTAACTTTCTCTTTATTAATTTTATTATTCTTTATTTCTTTATGCAATAGCTAAACTAAGGCATTGTTAGCTTTATTTAATTATTAACCACTATTCTTTATCCAAAAAAGTAACCCTATTCCATCTAAAAGATAAAGCTTAAAACAATACTGAATCTAATTACTTAAAAATCTACAATACAAGCTATTGAATTCACTTTTTGATTTTGATTTTTAATTTCACAGCTATGGCACAAGGATAATAAGAATCTTAAGTATCAACCAATAAAAACAATATGAATTGCATTTTCAAATAGAAATTTTTATGATTTCCATGATTGCTATAAAACTGTTAACTTTACAAATATCCAAACATTCAATAAGGTATTTATTTTTAAGATTATTATTATTAATTATTAGCATAATCTTTATAAATGAGTGCAAGTGTTGCTGATAATGCTTCAGAAAGAGATATGATTGATTTTTCAGAGGACGACCATTTGAGTTTCTTTTACAATATTGAACAAGTAAAGTCATTAACAATACATAGATATATAATGAATTACCAGGAGTTATATCTAATTATGGAACCTTTGCATAATCCTTATAGATTTGCAGATAATTAAGTAATTAGATAGTTAAGAATTCAATTGCAGAAGCATAAGAGAGAGTATATAACACATTTAACATAAATTAGTTTATATTAAGAAATATTCCTATTAATGCAATAAATGAATTCTGTTCACAAACGAATTTACTTTTGAATAGCAATTTGAATGATGGAGGCATTGAAGTTGAAAGTTGCGAATTAGAAGAAGATTAGGAACCAGTAATAAACAAAGATTAATTTAGGAACCAATCTTTAGTGATAGATGGAGAAGAAATAGAGTTTTAATGATGGCAGGTAAATTTATAATTTAGATATCTTTTTAATAGAAGTAGAGACTAAAGTTGAAATAGATGACAAATAAAATAATGATAATAATAAAATAGTTTCAAAATCAAGATTATATGATGTTAGAAAAAATACAGTTAGACTTCCAACAACACCTCCTCCACCAAATTAGTTTGAGGCAAAATTAATATAAATTTATTAAGAAGAATTTGAGGATGAGTTTGAAGATAAATTAAGAAATGCCAAATTATATGAAATGAAAAAGAAGAATGAAATTGAATAAAAAAAGAAAGAAGATAAATTATAAAGTCAAGTAGAATAATTTAAATAATAAAATAGATAGAGAAAAAGGATGGTGGTACTTAAAAATATACTTATGATTTTGATGGTAAGATCATATTAGGTAGAGCTATAAAAATGGATAAACTATAGCCTACTAATTAAAAATTGAAAGTAGAGTTCAAAGACTAAACTAAATAAGATTAATAATAACCTAATGTTAAGAAAGGTGGAAAAAGAGATTCTACTAAAGTAATGAAACCATTATGTCCAGAATAGGAAATACCTAATAGAGTATTTTATTAACATATAAGGTTATATAAGAAAGGAGGGATGCTTCAAAAGAAGTTATGGGAGACAAAGCTTTAAGAATGGATAAAACTTCTTAATTTCCTTATGAAGTATTTACAATGAATAATGGAGTTAAATTATATTTTGAACAAAAAATGAAGGAAGGTGTAAGACATTAAATTAGCGATTCAGCCGAAAATTTATAAATTAAATTATCTGCTTCTAATTTATTAGCAGGTGATGATGCATCAAAATTTGCATCTTAAATTCGATTAACAAAAGCTGAATATTAATTAATTACAGATGCATAAACACTACAATAAACAAGATAGTAATTTATGCCATCTGAAAATATTAATATTCCTGAACATGATTAATAAGTCACTCAATAATCCATCTTATTAAAAAATAAAAAAGTAACTTAAAACAATAATCCTAATAATAATATTGCAGATTCTAAATAAGTCTAATTTAATGCTGGAATATCTTAATTAAATCCTTACAAAAGGGATAGTCCTATTTAACAGTAAGCCTAGACTGAAAGAATCTAACTCAAAAATGTTAAAATGATAGAAAATCTTTTAGTTACAGGAGTACCTGATACTCCTAAATCATCTAAACCTGATTAACCTCCATTATCTTTACCAGATAACACATCTACGTACATTCTTAAATTAATTAAGTAATCCTATTGATCTCTTTAATTAATAATTATTAACTTAAAAAGAATGGGGAAAGTAAGCTGGAGGTAAAACATCATATTTCCCCCCTGTCAAATAGTAGAAAAGGGTATTAGAAACTAAGGCATACAAAGGCTCTTTAGAACAAATGTAATTAAAATCGGAATGAAATAGGTACAAAATGCCAAGGGAAAGATTAGTTGCTTAAACTGGAAGAACTGCTATGAACTTTTATAATTAAAATTCTGATGGTAAATATTTTAATTTATGTATATTTTAGGAACAAAGAAAATTGCCAAATCTGTAAGCGATGGATTTATGTAAACATTTTATACAACTCATACCAAATTCAGTGAAAAACTTAGATAATGATTTTATATTATTAATCTTAATATAAGGGTTTGTATATCTAATATAACTAAATGTAAAAATTTTGTCACAAAGTCAAATTAATTAACATGTCGAAGAACTCTAACAACAAGGATTTTGTTTTTAATTTTGTGTAATAAATTTCGAACTCATTTATAAATCTGAGCTACTCCAATTTTCTGATTCTAACCTTTATAAATCCCGAGGTTTTATTGTTGTTGACTATAATGGAGCGGTATCTTAGAATTTTTAACAATTATTTTTTGAAGATTAAAATTGAGAATCAGGATACTTATATGAATACAATAATTTATACATATTCTAAGTTATTAAAAGAGTCAGCAAATTCTATAATATGACTCTCTGATATAATAACTTCTTATTCCTCATTATAAACTTGAAGAAAGAGCTAACTGTTTTAACTACTTTCAGGACGATTTTTCTATAATATTAATTAGGATTTAGAGAGATTTTCATCAGTGTTACTCATGTTTGATTTTACTTCATCTTTTTTATCAAATTTTTTAATTTTTACATTAGGCAGATCTTTTGGAGGCCTAATTTAAATTTTGATTATGTTACCAAAAATTTGATTGAATGTTAGGTTACAAACCTGAAAATTTAAGTTCTAATTAATTCTCATCAATTTAATTAGTTAACTGATTAAGGTTCTTTTTTTAAAGAAAGACTATTTTATCTTATGATGAAGGTTTTAAAACTTAAACTACTCTATTAAATAAAAATTTGTAAACATCTTCAAGGATATAAATTTTGTGGATTCTACCATAATAATTTATTTCACAGTTTTTCACAAATTCCATCAATTCATTTGTAATAAGATGTATTTATTAATTTAGATTACCTAAATCTATCAAAATTATTGTTGATTCAACATAATAAGATATTAAAATATCTCTAATTAGCATATTAAATAAATAATCAAAACCATTTTTAAATTCTTTGAGTTTGTACTTTAATAATAAATAACTAAAATTTTACTTGGAGTGCTTTATTTATGTCAATTATAATTACTGGTCGAAAACCTTTATCATGCCAATGTATGTAAATAGCCCCATTTAACTTTATTAATGAAATTAAAAATATACCACAACGAAATTTGGAGGATTTGATAAATTTATATTATTTCTCCATAAAAGATGTTGCTTTAAAACCTTTTAAGTTAATCAATAATAATAATACTTGAATGGTGTTTGTAATTTCATAATCACAATAGGATAGAATTCTTAAGTAATCACTATCTTACCATCTATATCAATATTATAAAATATTACTCTTTGGGCAATCGCAAAGGTGGAATGTTAATCAATGCTCTCTTTAAATTGTTTAGTTATTCTTATTCTATGGGTTCCATTTAAATATTCTCAAATATTTTTCTTTCGATCTTCCCTGCAATTATCACCTTATCAGCTAAAATTTTTTAAAGATACTTACATCCAGGTTCAATTAGTTTTTCTTTTTTCATATAGTCAATCATATTATAATGTAAATTAATTAAGCTCTCCCAATACATTGTGTTTATTGTTTTGATGTTCTGCTTGCATATTTACATAAAAAGGATGTACCTAAACCAACCTTTCAAGAATTTGATGTTCCAGTTTTTGTTACTTTTCATACAAATAAAGAAGATTTGAGAGGGTGTATCGGAACATTTTCACCAGGTCCTTTGGGATAATAATTAGCAAAATATACTTATTTATCAGCATTTAAGGATAGTAGGTTTCCTCCTATATCGATGAAAGAATTAGATTACTTAGATGTCGGAGTTAGTTTATTAGTGAATTTTTAGAAAGGAAAAAAGTGGAATTAATGGGAAGTAGGAAAACATGGAATTATTATTGATTTCTAAGAGGGAGGAAGAGGTAGTATATGTATCTAAACTTTTTAGAATATGGAGCCACTTTTCTACCTGAAGTAGCATCTGAATAAGAATGGGATGTTAACACAACTTTAGAACATCTAATTGCAAAGGCAGGATATAGAAAGAACTACTAAAATGTATTAGACAAGATTGATTTAACAACTTATGAAACATCTAAAGTTTAATTGACTTATGCTGAATATTTAGAATTGAAAAAATGATCAATATATATATAAATTATGAATGATAATTTCAATAATATTGTATTCATCTATTCAAAAATATTAAGAAAGAAAGACCGATTAAAATTTTTAGCATTAATAGAGGATCTAATCAATTTAAGAAATCTATAACAAAGTTATATACATTAAAAGGACTTATATAATTAAAATTAAAAAGGTTTGAATTTCTGATATCTTCTAATCAAATCATGGTTTTTTACGAGGATTTCTTTTTGCTAAGGCTGCTTACGTGTCATCTTTTTTTAATTTTAAGAATTTCTCCAATACAACTTTATCGTCTAATTTTAATTATTCAAAATGACTCTAAACTTTTTATTCCAATGTTAGTGTACTATTTTATTCTAAAAATGGCTACTCTTTCTAATAATATGTCTATTTTGCTTTATAGAAAATAATTTACTTGATATCTTTATAATGATCCTTTTGATAATTTCGATATATTTAGAAACATAAGTGTTTCTCGAATAGCTTATTATTCACTCATTTTTTATTTTATTTATTTAATCCTATACAATATACAAATATTATCTATAACTTAAACATATTCAAATTTCAATTCTTAATTTTATTTACATTTTACCAGTCATTTTTATATTTAATTGATATTAAATTATGCATTTAAATTTCCATAAATAAATATATTTTCTAAAAATTATTTTTTTTCCAAAATGATTCTTACATTAATAAAAAAATATTTTGATAGAAGTATTGAAATCATATTTATCATATATTTTATAACACTACATTCTGATAAATTATATTTTACAGAAAATTAGAACTATTTAATGATAGATAACTCATAAATTTTAAATTCTAAATAAATATTGAAGTTTATAAAACAAACAATTGATAAAACTAATTTTGTAATTCGAGCCTTCATGTAAGTGATACTCATTTTAAACCTATTGTTTAAATTTTAAAAGTAAAGAAAACTATAATTACTTTCACATATTGTTATATAAATTTTATACATTTGTCTACCACAAATACTAGATGTTTAATCTGAATAAAAATGTAAAATATTTTCATGAAATCTTTTAAAAAGGCAATTATAATATTTAATAATATTATAAGTTGATAATTTTCTTAGTGATTCGGGGTAGTAATTTATTTAAAATTATCTTATTTCTCATGTGACGACGGACAAGAAAAGCTTTGATACCAGATTGATAAAGGTTCCAAAATATTGGGTCTTTATTAAGTATATATGAAAAGGGCAATAAAATAATCTGAAATATAGAAGAATAAGACTATGATGGCTTATGTAAAAGTAACTGAACTTTAATTTGAAGAGGTTAATAAAATGATATTTATTAGGAGACGAACCTACAGTGAAATGAAAGAAGGATTGTTTAATAAGATTGAATAAAATTAGGCAATGAGATATGTAGAAGTGATTTTATGATATAGAATCAAATGATGATACATCCGCAGGATTATTTAGCATCTTGTAAGGGTTCTTCAACATTATATATTTTCCAGTTCTCAACTTCATATACTTAGATCAAAGATGATTATTTGTTTATTTCATCTATGAATGTAATTCTATGTTTTTTTGATCCTTCAGCAATAGCATTCTTAAATTTATCACATCTCTATGATGTTTAGATATCTTTTTTGGATGCTTTTAAAATACCAGATATTTATGTATTCATCAAATAATTAATATTAATATTGATCATATTGTAATAAAAATACTCAGATTTTTTCTCATTTCTCTTCTTAAACCAATTATTCTTCTTGTATTGGTTATTCTTCATGTTGAATTACGTGATTTTATGGTAATTTTAATTATGATTCTTTTTATAAATCTTGAATGTCTTAGATTGGTTCTTATTTTAAAGGTTCAACAGGTTCTTATTTAGGGGGAACATGTGATTGATGAATATCTTAGAATGGTATTTATTATGGAGGTTATTCCATTCTTTATTTTAATTCTTCATTACTCATTGGGCCTTACATAATAAGTTATTCCATGATAGATTGATATTTCATATCAAGTTATTTCATTTTAATAGTAAAATTATTATTAGGTTATTGACTATAAACTTAGGTGGCATATTATAAAATTTTGCTTCCTGGATCTTCAAATTTATTTAATCCATATTATTCTAAGATTTATTTTCTAGTATGACTAAAAGTATTTACTTAGAACTATCCATTTTTAAGGATTACATAATTTCCATCATTCTAGGACTTTAGAAATTAATTTATTCTCCTTTTTCTTATAATTCTAATAATTTTTCATTTAATTTAAGAGCACTTTCAGTCATGACTTTTTCAAGTATTTCAAAAGTTGTATCTGCAGTAAGAAAGGGTGGAATATCTGTTTGAGGATCTGGAGATTATCCTGAAAAAGATCTCTCAAAAGATTCTTTCATTTATTTTTATAATTCTTTGATAGTGGGATCATCGCGATAAATATTTTAACAATAATGTTCAACCTACTATTTAGTAATTTTAAATTAGCTATAGACCATTTCTTCAACTTATTCAATTTCTCCTCTAAACATGGCTAAATTATACTAAAGAAATACGTTGTTCTAAAAGCATCATTTTAATATCTTCTGGTCTAGCTCTTCCCATAGATTATTATTTAACATTTATAGCAACTGCAGCAAAATTTTAAAATACTGTGAAAAGCTCTTTCTTAAGTTCCTTTAAAATTTTGATAACAGTTTCCCTATCAATAACTTGAGGATCAATAGACAACTTCCTTTATAATTATGAAAGATTCATACTCATCTGGCTTCTTTAGAAATCTGAAAAGTAGAACACTAACTCCTGTGAAGACTGCTGCTCCTGTTAAAAGAGTGAATATTTTATTGCTTTCTACTTTGTTCATTTTACCACAAATTTAATAATTAAATATTTTATTAAAAAAAGTGTGAGTGAGATGAATTTGAGGAAATGGATAAATTATATAATGTGTATATATAAATTATATATATATAAAATATCATTCCATCTTTAATTCTGGTATGTATTCTTCAGGATTGATAGGTAAAGGAACAGATCTTTTATATCCCTTGAGTAATTCTTTGAGTTTATCAATAAGTTGAGTTAAATCTTCTATAATATTTCTAGGAGATAGATCCTCTTATTTGAGTAGATGATGTAATTTAACAATTAAGAAACCACCACAAGGAGAAGTAATACAATCATGTAATCTATCCAATATATCAACATCTTTTTATGCTTATTCATAAATAGAATCAATAAAAACATGAATAAGATTGGTAGCATAAATACTATCTATTCTTTCATCATCCAAATATCGTTTGGCTTTAATTCTATCTAAATATTTAAGTGTTTATTTAGGTACGACATCTTTCATATAGAAAGATTCAATAAATTATTTGGTAGATGGTTAAATAATAAAGCCTTCAATAGTTTTCTCAATATGTGTATAATCTTTATTTTATATGGGAAATTCCTTCTTTCAGGTCTATCAATTTTTATAGAATATATGAATTCTGGCATAGCTATTTTATTTACATAAATAAAGTAAGCAGGTATTTAGAATGTTATTTCCAAAAGTTGATTTCTAAACAATATTTATATTCTCTGTTTTATTTACGTTTCTTCCTTTGATGTATATGTTCTGATTTAATTTTATTTAGATCATTCTTTTATTATTCAAATATTTCAGGATCCTTATTTAAAATCTGTTGCTGCTCCTATTTAATTTTTATTTCTATTTATGTTTATGTAATTAATAGGTTGATATTTCAAGGAATGAATTTCTAAATTGTCCTAAAAATGTTCCATCATCTTTATCCGTGTAATCATCATTCTCTAATGATTCTACATACATTATTTTATTATTTATACCCATCCTAATTTTAAGGTATAACCATAATAATAATCCTTATAATTATTTTTTAATTATTAATATGAATTAACAATTTAGTGTGGAGTATTTGGGAATTAAATCCACTCGTTACAATAGATTGCCCAATCTAAACAATAATCCTTATTTAAAGTACACAGAGAGTATTAACTTAGTCTCTCTTAAGAATTGCGCATTTCAAGAACCAAAAAGAATTTGCCTTAACCTAAATTGGTATTCCATTCTAACTATATTCATCCTAGCTTGCCCTCTCCAATAAGAAAGATGATTCTCACAATTATTACAATCATACTACTATCTATAATGTCAAAGAAAATAAAGATATTTCCAAACCCTCTATGTACTACTACTATTATCAATCTATAGTAATTAACAATTAAGTTTTGCCAAATATAATGAACTATAAACAAAACTTTTAGTTTCTGATTTCAAAAAGAAAGTTGATGCCTTCCTTAAAAAAAACAATTAAAATTACAAAACTCATTTGATTAGCAATAAAATAACTTCTTCCTTAAAAGAATTGTAATCGCTCCATTAAATTAAAAATGAAGAATTATTGAACTAATCTTTATGTTCTAACAAATACACTGTCAAAACTGAAAGTATTCCTTCTAATTTAATTATCTTAGAAAAATCTATGAAAGCTATGGAAATATTTATTCTAGGAAATAATAAACTTGTTACTAAATAAGTTATTTCAAGTGAACTTATTTAACATAGATTATTAAAATAAATGGAAAACTTTTTAAAAGATGACAGATTCAATTATGATTTGAAGTATATTTTTTCACTTATCTAGAATGACTACTATGATTGAATAATATTCTGAAATTGTCAATAGAATTAATGAAAAAGCATTTACTATTAAAATTCCAGAAAAGTATGTCATTCAAATGAGTGATTACAACGAATATTATTAAATTAAAGAAGATTAAACTGATAACATTCTTTAAAATAAATTAGAAATTATAGCTGATTAAATTATTTAAGAAATTTAATAATCTAAAAGAACAACACCAAAAATTTTGAGTCATAAAACCAGTGATATTTATGAACCAATTGCTTAATAAACCCTAACCGAAATTGAAAAGGTTATCTAAACTGAACCAACTATTATTCATTAATAATAAGAATTTATTTTGTAAGAAACTATTCCTTTATAATAAATCATACCTGATAGAAAGATTTCAAATAAAAAAAGTAGATAAAGAAAGAAAAATCAACAAAATAAAAATGAAATAAATCAATCACAATAATCTAGTATTTCAGAAATTATGGATTCATCTTTAAAAAATTCAACTATTAAAGATAATGATGATACTAGAAGGAAAAAAAAGGAAAAATCTAAAATTATTGATTAAGCTAAAATTGAAGAAGAAGAATAAGATCTTATACAAAAAGAAATTGAAAAATAAAAAAAATATCTGTTAATGAAAAAACTTAGAGAATTCAATCAAAAATTCAAACCTAACATTTTGTCAAGAACTTAATCAGAAAATATAATTAATTTATAAATTTAAGAACCAATTATTTCAACCAAACCAAACAAAAAAATTATCAAAACTCTAAGTATTGGATAAAAAAATGATGATATAAATTTGAAAGAGATAAATGAAATCATTAGAATCAAAAGAAAATAATTATATGAATATTCATAAGAATTGCTTCGATTGGAAAAAGAATAATAACAAACTATTGAGAATTTTATCTAAAATAAGAATAATGGCTCATAAAAACCTTTAAATTTGATTGTAAATGGTAAACCTATAAGTGAATTAAAAGAAGCTGCTGAATTTTGGGATTCTAAAAAAAATTCTCCAAGGTCTTACACAAAGAAAAGATAAAATATTAATAATTCAAATTTACCGGATTAAGTTTTGTAAGGATAACAATAAGAAATAAATGATAATGAATAAAAAAATAAATAAATAGAAGGAAGAGACTAAAAACTTTAATCTAATAAAAATTTAGAAGAACATAATCCTGATAACAAATTTAATTATCAATAAGTGATTCATGAAAAAATTTTAAGTTTTGAAGAAAAATTAAAATAATAAATTCAAGATATTTTCGATATTTTATTAGCCTCCGATTCAGTTTATAATGTTAAAATTGATGATTACAAAATTGGAAAACCTTATAAAATTTAAATCAATCATCCTAATTTCATATTCTAGCAAGAATAGGATGAAATAGTTTTTACTCATTAGTAATAATAATTATAAATTTAGGGTTTTATGGAGAAGAGAAATATAAGAAGTGATTCCTAAACTTAATTCTGTTAACAAATTGCTATCAGTTTAACTCGATTCTGAAGATGAATATATTTAAGAAAATTTATAAGTAATAACTGAAGAGAAAGGCGCTGATGATGAAGATGATGATAATGAAGATTCTCAAATTTGATTAAATGTTACATTATAATACACTATAATTTTACTTTAATTTTTATAAAAGATACTCAAATGAAAAATCTTTCCTCATATTTACTAATCTTTTAATAATTTTTATTATTTTATAGTATTACTTCTTCCCAACACACTATCAAAAATTGGAACAATAATGAACTCTGACTTTACAATTCTTTAATATAAAGGACAAAAAGAATATAAATATAATTAATGCAACAATTCAAGTTTGTGGACCAACCCTATATTATCTTAAAGTAGTACCAATGTTCTTACAATATTTACATTAAATTTGATTTTGATTATTTATCCTTAAGTATCAAATCATAGATTAATACCATTAATATCTGTATGAGAAATAAGAAAACCCGTTGGAATAAGTATACCTAATTACTTTAATGAATGTAATTATAAAGTTTAAATAGTTTTTGAATTTCTTGAATTTTTAATGTAATCTTACATCTTTTATAATTATTCTATAATTATTCTATAGAAATAATTATTTACATTTTCTATAATTTTAATATTTTTATTGCCTAAATGCTTCCTGTTTGTAATATTTTCAAATAAATTAAGGTAATGAGAGATATTTTAAAGATTATTTGATTTGCAATATAACCGAAGAATCTGAAACATATGCATGCTATGGGTGTTAACATTATTCATATAATGAAGGAATAAATTTATTTTATTCAATTTTTGGTAAGAAAATCTATTAAAAGGTTGTCCATACACTATAAATAATTGTGGTTGGTGTTTCTTCATTAGTGGGTTTAGGGGCAGAAATGCAAAAAACCTCTATTTTGATGGGTTTATTACATTACAATGAATATGAGGCAACTAATATAACATAGTATTAATTTAAAATAATTAGTTATATTTCTATAGCTTCTAGTTCTCTCTATTTAATTTACCTAATTCTCTTTTAAGGTGACAGCATTGACCCTTTTGATGTTTAAGCTGTTTAATTATTTTTCCCTTTTATAGTAATTTTAACTGATATAGGGAATTTTTTAAATAGAGCTATTTATGATTAAGTTATTGTGTTACTAACAATAAGTATAGAATATATTTGGATTATATTATTAACTTTAAAATATGATAGAGCAAGAAATCATGAATTAGAATCAAAGAAAAAAGAAATCACAATTGATGATCATTTAATTAATTTAAAATAAAAAACCTAATCTTTTTTAAGTCTAATCCAATAACCAAATAATAAAGGAAGTTCTAAATGGTCACTATTTTGGATTGTATTTTTTTAATTGCTATTGCAATCATTGCTATTTTTTATTCGTGGTGGAAATCCCATGCAGTTCATCGAATTCAAATATAATGGCTAAGTGTATTGGATAATAACAATAGTAATTTATATTTGTGGGTTTTTAATTTCATTTTATCTTTACAAAAAATAAGAAAAAGATTATAAAAAGCATATGGATGACGATCCAAATTTTTATGAGATTAGACCTTTAAATCAAAGCAAATTATTAATTTTGATTGGTTTGGTGTCATTTTTTTTTAGTGGANTTACTTTAATGAATGTAATTATAAAGTTTAAATAGTTTTTGAATTTCTTGAATTTTTAATGTAATCTTACATCTTTTATAATTATTCTATAATTATTCTATAGAAATAATTATTTACATTTTCTATAATTTTAATATTTTTATTGCCTAAATGCTTCCTGTTTGTAATATTTTCAAATAAATTAAGGTAATGAGAGATATTTTAAAGATTATTTGATTTGCAATATAACCGAAGAATCTGAAACATATGCATGCTATGGGTGTTAACATTATTCATATAATGAAGGAATAAATTTATTTTATTCAATTTTTGGTAAGAAAATCTATTAAAAGGTTGTCCATACACTATAAATAATTGTGGTTGGTGTTTCTTCATTAGTGGGTTTAGGGGCAGAAATGCAAAAAACCTCTATTTTGATGGGTTTATTACATTACAATGAATATGAGGCAACTAATATAACATAGTATTAATTTAAAATAATTAGTTATATTTCTATAGCTTCTAGTTCTCTCTATTTAATTTACCTAATTCTCTTTTAAGGTGACAGCATTGACCCTTTTGATGTTTAAGCTGTTTAATTATTTTTCCCTTTTATAGTAATTTTAACTGATATAGGGAATTTTTTAAATAGAGCTATTTATGATTAAGTTATTGTGTTACTAACAATAAGTATAGAATATATTTGGATTATATTATTAACTTTAAAATATGATAGAGCAAGAAATCATGAATTAGAATCAAAGAAAAAAGAAATCACAATTGATGATCATTTAATTAATTTAAAATAAAAAACCTAATCTTTTTTAAGTCTAATCCAATAACCAAATAATAAAGGAAGTTCTAAATGGTCACTATTTTGGATTGTATTTTTTTAATTGCTATTGCAATCATTGCTATTTTTTATTCGTGGTGGAAATCCCATGCAGTTCATCGAATTCAAATATAATGGCTAAGTGTATTGGATAATAACAATAGTAATTTATATTTGTGGGTTTTTAATTTCATTTTATCTTTACAAAAAATAAGAAAAAGATTATAAAAAGCATATGGATGACGATCCAAATTTTTATGAGATTAGACCTTTAAATCAAAGCAAATTATTAATTTTGATTGGTTTGGTGTCATTTTTTTTTAGTGGAATTAGCGCAGTAGGAGCTGGTCTTATTTTAATTCCTTGTTGTATTCTAATTAAAAGATTTCGAATGAGTATATTAAAGGCTATTAGAACTATGGTTTTAGTTCAATTTCTAATTGATATTTGTGTAATACCATAAACTATTTAAAGTAATTTGATATAATCTATATTTAGATTATAATTCTTTAGCATAAAATGATCAAATATTTTATTTGTTCATCGGAATCTTTTCATTCTTCTTAACCATTATATTACATCATTTTTTTATTAAATAAAAATTCTAGCTTAATTTGATACTTATTATTATTGGATTATTTACATTTGATTTTATTTTAGGAATATATTAAGCTAATATATTTGAGAGTCCAATAAAAAGAAATCCTTACTTTTCAATTTCTATTGATGATTGTTCTATGAATTGTAAATTTAAATAATGAATAATAAATTCTTAAATAAAAATAATTATAAATCAAATTGCTTAAGGTTTAAAAAAATTTAAGAGTAATAAGAAAAATATTAATTTCATCAGACTTTCCTAACTTAACATATTGGCTATAGTCCATTTATTTGAAGCTAATTAATTTGCTTATTTAATAAATGGGATGTTGGGTTAAAAAGGTTTTGGATTGATTTCACTTTATTAATTAAGCATATAATCTATATTGTTATTGAGAATAAATTGTTTTTTTCTCTCTTCCTTAAGAGTCTCTTTATTTTACAAATATTATTAGACACATTTAACCATGGCAGGTTATAATTATTGTTCATAGATATCCTTTTCTTCTTAAATTGAAAACATATCTAGAAATCCAAATAAATTGAATTTAGGTTCATGTTTGTAATAACCATAACTAAAATAAAAAAAAATAATATTACTGGAAAGAGACTTCATTATTATTGGTTTGAACAATATGCATATATTTTCTGATAGAAAAATTTTGATTTGCATCATTGATAACTTCTTGTTCAACCATGATTTGAGCATCACTAATAAAATAAACAAATTATTCGCATTTGCAATTAACAAATTCTGGACCAAATAAATTTAATTTATCTTGATTAGGTTATTTATAAGTAATAACTCTTTTGCTAGCACAGCATTGATCAATCAATTCTTTTATATCATAATTTTCTTCATGTAAAAAGAAACTTGGTGGAGCAGGTTCATATTGAGTATATTTGACTTAAATTTCCTTCATTACATTAGTTTAGAATTAAGCGAAAAAGTTTTATTCATCATTACTAAGAAACAATTTAAAAAATTCTTTTGTTGTTAATGGCAAATCTAAAGAGGACAAATTAATAACTTTAGGATTATTGCAAAATCTACTCTCGTCCTTTAAGTAACTTTGCTTTCTAAACTATAAAACATTAGAATATTCTTTCAATTATTTTTCATAAATTTCTTTTTACCTTACAAGCATATTATTCCATTATTGTTCTCCTCTTATTTAGTGATGAACTTATTAATCTTAAATAATACAATATAATTACGTTAATTATATTATTATACTGCTAGTTTTAAATTTTCATTTGCTTTGGTATTCAAAGTGTTAATTCTAAAATAAATAAGCTCACTTAGCTCAATGACAAAATTATTAGAGCATCTATCTCTAACAATATTTGATTGTACCATTCCTGATAAAGTTAGACTCATCTATTGCATTAAATCTATACATCTATTATTTTTATATAATTACAATCATGAAAATAAGACTAGTTAGAAGTTGATTACATTTCTAAAACTAATTACATATATTTTGTGTATTTTGACTTCAAACTATTATTTGATTGGTCTGCAAATTTTATAAGATAATTTAGTATCTCTAAAATTTCTTAATGAATTTCAACAAGAAAATTTATTGTTTTTTACAACTCTAATAAAAATTGATCATTCTTAAGAGTTTAATCACTTTAAATCATATTAATCACTCCATTGCTATTTCTTTAAATTATAACTGCCATCTTCTTTAATTATTATCCATTATATTTTGTAGCTTCAAAATATTATACTCTTAATTTTGCATATTTTAAATAAAACTAATAGAGGAAACCTCTTTCTTTATTATGAGACTTAAAAAGATCTAATAATAGATTATTCTTATTCTCTAACTTTTATATTGCAACTAATAATTAAGGATAATCTAATTAATATTCTAGGCATATCATATACAATAACTAATAGTCGACAAAGTCTCTTTACCATTCTTTTTTCAAACTACTAAATATTATCTATAATATACTATTATTGATAATGAAAGAAACATTATTTTACACTATTTAAGCGATTCAAGTCTAATTTACAGATATCTAAACAAACACCTCTTTCTTATTAGATAATTATATCATATCTTTTTTTCTGAGACATAATTTAATCTGTAAAATTCTATCCTTTTTCTAATCTATCTATAAACCACTTATTAATTTATGAGAATATATCTATGATTGGTTAATAAGTTTGAGTAATCTTCATTTTATCAGTATATTTCTAAAATTCAGAACTAAGATCATCCAATTCTTTTATAGAATGCAGTTATCTTCTAATTAATTCCTTAAAGGCATGATTTAAAGTTGCTGCAAATTGCTCAGTTGATATTCCTTACATTTTATTATATAATCAAAAACAAAAAAATTTAAGGCTAATTCTTTAGTTTATATTTGAAAAATACTTATCAAAGAAAAAATATAATAATCTATATATTGTAATGAGTTCACAAGCATAAAGTGAAATGGAATTGAAATTTTCAGCTTTTGAAAAATTAGGAGACAATCCTACAGATGTTGATATTAAATATGTGAGTTATTTACTCAAAATTCCATTATCAACTCTACGTCTATGGTTAGAAGAAAAAGCTGGAATAGATTTTTAAATAGATATCTCTCCAACTGAAGATAAAGAATGTTAAATTATTGGTTCTATTGTTAAAAAGAAAAAAATGTCAAATTAATAAAATTCAGAAAAAGAAGAGGATTCCCTGTAGAAATAAACAAAAAATATTTCCAAATAACTTTCAACTGAATCAAAAGAAAATTAAATTACTTAAAAAAAGAAACAAGTTGACAAAACAAAATTAAGTCTGATTAATAAAAAATTTTAAAAGGCTTAATAAAAAAAAAAACATTTAGCTATTAAATAAGCTTAGTACTCTTTGTATGAAGATTAAAAAACTTAAGAGAAAAATACATTAGAAAATTAATATCAGAATCAACCATAAAATATAGAAACTCAAAAAATTGTACAGTAAAATGATTTAGTTGAAGTTTAAAATAAAATAAATAATTAAGACAGCTTATCCAATAGTAAAGATAAAAATAATAATTAATAACAATAAAATTAATTTGCTAAGTAACAATTATAAAAAGAAAAAAAATAAAATTAACAGCTTAATCAATAAAAGCCTATATTTCGTAAGGATAAAGAATAAAACTAAAAAGAAATCAATCCAATTAAAGAATAGACTAAATCTAAATCATAAATTAAAGAGTAATAAAACAATTACTTAATAGTTATTGATGATGAAGCTTATTTGAAGGAGTAAAGATAGAAAAAATTAGATAAGGAAAAGGACTAAAAATCAATATTAAGTTAAAAAGATTAAAATTTAAGTGAGAAACAATCAATCTTATAAGATTTGACTTTAATGAAAAATAAAAAGTTGAAAAATCCTATAAAGTCAACATAATAACAAATCTAGGTTGAAAAAAATAAGCCTGAAAATGAAATTATAAAATAAAATGAATAGAAATAGAATTCAATTCAAACTAATCTTTAAAAATTAAATCTTTAGAATCATTAATAAATATAATTTAAGTAGAATATATAATAAACTTCAAAATAATAAAAATAAGATAATCATTTTCAATAAATAAATTCATAATAGTAATAATTATAATAGAATTAATTTTCCTAAAAAATTACCTAAGGATAAATAATGAACTTTTCAGGATAACCTTATGATTAATTAAGTAAACAAAATTAATTAGTTGAAAAAAAATCTTCTCATAATTAAATTTAGAATGTGACTTAACCACCTCAAAAGAAGGATTAAAATTTAATTATGGAACCTATAAAATTAGCATAATAATAACCATAATAATAGCAAAATTATTTAGCTTTAGTTTGTTCATCTTAATCGATGTAAACACAAACGAGTTCAAATAATACTGCCAATTAACTTTCACCAAATCAAACTACTTTATAAAAATAGCCAAATTAAGAAACACGTTCTTAGAAACAAAATTAAATTGGATCTGAACTAAATCTTATCTAAAACCAGTTAAATTAATCAATTCAAGGACCTATTTAATACAATAATTTAGATAAGATGTAGTAATAGTCTAATTAAATAGAAATGATTCAAATATTCAATAAAAATTGTTAAAAGTTAGGATAAGCAGTTTAAATGATAGCAGTAATTAGTAATTACCAGGTTGTTTTGATGGATAAAGTTGGCATGATTTATGAATGTGTTAATAAAAAGTGATAAGATTATTATTTTTTTAGATATATATTTATTAAATGAAAATCATTGAGCCTAAAGGCTTAGAAGATGGAAGAGTATATTTACTTCTATTATTAGATTACGAGTCTCTATTTTCTAAAATTCGAGTTCATAGAAAAGATTTGCTTTCTATTCAACCTTCTGGGTATAATATTGGCAGCAATTTAATATGAATTAGAATTTGAAGAATATGATTCTGATGATCCATATAGAGATGTATATAAATTATGTAAATTAGATTTCATAATGGCTATTGTGGATGATATTTGGTTCAACTATTCTTTTGATATATTTTACATTTTATCGTTATTAGGCTAAAATCTAATGGTTAAAATCAAGAGGTGTAATTGGACAAAGAGATAAATTCTATGAGATCAATGAAAACTTTTATATGATGATTGAGATTATGGTATATTGTCTAATACCTTTATCATTCACTGAAACAATTAGAATTTCCTTTTATAATGTAGCTCAAGGAGCAGAAGCCTATTACCATATAAATGAAATGCTAACACTTTTAATGGTCATAAGAGTAATCTATCTTTATAGGACTGTCTTGACTTTGACTTTTTGGTCAAGTAATCAAACACTAAGAGTTTGTGATCTTTTTTCTTGCGAACATAACTATTTGTTTGTTATAAAATCACTTTTAAAAACATCTCCATACTTAACCTAATTTTTAATGTTATTATCACTAATTTTTGTGTTTGGCTATTAGTTAAGAATTTGTGAAAGACCATTAACAAGGGTTAATGATATAATTGATAATTTAGGAGTATATTATAATAGTGTTTGGTGTATCATAATAACAATAACATTTGTTGGTTATGGAGATTATTATCCTAGAACAGATTTAGGCAGATTTGTAGTTATAATAGTATGTATAGTTGGAATATTTTTATTATCAGTTATGATTGTGACTTTTATTGAATCTTTAAAAGCTACTCCAATTGAAAATTAAACTATGTCTCTTTTGGAAAGAATTCGTTTAAGATAAATGGTCAAAAACGAAGCAGCTTAAGTAATTAAATTAAGTATGTAACAAGCATACAGATGGAGGTAAATTTATTAAGTATTTAGAAATGGTACTTTGACAGAAAAAAAATAGCACTAAATAGAAATAGAATTAAGATTAGCTTTGCATAATTTCAGATTTGCTCTTTAACAATAAAGCAAATTTGGAATGGATAATCAGAGTGAAAATATTATAAACCATATCGGATTTTTAGGGTTGGATCTTAAGTAATTAAGAAATGAATAAAATTGGGATGCAAGATAATTAATGGAAAAATTAGAAAAACAAGAACAAATTTCAAAATAATTAATAGAAAAAATGAATTTGATACTATTATAAAAGCAATGACATTATTTGTTGATTATCCAGAATTCAATTGAAGAAAAGATATGGATAAATGAATGTTAAAATTGAATTTTGGAACAAAATGAAATATTATAATAATATAAAAATATAATAAAATGAAAGGAAGAACAGGAGGTTTAACAGCTAAAATGAGTAATGTAAAATTAATAAGTATTATTTTGATTAGTAAAACCAAAATAGAAGATAATAAGAGAATGATTAATTAGTAAGGAAAGCTGATTAAAATAAAATATCACTAGCAGAAATTTTTATGGCAAATTCTTAATAATTAGGAGGATTGGAAGATGGAAAAGTATATAATGAGATAATTTTGATAGGTAACAAAAATGTATTTTCATAAATTTTTGTTTATGGAGTAAGTTTGTTTTGCATTTAATTTAATGGGATTAGGAATAAGTGTAATATAATACGATTTAGAATTTGATGAAGTGTCAGATGATGATAATATGAAAGATGTAATATTAGAATATATATATATTAGATTTCATTATGGTTATTGTGGTTAGTATTTGTTTCATCATGTATTTTGGTTTTTTTAACAGTTTATCGTTATTAAGCTCATATTGAATGGATGAAATCTAGAAAATCGATAGCTCCAGGAGATTAAATTTGGCATACCGATGATTGGTTACCAATGTTAATAGAATTAGCTGTATATTGTATAATACCTTTACCTTTTACAAAAGGAATTAGAGTTAACTTTTATAATTCAATTTAAGGGATGGAAGCTTATTATCATGTAAATGAGATTTTAGCATTGATAATGGTTTGCAGAGTTATTTATTTATATAGAACTCTATTGACTTTAACGTTCTGGTATAATAATAGAACTTAAAGAGTTTGTAATTTATATGCTTGTGAATCAAATTATATGTTTGTGGCAAAATCTTTATTAAGGACAATGCCATATACTGCCTTATTTATAGCCTTAATATCTTTAATTTGTATATTTGGATATGCTGTAAGGATTTGTGAAAAACCACTCTCAAGAAATGATTCTACAAGTAATAATTTAGGATTATATGAAAATGCTTTATGGAATATTATTATTACTGTTACTACAGTTGGTTATGGTGACTTTTATACTAGAACAGATTTAGGCAGATTTGTAATCTTTATAGTTTGTGTACTTGGAATCTTTGTAGTTTCAGTTATGGTTGTTACTTTGATTGAATCTCTTAAAGTTACATCACTTGAAGGACATGCAATCACTGTTTTAGAGAGAGTTGCCTTAAGAGAAAAACTTAAACATGAAGCTGCTTTAGTTATTATTCTCACTGCCAAAGCTGCTCTTGGATATAAGTAATATCAATTCAAATATTATTTTAGAAATGGTACACTTACTAGAAAATAACATCATTAATTAATAGTTAGATTAAAATAAACTCTTATTAATTTCAAAATGACTCATAGATAACACAAAACTAAATAAGATGAAAATAGTTTGAATGAAGAAATCACTAATTAATTCAGTCTCTTAAAAAATGATTTTAAATAATTAATGGAAAGATAATCAGTCTTGATTTCAACCAATAATTTGATCTATCAGAAACTAGGATTTGAAAATAACAAATCAATTGTCAATATATGACACTTTATACATATGATTTAGCAATTTAATGTATAATAATTTTATTTGTACTTCATGATCAATGTATGTTTTTACCAGCCTTTCTTTTAGCCAATCTTACTTCAAGACTCTTATTCTTTTTGATAGATGGATCATTCTTTATAGCAAATCTTCTATTTTTTGCAAATCTTTAATTACACTTTATTTTATAAGATTATTTACTCCTTTCAATGATTTATATCTTTAATTTGGAAGCTTCTTAATACCATTTCTATGATGTTTACGGGCATTATGATGACTTGTTGCGTTCTTAGACTTGGCCATTGATTATTAATTATTTAAAATATTTATTTAGATTTTTCAATATTTTTAAATTCCTTAATTTTTTATACAAACCTATTATTCCATCCGTTAAGCATCTTTTTATAGTGTTTCTTTATGCATAATACTTCTCTCCAATTCCTTATATAAACTCCAAACTCTTTATTATTAATAGTCCTAAACCTCATTCTTTATTTTTATTTGCTTTTTATACTCATTCTTCAATTTTTATTTTTATTCCTCCTTAAATGATTATCTGTTCTCTAAAAACTATTTACTTTATTCTATTTATTCACTCAAATACTGTTATTCATATTGTTCTCTAATTTTTTTACTCTAAAAAATATTATATATTTATAACTTATCTTTCATCTTGCCATTCTAATTATTTTTTTGTAGCCTCTAATTTTTTTATTTACTTCTAAATTATTTCTAATTCCTCTTTTAGTTATTTTTCTATGTTTGGATCATTCTTCTATATCTTTTCTACTATTTAATTTAAATTTGGAGCTTCTTAAATAATAATATTTTTCTATTTTATAGGATTTTTTTATCGAGCAGCAATTCTTGGAGATTTAGATTGAGAAGATTTGTGTTGATTATTCATGATATTAGTCATATTTTAATTATTCCTTTAACTATTTAAATATTCTTAAGGTTATGTTTAAAAACTTTTAACGCTTACTTAATCTTAAAAACTCATGTATTCATTCATAAATTGATTTACTTCTTATTATTTATTTGAATTTTATAATGGTGATTTTGATTTATAATAATATTATTTCTTTGATGAACTTGAATAATTAGGTAACTTTGGGCTTTTAGATGTATTTTGATGATCAGAGATTCCTTTCTTATAGGAATTGAAATCTTTAAATTAACTCAACATTTAAAAGGAATTTGCTTAATCTTTAGGAGTAGATGGAATTAATTAAAGTTATTCATTTTATATTTAAGTTTCTTCTTCAACCTTACCTTCTGAGTCGTCATCTTTAAAATTATTGCTTAATTTTGATAACATATAAGACTTTAATTAATCTGAACTCTTTTCTTGAGGAGTCTTAATTTATTACTCATACTTTTAATTGAGTTTGATTATCTTATAGAATGAAGTATAATAATTGATTGATAAAGTTAAAATCCTTTCAAGTTTATCTGCAACTGAATTGATTTAAAGTTTTAATTCTTCTTTATAATACTTTTAAGCCTCCTTAATATTAGAAATATTGATCTTCTTCTTTATCAAGTTCTATTAAAGATTAGATAAAATAGAATTAATCTATTCATAGCTTTTACAAAATTGACTCTAACTAGCTACCCAATCTCTCTATTGTAGAAATAAATAGTCAGTTGTGATAGATTTATCAACTCCAGCAACAAAACATAATAAACCACAGATACAATTATAAAGTTGTTAGGTTGGTTTAAGTATGTAAAATAAATCCTAAAAAATTAGAAACTATTTCATGTACTTGAATATCTTTGATTTAGATTAATTACAAAATCTTGAGAATATTTGTATGTATTTGTTCAGTTTCCTCTATCAACTTCAAATATGATGGAAATTTCACATGATCTAATCGAATTTGTAATTTTGATTATTCAACGACTCCTTTCATAATAAAAATTATATAAACATATATTTAATTATTCAATATTCTTGCATCTATAAATTAATTAACTGTTTATTAGATTATTTAAACATAAATAAAATGCATTTAATCTATATATTTTATTGTATAAAGTCATTATTTTATTAAATTATCAATAATTTTTGAAATAAAACCCTAGTTATAATTGTATTATATAAAGAAATAATTTAATTGTTTAAAATATTAATTTAAAGCATCTAGATATAAAATTTGAAAATTTCCTTAGAAATAGAAATTAGTTAGTGATTAATAAATATTTGAAATGATCTTTATTAAATATTTTTGTAAGATCTATTAGAGATAAAATTTATCTTAAAAGATTGAAAGTAATATAAATGAGAAATGGTGGAATATAAATTGAATATATTAGAATTGTAATATTATTATTAAATTAAAAAATGAAAGGTGAAGCTACTTAATCTAAAACTTAAAATCAAGGATCTGCAATAAAAAATGATAAGCCTATGAAATAAGTGAAATAATAAAGTCCATTGAAACATTAAGCTGAACCAGAAGTAGTCTGGCCATTTTTTGCTCCTTAACCGGCACTGGTTAATTAAATTAGATTTTGGGATAGAAAAAATTGCAAAAATGTTTACCCAAACAAAGAAGATCTAAGATTTTAAGCTATAATGTTAAGAGTAGGAAAAAAGAAAAAGTCAACGAAGGGTTATTTTTTCAAATTAAGTAAAGATGGGACACTCAGTTATTATAAAAAGGTTTAAGATTTAAATATAAATAAGGAATCTGATAAAGTGGCAAAAGGATATTTATAAATAACAATGGATTATGTAGCTCATTTGTTAGAACAAAAAAGTAAAAAAGATTCTTTACTTATTGTTTAAATTGAAAAATATTAAGGACTCTCGATATCAATATTCGATGGTAAAACTTAATTAACACTTGAATTTTTTAATCATCTAAAAGATTATTGCATAGTATCAGGAATGGATAAACTATATACTTAATTGGAACTGTTAGGGAAAGGTTCATTTGCATCAGTAATTGATTAGTTAGATAATTGAATAGGTGTATAAGGTAAAGAACATATAGAATGAGTAAATGTTTGCAGCCAAAACATATTTCAAAGAAACATTTGAATAATCATAACATAAATCTAAATTTGTGGTACCATTTGTTCCTTATTAAAGCTGAGCTTATGATAAAAAACGAAATCATGGTTTTACGTAAAGTTATACATCCTGGAATAATAAGACTATATGATGTAATTTAAGAGAAAGAGAAATTAATATTGATAATGGAATTAGTTTCGGATGGAGATTTATATAGTTTGATAAAAGAGAAGAAGAGAATTCCTGAAAAAGAAGCTGCTATTATGTTAAAAGGGGTATGTGAAGCATTAAATGAAATGCATATGTATTTTAATATAATTATTAATTAGAAATGAATTTGTACATAGAGATTTAAAATTAGAAAATATTATGATGAAATCAAGAGATTAATATATAATTAAATTAGTTGATTTTGGATTTGCAGAACCTATTAATCATAAAGAATTAGTATCTAAAGCAGGTACTCCTGGTTATATTCCACCTGAAATATTCAAATTATTTCCTTATACAGATAAAGGAGATGTATTTTCAGTTGGAGTTATATTTTATTCAGTATTATTTTATTTATTTATTATTATAGTTAATATCTGGAATCTCATGTTTTAAAGGAAAGAATTATTAAGCTGTTCTTGAAGATAATAGAAAATGTGAAATCAGTTTTATTAAATAAGTTTGGAATGATATTAGTAGTGAATGCAAACATTTACTTAAAAAAATGTTGGCTAGAAAACCAGCTGATAGATATACTTGTGCAGATGTACTTAAAAATGAATGGATTCTTATTCATACATCTAATGAATATCAATAATAAGCAGGTTCTCTTATTTATCTAAATATTTAGATTCTGAACTCGAAAGAAGAAATTCTTATTAAACTATGAAAAAATCTCATTATAGCCATTATAATTCTGTTGATGGATCATAACCTGATTTTAATAATGATTTCTCTTATCATACCAATGATTTAAAATCTTTTTATCATCGAAATAGTTAAAAGACTGTCAAAACTTAAAGATCTATTTAATCAATTAAATCTAATAGTAATTTAATATATATACACTCTTATTAGATGATAAAATGAAATAATCTATGAGAAATAAATCTGCACATAGTAAATAATAATAGTTTACTAATTTTAAAAGTTAAACCCTTAAACACAGAAATAAAAGTGCTATTCATTCAAATTCTAATGAAGGAGGAGATTAAAAAAGTGTTAGATGGGTTGATAAGAAAAATAAAAGTGATGAACCATCTTTTGGTGATAAAAAAGAAAGTAAATATTAAATCATTAATTTAGATGATTCTGTTAAGACATCGATTTCTCTTAAAATTTTTGAAGATTTTGAAGCCATTAATTAATCGAATGTAACTTTTTTGAAAATGTCTCCTATATTGTTTAACTTATAGAAGAAACCTGATTCTGATGCCAAAATTAATGAAGCTATTAAGAAAAAAAAATAATAAGCAACACATTTTATGAAAATAAAATGATAAAAAATAAATATAATCATTATTATGTATGATATTCGGATATTATTTTTTTATTAATTTAATATAATAATCGATATCTTATAAATTTTAACCACAAGATCTTATAAAATAAATTCTCTTGATTTTATATTAATTTTTTATGTATTTGTTATTTGTTAATATAATCAATTCATTTATTTTTCATATGTAATTCATCATCTTTATTAAATCAATTTGTTTCTTAAAATAATTTATTTATAAGGAAGAGAATTGAATTTATTTTACATTCATCTCTTATTCAATAAATAGTAATTGATGACGCGATTTAACTTAATTTTATTAGTTAGCTGAGCAATTTATAATAATAACAGAATTTTGAAAGATTTTATTTATAGAACTTTGAATGAATGTGATATTAAAAATTATGAATAATAATCATTTTTATCGACCCACCTTAACAGGAAACAAGAATCGTTATAAAGTTAATGCAGACAATTTTGGACATATTTTAAAAGTATTATCAAACAAAAAGCCTTATTTGTAAAATTCATAACTCTTTCCTGGTATGAGCAATATATACTATTCAATATTTCTTTTAGAATCTTAGATCTTTGAGTCATCCAAAAATTTTGACTATAATTCAATTGATGTAAGGCAATTTAAAGAACAATCAGATTCAAGATAAAGAGTTAAGACTGAAATAGTAAGACCCAAATATCAATTATAACACTAAATTTAGAAAATTGATTCTACTACTGCATATTTTCCAAAATTAAAAGAAAGAGCTCAATCATAAAAAAAAAAAAAACTCAAAAAAGTAATTTCATAATTGAAAAGATAGCCCTTGAGGTTGATATTGGTGATTCACCAGTTAGTATTAGAGATTTACAGAAATCTCTTGATTATAGTAGGAGTCAACCAAATAAACAAAGAAATCTGACTCCACTTTAACATAAAACAATCGAAGTATCTAAATTAATAAGTCATTCTGATCATTTAAACTAAGAAGAAATTATGCAATTTTCATTTGGATTATAGTACAATAGAATGAACATTGAAAAATAAAAATCTAAATTTCCTAAAGACATATTTCTTGGAGATGTAAGAAAGGTCAAAAGAATTTTTTAATAACAATGACTTAATATTATTCATTATATGAGAATTATATTTTTAAATAATAATGTATCTATATTTATTTGGATTTTACGAACTTTTCAATTGAATAACTTAATTTATTATTCGAATATCTAAATTATAAAATTTTGTTATAATCGGTTAAGTTTATTTACATTTTCTATTCTTTTTATTATATTTGAATTCTTCTAAATTGTTTTTTAAAATAGATTACTTAATTCATTAATCTCATCTTTTTTCTAATTGATTTTAGCCTCCAATATTAAAAATGTCAGAGTTTTATATTTAAAACCAAAATTAGATTATTTAGAATAGATAAGAGTAATAAAATATATGTTAAAAAATGCACAACTCTTAAGGATAATATTATTTAAATGATTACAAGTTATTTAGAATTATTTTGATTATGATAGTTGAATAATAACACTTAAAGGAGTTTGTTTGTAATTTAAATATTTTTTTCTTTAAGGTATAGTTACATTAATTAATCAAAATTTTCTTTAATTTATTCTAGTCTTTCAAGTATTTTATTGTATCATTAAAATTTGGAAAATCTTTTCTAAACATAAAATTTATACTAACTCAATTTATACTAATAATACTAATTCTTTAATTAAAAATTGTATTAGCTCTTTTAATTAACAAAATACCTATCTAATATCGAGAAGACTTTCCAAATATTTTTATTTTCTAGGAAGCTGTTTTGTACAGTGGTTGATGATATATCTATATGAATGATTATTAAATTTTTCAAATTTTTTTTGAATCCAAACTATATATATTTCTCAATCATGATTGTCAAGATTTGTATAATTTTTTTTAATTAAGATAAATTGGGTATCTAAAATTATTTTGAGATCATTAACTAATTTAAGAACAACTTGAATTTTTATGATTACTAAAATTAATTATATAATTATATTCAATTAATTGTAATTACACTACCAGACTCCATAGGATTATTAATTTATGAGAATATTTCAGGTATTTAAGATTCTTCCTATTTTATAAAACTATCCTCAATTGATTTATTTCCTTTTCTTTTGATTTGAATATTATCAATTTATTCTTTCAGTGAAATCACAAAGGCTTTACTATTTTATGCATTTCCCTATGAATTCATCATTTATAAATTATTTTAAGATTCTCCAAACTAACTTGTTCCCATTTTTTATAATTTAATATCTGTTTTTTCACTAAAATATTTATTTCTTGATTACCTTTTAAAATTTGGTGTTTATTAATGTTTTGAACTTGCTTCCATTGGATTAACAAGAGAACTCAAACTTCTTATTGATTATTTATTATGTTGTTTAAATTTCTAAGAGATTTGAATGTTTATACTAACTATATCTATATAAAATATTAATAAATACACATTTTTTTTTTTGAGTTATTTTCTTATAATTCTTATTCATACTTCAAATTTTCTTTAAAATAATAAAATTCTTAAAAAATTACAGAAATAAAACAAATCAAATTTATGGGTGAATTATAATGATAGATTTCAAAAATAAATCTCAAACATTAACATTCTTATTCAATCATATTGGTAGTTTTATACAGTGTATAAATGTATAATGCAATATGAAGTAAAAATAATACTGTTAATAACATACTATTTTATATTTTTATCCATAATTACTTTGCAAAATTTCTAACTTCTTTTTANCATTAAAATTTGGAAAATCTTTTCTAAACATAAAATTTATACTAACTCAATTTATACTAATAATACTAATTCTTTAATTAAAAATTGTATTAGCTCTTTTAATTAACAAAATACCTATCTAATATCGAGAAGACTTTCCAAATATTTTTATTTTCTAGGAAGCTGTTTTGTACAGTGGTTGATGATATATCTATATGAATGATTATTAAATTTTTCAAATTTTTTTTGAATCCAAACTATATATATTTCTCAATCATGATTGTCAAGATTTGTATAATTTTTTTTAATTAAGATAAATTGGGTATCTAAAATTATTTTGAGATCATTAACTAATTTAAGAACAACTTGAATTTTTATGATTACTAAAATTAATTATATAATTATATTCAATTAATTGTAATTACACTACCAGACTCCATAGGATTATTAATTTATGAGAATATTTCAGGTATTTAAGATTCTTCCTATTTTATAAAACTATCCTCAATTGATTTATTTCCTTTTCTTTTGATTTGAATATTATCAATTTATTCTTTCAGTGAAATCACAAAGGCTTTACTATTTTATGCATTTCCCTATGAATTCATCATTTATAAATTATTTTAAGATTCTCCAAACTAACTTGTTCCCATTTTTTATAATTTAATATCTGTTTTTTCACTAAAATATTTATTTCTTGATTACCTTTTAAAATTTGGTGTTTATTAATGTTTTGAACTTGCTTCCATTGGATTAACAAGAGAACTCAAACTTCTTATTGATTATTTATTATGTTGTTTAAATTTCTAAGAGATTTGAATGTTTATACTAACTATATCTATATAAAATATTAATAAATACACATTTTTTTTTTTGAGTTATTTTCTTATAATTCTTATTCATACTTCAAATTTTCTTTAAAATAATAAAATTCTTAAAAAATTACAGAAATAAAACAAATCAAATTTATGGGTGAATTATAATGATAGATTTCAAAAATAAATCTCAAACATTAACATTCTTATTCAATCATATTGGTAGTTTTATACAGTGTATAAATGTATAATGCAATATGAAGTAAAAATAATACTGTTAATAACATACTATTTTATATTTTTATCCATAATTACTTTGCAAAATTTCTAACTTCTTTTTATTATTTACCTAAATTAAATAAAACTAGTGTGAACATCATATTTATTATAGCTGCCAATAAATTTGATAAAAGCAACATTAACAATATGATTGAATAATTATGTTGGCACTCAAATTTATCTTTATGTGATAATATCAAGGCTACAATGATTAATGATGTAAAAGAATAGACAATTCTATTCATAAACTCTAAAGGGAAAACTTTTATAATCAATATTTCTATTTCCTAAATACATAAATATGGAAAGTAAATATACTTTTTATAATAGCATTATCATATAGGCTTTAATATATAAATAAAGAGCAGGGTCATCTTCTTTTAAATTCAAACAATAGTTCAATGAATAAACCATTAGAATTATAAACACAAATATATTAACTGAATATATTAAGTAATACTCTAATTTAGGAAATTCTTTTTGTTAATAAAGTAAAAAAGCAGCTGCAATAAAATTAAAAGCAAATATCATTATTGTTAGATATAATGTAATTGTTATATAAAGTGATTCACTTCCTTATGATCTAATCAAAACATTTAGAATTAATTGCATTAGAGTATATTTTAAATGTTATGCGAAAATATTTGCCAATTTTATTTTTTCTATTCGTTATTCTTCTTTTAAATTTATCATTTTAAATTATAACTATATATATAAATTTGAGGTTTAATTATTATAAATTATTACTGACTTATCAATGTGTAAAGAATTTAAGGAATTGGAATAAGGAGAACAATTACTTATAATAAAAAAGTCTTATTCAATTACTCTATATATTTCTTTATTATAAATTAATAGATAATAATTAAATAGATCATAAAATGTCTTCTTAGGAAATTAGTACTTCATTCCTACACAAAGGACATTTATTATTAATTGATAACCATGACCTTATACAGTTGGAATGAAATCTATGAGAAGATGAACAAGTTAAAGTAACAATATATTGTTCCTCTTAAAATTCAGTCATACATATTGAACACTCTTTGTCTGATAATCATTAATAAAACTGATACCATCAATAGTATCTAATGAATTAAATAAGGTTTCTTTCAAAGAATCGTCTATTTTTCCCTTATTTTTGAAGTGTTTATTTATCCAATTACAAAAGCTGTAAATCAAAAGAATGGGTAGGAAAACTATTACTAGTAAGACCATTAGGTAAATTTCTAAATATTGGTAAACACCAATAAAAATAATCTAGATATTTATGATTTAAATTTTACAGAGAATAGATATCCTTAATATATTGCAACGAATTTATAAGTTTCATTCAAGTTGGTATTAGTTTATGAATTAAAATAAAAGATTAGACTCCATAATTAGATAAATTAGAACACTATAAAACAACTCTTTCCATGTAGATTTAGCAATAAATTATTTTACAATATTTTTTTCTTTTTTTACTATATAAGCATACTTTAATTTCTTATGCTATCAATCTAGTTTTCCTTATATCATCTCTGTCTCCAACAATACCCTAACGGATAAGTATTTCTTGATTTTAATATCGGACTTATTCATCTATATAATTTTATCTTTATTAATCTGAAAAGCTATCGGGTATATAAAACTCTATCATGTATTCTAACTATACTGCAATACTTTCATATTACAGTGATTAGCCAATTAACACTAAAAGTTTTATATAATATATGAAAGAAAAGAAACTATGAAAACCTAACATATCAATTATTTTTTACATGATAAATACATCCAAATTTCTAAGTAAGCTATATCAAAAAGATTGCTGTAATTTTTAATTGGTTTCTCATTTAAGAATAAGGTAAATCTCAAAATTATCTAAATAGATCATGAATTTTACAATAACAAATGCTGCTACAAATTTTAGTAGAGTGAAAATTGCTAAAATTTTATGTATTTATCGAAAATGCTCTTTAGCTGATTCAAATAAGGGAGCAGGCTGACAATATTTTTTCTAATTGTTAATTGGAATAGTTTTAGCTTAAATAAAAGGTTATTTTATTACAACTCTCTTGAATAGTGTCCTCTATCAGGTCGTTGTTAATTGAATTTTCCATATTATTTGTTAAAAATAAGTGTTATACTTTGAATTATTAAATATTACTGCGTCAATTAATCATTATATAATTATCAATAATATATTAATATAATTTCAAATATGTATATTTCATAAATATATTTAGTATTGTATGCACACTAAAAGTTTCACTAGATATTCTTTATGTTATAATTCGCTTTTCTATAAATCCCTCATTAATTAATCACAACGCTAATTGCCATACAATTTATTCAATTGATTCAAATTTGATTCTCTTTAATGATAAATCAACTTAATTTAATTCAGAAGAATTTCATTTTCACTCTCTCCTTTTTCACAATCAATATTAATTTCATTCTTTTCTAATTTTTACAAGAATTCATAAAATCTTTAATTCTCTAATAATTCTTACTCATAATTATCTGTAATATCAATCTATAAATTATTTTTATTACAAGCTATGTATTTTAATAATTAAGGAAATGATCTTTCATGTTATGTTTCATATTATAAGAATTTCATAAATTTATCTATGACATCATTTATTTATTTTAATTGAGCTGAATTATTATTTTTAAATATCTTTTCTCTTAATCTAAATAGCATTGTTCCTATCTTTAATACATTAGTTCCATATTCTTCAAATTCATCTTCAGAATTTACATCTTAATTCATTATAAGTCTAATTTAAACTCCACATATTTTATCAATTAATTCCAACATTTATTAAAATTCTGTACTTAAATAAATTTCTTCAAGGACTACAATATGTCTATGATAATTTTAAGTTAATTTTTCTATATAATTCACTATGACTTGATCTGTGTCCATTTACAAAATATTAGGAAAATGTATCAATACTTACCTATAAAATTAATCATATTTTGGTAAATTAGAATTCAAATTTAGCTTTTTGATTTTTAGTAATTCAACTTATGTGCTAATTTGAGGAATTTAACTCATTTATGCTAAAAGTTTTACAGTAGGTTTAAGTACTATCATTCCAAAACTATATTTAACATCATAAACAGAACTATTTCTAATAATCTTCATAAATCTAAGTAATTCTGGTATTACTATATTCTAATATAATAATATCTATAGTAAAACTCTAAAGATTAGTTTTGTGCATTTCTCTTATTTAGGCTTTATTATTTAACAATATTTTGAAAATAATTAGTAAAACTCTGCAACAATATTTATAATTGACTGTGTATTTTTATCTAAAAAATTAAATTCCAATTCTTAACATTTAGCATGCAATTCTTTAATCGTCTGATAATCTTTTGATGTATTAAAATAACATAGAAAATCTTATTAGTTTGTTATTCTATGTTTAAGACACATCAAATGAATTAAAATAAGTGTTTAATCGGAACTTTATTCAATCTATGTATAAACTTCTGATCTCTCTAATTTTTCTTAATCATATTTAATTAACTCTCTTTCTAATTCATTGCAATACTTTATTTCTATATTTTGATTGTCTATTTTTAAGAAGCGGATTATTTCAGGGAAAATTGAATTAGAACAATGCAAATTTATTAAAGATTTTCTTATTCTATCTTTAGAATCATAGTTTTCTCTATTTAATATCATGTTCATTAGTTTTTATCCTTTTAATATAGGATCATCACCTAAAATTTCAACAGTTTTTCTATCAAAATTATTCTATGAGTATGATTTATATAGATATTAAAGATCTTCTATATCATCTAAAATTGTTTATGTTAATTCCTAAAGTTCAGCTTTCTTCGATAATTCATATAACATTTGTCTTCTTGACTCATATTTTGCATTTTTTCTCAAAATCATTTTATTTATTATTAAATACATTATGTAAAATTAAAAGAAGGAAAAATATACCAAAATTAATGAACATTATCATTTGTTTCTTTTAATCAACTAATAAAATGTTTTCAAAGCTAAAGAACTAAAAATCTCTTTCAAAAACTAAGATGCTCTACAAATTATTAGAATAAACAGAATTATATTAACTTACTAAAGAAATCATGGAAAAAGATTTAAAGGAATGTTGGTAATTTTGTCAAATTTCTACAAATGATTTTTAAGAAATTCCTATTTCTAAGGTTCATAAATTTTTGTTCAAAGTAGATAAAATTTTAAGTAATCCTTTTGATTTACTCATGAAGTAGAAAATTAAAAATTTACTAATTTAATTGTTTGCATAAGGAACACAAGTACCTTAAATATTTGGATGCCTCTAATTCTAAGGAAACTAAGCTATAATAGCATGTAATCTCACAATTGAACAGTAATTAAAATCTATGATAAAATCAGATTACAAAGCTGAACATATTGATAGTTATTATAAAGAACTTTTAATGAATTCTGAAGAATTATTAATACAAATAACATTGAACTATTTATATGAAGCTATGATGGAAGAAAATTTATTATTAAAATTAAAAAGCAATTAATAATTAGATTAAATCTATAAAATTACTAATTAACTCAACAAATAAAAATTTTCTAGAAATGGTTAAAAAATAATTGAATTAATCTAAAATATAAAGAAAAGAGTATATTCTTCATAAGATCAAGTTATATAAATAAAATCAATTGAATAAAATCAAAATAGTAATTAAAATTAATTAAATAGTAAAAACTAATAAAATAATAAAATTTAATAAAATAGTAAAAATAAACAAGTTAATCATATTTAAAATAATAGTTAAACCTAACAAAACAATAATCAAAATAAGTAGATTAGTTAAATTTAGCAAAATATTCTGAAATAATAACTTAAGCATAAAGAAAAGATCAATTAAACAGAAAAAATTAGCTTAATAGAACATATTACTCAAAAAGAACCGATTTATCAAAAAGAAATTATTAGTTAAAATTAGCAAAATAGTTAAATCTAACAGAATAGCTTAATTTAATAGAATAGTTTAATATTATAAAATGAGCAATAAACAGATAATCAGACTGGTGCTCAAGAGAATGGGAAATACTTTATTTTCAAAATATTGCTATTATTATTATTAAAATCAGAAATAGCTTTACCAGATATAATAAAATTATTTAAAATAAGTTATGTATGTAAATAATAAGATATGGAAGATAGAAAAGGTTTTATTAAAGTTTATATTACCTAATAGTTGATATTTTAAATTAGTTTAATGGTTAAAATTAAGTAGGATGCAGAATTATTAAAAATAAATTCATCTTTATCTTATTATGATGAATCAAGTATAAGAGCAGTTAAATAAGCAATTAAATAGCATTTTCCAGAGTATGAATTTATAAAGTTCAATTAAGTTATAAAATAATAACTTGAATTATTATTGAAAAAATTTGATGAATATCAATAATAGATATGTGCAACAATGGAAGATAATAATGTGTAATCTGTATTAAAAAGGATTTACAAAATTTGTGGGAAATATTTTTAAAAAATTGAGGCTGGAGTTATTACATTTTAGAATGCTTAACAAAAATTTTAAAAAAATAATATGTTAGAAATAGGATATTTACTTTATTAAATATAACTTAAGATAGATTAAAAAAATAATAAATAGTCAATAATAAAATATTCAAAAGAAACTTTAGAAGAATAAAATAATGATTAATAGATGAACTTTTAAAGATCTATATATGAAAAGTAATTAATTTAATATGGAATAATAAATCCTATATTTTTTAAATTCATTAAACATTTAACACAAAATTAGATTCCTTTTCCATATGTATTTTAATTTCTAAAAATGGGATGTCATAGATTAATAATTCATTATAGAATAGAATCAACAAGAAAATTAACTTTAAAAAAAAAGTTCATTGAATTTGTAAAAGAGAATTATGATCTTGCAATGACTTAAGATAGATATATAAATGTAGAATTATTAAAAACAATAGATACAGGAAAATATGTAAGAAAAGAGGGGCTTGCATGGCCATTAATATTATTTTAATAATGTAAGCTTATTTATGAGAGTAAAGAAAGATTCAAAAAAAAACTTTAATAATTAGGTAGTAATAAGGATTTTCAAGAGATAATTTAGCAATATGTTGGTTAAGTAGAATAAAACAGTATAAAATTCAAATTATAGCAATATTTATTAGAATTGAATAATTATATAAAATAATTAAATAACTGAATAATTGAAATATGATATAAGAAATGAATAACATTATAAAATAATGTATAATTGTTAAACTCATTCTTTTTAGTTACTATCTTCTTCTTCAGCTTTTTTATACATTTTATCCATAGCCATTAATACTTATTCATGATCTAAATAAGCATTGACATCAAGCACGATTGCTTATTTATCTCTGACTTTAATGGCATCCCAGTTTAAACAAGCCTTAGCTTCATTAAGTGCATCTTATTTATTTCCTTATTGATCTTTTTCAATCTAGAATTTTATTAATTTTCACATTCACTAAAAGAAGTAAAGGTTTAGTTTAAAATACTTCTAGAGTCATCAAACGATGTAATAATTATCTAGATTACCCCATACTATCAAAGTGTTTTGATCTTTAAGCTTTTGTTCCTTTAATTACTCTAACAACAAAGATTGTGACTTTAAATGGAATAAATTAATAAAACACATGCCAAAGAGTCATGAACTAAACATTATTTATATTTTGTATTACTTCTGGTGAAGCTGCCAAATCCCATAATGCATAAGTAGTTTATTCATATTTCATACATTCCATGTTATAACCTTCTGTAGGTTTATAAGGAGGATCTTTGTATTCTTATTTATTAATTATATTAAATACTATTTTAAATCAATCCTTCATATAAGAATTTGGTTTTACCAACATCTGAAGTTCCAAGAAGTAATACATGAACATATTTATTTCCATCTAAAAGTGCACCCATTTTAATTAAATTATATTGTAAATAATCATTAATATCAATAGAATAGAAAACTAGAATCTTAATAATATGAACATCTAAAAATGAACTTAAATATAATATTAATCATTTTTTAAACTACTATTATATTTATAATTCATCTAAAAAATATTTATAAATTTTCGTTTTCCTTGCTATCACGATTAGTAATGGTTTCCAAAATTGTAATGGCTTTATTATTCTTATCTTTATTTTTTACCCATCCACAAATAAAATGTCCCATTGTATCAAATATATAAATATGATTATCTGAAATCTAAAATTCATTTTTCTTTATATATTTATTTTCCTTAGGATAATAAATAAAATATGGATCATCTTTAAATGGAGTTTCATCTTATATAATTCTCTCTCTTTCTTAATTTTCAGTCTTTTCAAAAAGATTTGGATGAAATAAACCTACATGTCTGAATATATAAACATTTTCTAACGCTAATTGTTTCATATAGTCACTTAACTCATAATTAGCTACCCAATCTTAACAATATTTTTTAGCTTTTTCTAGATCATTTTACCATTTAGTCTTTGCATATTCTATTCTACTAAAGAAAATAAATTTCATCATTTCTGCCATATATTTTTTAAGGATTTCCATGTCCTTCATTTTAATCAAACCTTATTTTATTCCAAATTCTTTTAAAATTCTAACATTAGAAGCTGCTGCATAAGCACAAATGTGATCTGGAGTTTTATACAATTTTATAAGATCAGAAAATACATCAGAAAATTAATCATAAACAATTATTTGTTTTATGACTAATTTTGTATTTTAATTGATTCTTTTTTTAAGAGTTGTTTCTTAATCTAATTTTTTCATATTTTATAAAAATATTAATTAATTTATTAATAAAATTTCTTTAAAAAATTAAATAATATATATATATAAATGTTAACTTTTAATCGATTAAAAAAAATAACATTTTGATTCTAAATAAATTATATTTAACTTTAATATCAGTTTTATGATTTCTAAATACCTCCTCTAGTTCGAATTTATCCTCGTTTAATTTGATTTTCATCTCTTTTTTAAAACTCTTAATCTTGATTTTTCTTAAAATTATCAATATAAAATAGTTACCTATTCATAATTTCTTCTTTAAGGAATATAATTTCTATCATTTCTATTATTATCTCTCATTCTTCCTCTAACTTTTAAAACACCTTAACTTTAGGTTTGTTAGAATTGCTCTCTATTTTTATTCCAATTATCTGATTTATCAATATTATCATGTGATTCTTGATTATTATTAAATGTTTATATTTTTTCTTTATTATAATCTCCACTAGATTTGATATCTCTATTATTAAATCTTTGATTTTTATTATCTCTATTATCTCTATTATCTCTATTATTTCTACTATCTCTATTATCTCTATTATCTCTATTATATCTATTATATCTATTATCTCTATTATCAACTTAAACACCTCTTCTCCAATGATAAAGATTTCTAATGTACATCATTACATAATCAAAAAGTTCTATATTTTTATCATCTTTAACTTCATTTGGTTCTTAAAATCCAGGCATTAATTTTTCATCTTCAGTTGGATTCATTCTATATTAAATTATTTGAGTATATACGTCAATGTAATTCTAATAGCTGGATTGAAAAATTGATCTTATTACTGTTGATCATTATTATTATTAATTTGTGATTATTTACTCTCTATTTCTGATATAGAATAAAGTCCTTAAATTCTAGATCTAATTATTTCAGCTACTAAAATTGTATGATGAATGGCTTAACCACACCCTAATAGTCTAATAGATTATTATGTGTTTTCTTTATCTCTAAGACCTAATACAACTTAAACTAAATAACTAGCTATTTGATCTTAAGTTGATTTTCCTTTTACCATAATATCAAATCGTTCTTTTAACATGAATTTGTAAATTTAATAGATATTAATTAATAAATATAATTATTCTAATCAATAATATCCACCATGAACATTTGTTAAATGAGTATGACATTCACTTGAACTAATAAATATTTTCATACAAGGTTTATCACTATTAGGAAGATTCTTCCAACAAATATATTTTTTGCAACTAGAACATGCTACTGACATACATCCTGATATTTTTTATGCTAAAGATCTACAAACAGGACAAAATCTTATATCTTCCTTTTTCATCAATTCTTCCAAAATTTTTTAATCACCTGTTTAATATTCCCAACATGTCATTCCATAATGCATTTATACTTTACATTTTATACAATAAGTTATTTTACAATTTTCACAGAATACTATTTCTCCTTTTATTCTCAAAATATTTGAACATCCTGGATTAAAACAAAATATCAAAACTCCTCTCATATCATTCACATATTTATTTATTGATAATTCTACCAATTTCTCATATTTTGCTTAACCTAAAATATTCTATATATCTTCTAATAGAATAGAACTAGAACAAAGAGAACATCTAATTGGTAAAGAATTTATATCTTTTATTGAATTTTAAAAATCGTAATTTAAACATTCTGTACAAAATTTATGATTACAATTTGTTAAAATATAAGGCTACTTCATTTAGTTTAAACAATAACAACATAAATTATCTTCGTTAATAGTATTATTTTCAATATTTTCATCTTTCGATTCTAAATATGCTTCTATTTATTAAATTGCTTCTTCAAGATTCTTTGCTTATCCTGATAATTTTAATTAATTTGTTTTTTTTAGAGGAATTACATCTGTTAGTTTAAATTTTTATTATATAAATATTAATCCTTAATAATCATCTCCCAATAATTTCTTCAATTTTTGAGGTGTCAATCTAACTGTAAGTGTTGAATTAGATTCTAAAAATTATTTCATAATATCTTATAACTCTTAAAATTGTTCATCCAAACAATAAACCTTGATAATCTTCTTAAATTAATCAAGGCTTATAATTACACTTTTTTAAATTTCTAATTCTTAAAGAAATTATTATCCAACATCACTAAATAAAATAGTATTTGATTCTCCAAAATTAATTACATATCCATCTATTATATTTTATATAGTATCTCTAACCTTAGAAAATACTAAATAATTATTTGAAACTAAATGTAATTCGATTTCAAAACCTAAATTATCTACCTAATCTATTTTAAATAAATTATTAAACTTTTATTAAATTGATTTAATATTATTTCTCACAAACTTTATAAAAGTTTATTTAACTTTAAATTGGTGTCTATATTAAGCTTCACAATATAATTTGACTTATTTTAATCCCAATTATATCAACGTATTATTAAAATTAGTCAAAGCAGAATTAACAAAATTTATAGAAGGTACACCTAATTTTAGAATCCTTCTATAATCTTTTCTCTAATTTTTTATTCGATAGAGATGTTAATGTGTCTATCCTATATGATGATTTTTATTTTCCTCTATTAAAAGTTACTCTACTTTTGAAAATATATCAAATTTTGGTTCATATAGTATTGATTTAGAAATACTAATAGATTTTATTTTTTCACTCAATCTAAACAAATCTAATTCTGTAATAAATCGAGATAAATTAGAGATTTTCACTATTTCATTAATAAGTTACATAATCATTTTTTTACCATCTAAAATTGTATCATTATATTGCATATAGAATTCCTCTGCAGCCTTTTCATTGATGAAAATTATTTCAGCATTACCTTTACAATGGTATATAAACCAAGAGAGCTTAATTATATAAGGATGAAATTTTTTATTTTACTCTTTTTTTATGTAAGTAGATGAAACTTTTATAATGCATCCTTAAAATTCTGTTTCATCAAGATCATTTATTATTTCTAAGGTTGCATCTTTGTCTCTTAAATCAATTTAGGCAATTTATTATGTTTTATATATAATTAATGTAATTGTATTAATTAAAGAGTAAGGTTCAATTAAACTTCTAATTTCAGCTTCGTTAGTTTCTAAACTAAGCTAAGAAATTTCTAAGATGGAATTATTAGAATAATAGCATTTTTCAATTAGTCCTCCATTAGTAATAATGAATCTAATGTTGGAATTTTAATACTCATATTCTTTAATGGATTAACTTATTTAAATTGTTAATTTTTAAATGATACTAACTAAATCTTCTTCAACTTACTTACTATTATTAGAATAGATGACAAGGTTGTTGATATTGAATGGTTCAATGATACATTAATATTTTAATTCTAATTTACATATTTCAGATTCTTCATTATTCCACAATAAATTCATTACTGCAGTAGATATATTTTAGATAATATGTTCTTGAATTGAGATTTTCCTCAATTTGTTATCTGTGATAATTGAGTATAATACTTAATTTTCCTTAATCCCAAGAATATATTATGGAACATTAATCTTAAATATTTTTTATAAGGAGTTTTTGTGTATTTTAAAATCTTTTGATATAGGAAATAACTATTCAAATTAATATTCATTATCAATTTAAGAACCATCAATGCTACTGGATTATTTTTTCAAATTTAATTGATGAAATTCATCTAATAAATCAAGTTCAGGGATTTCATAGAGAAAAGACAATTATTTAAGTTTTGAAATTATTAATAACGCTTTTACTAAATTTATTTTATTATCTTGACAAAATTTCTTAATAATATTTGAAGTTTTTTCATCTTCATCTGAATTTATTAAAATAATGATTTACATTACTATGTTATACCATGAATGATAATCGCCTTGTTTAGACCAAAATTAACTAGCTTTGATATTTAATTATTTTTGTAAGTTAGGTTTTTCAATTACATAAAGTAATTGTCCAGATGTAAAAAGGGCAGCAATCATAATTCCAAATTTTAATAATTGTTTAACATTTTCTTATTATCTTAGATTATACAATAGTTTTTAAAAATTATCACTTTCTAAATCTACGTTAGTTTATTTTTAAGTTTAAATTGGTATCTATAAATATTACTATTCAGAAAAAGCATAATAAATCATAGTTCCTTCTTTGTTTGATCTTAAGATTTCTCGAACTTATAAATCAACTTGACTTAAAATTTAATACGAATATTCAATACTATTATCATCTCTTTTTTTTATGATTTCTTTTTAATTCGTGTGAATTATTAAAGTGATATTAGAGGAGTCTAATTATTAAGGTTCCATTAATAAAAATACAGTATTTGGATAGTTTTATTAATAAATAATTTTATCAAAAAGTTGATTAAATTCATTATCAATTTTAACAATTACCTTAATTTAATTTTATTCAAATAATATCCTGAGATATTCAATTTCATTAGAATCCATACAATAGATTAAAATATCTTTTTCCTCCTTAATTTATTACATAACAGTTTAATGTATCAATAATAATTTTTATTCTTAAGTATTGAAATCATTTAAAAATCTTCTTTATTCAATTGGCAAAATTGGAGTCTAAATTTCAACTATTTAGTAACCATCAATCTTAATTTAATCTACTAATGCTGGATTAATAATAATTATATCATGTTGATAGTCAATATTGTGTAAATAAGTGCAAAATTTGTAATTTTATTTTGTAAATAATTGAGGTATCAATTTTTCAATATCAACATTGCTGTAATCAACAACAATGGTATTTTTGTCAAAATTATACCTATTAAAATTATCATGAAAAAATTTCTGTTAAGATGAGTATTTTATTCTAACTAGTCCTTATCGAGTTAATTACATTAATTTTATTCTTTAATAATGAATTTCGATAATATATATTAGGAAGTTTTTGAAAACTAAAATTAATAAAGAATAGATTCTACTATAAGAATACAACAGTTAGAATCAAAAATAAAGTATTTCAAAGGAAATTATCTTATATATAATATGGATAAACACCACTTCAATATAAATGAGAAGCTACTTATGTTTAAGAATGTGTTGATTTTTAAAGATATTATCATCTCTCCCTCATTTGTAATATAGGAAAAGATTGGAATTATCGGCTTAAGATAATTCAATTGACTTTTTGTAATAACAAACACTAAAAATTTTAAAAAGTTAAAAATGGCACAACTGATTATACAGATAATAATTGATCGAATTTTTAAAAAGTATCAGTCTTTAAGGATCTGCTTGATAATAAATTAGTTATGGTAAATCAATATCAAATTTATTCAAGTTTTTATAAATTTTGATTTTTGATAATAATTGAAAACCTGATAGCAGACATAGCAATAATATTTTTGATAGAGATTCTAAATTAATTAGAATATATATTAAAAGCATATTAAATTCATAATGTTATGGATTAATACTAATAAATTTATTATAAAAAACAAAACAAAAACAAAAAAAACCCAAATAGAAAATGAAGTTATAGATGATATTCAACCTTGAAGAATAACAACTAGAAGATACAAAATAAAACGGATAAATTAAAGAAGAAATCTATAATGAGAACATTAGACTAATTTTACAGAATTATAATCAGCCTAATAAGAATAATATAAAGATAAATCTATATAAAATAAAGTAGATAAACTAGCTGGATACATTAAGGTTGTTAAAAAATTTTTAAAATTACATAGAATAGAATGAAAAATGATATAAATTACTTTTTTGTTTTTAAAAATAATGAATGGAACAAAGTAAAAATATACTTATATTCGAATGATTATGTTCATTAAATTAATTGCAATAAATTTTTAAATTTATTTAAATCTTCTTTATATATTAATATTAAAAATAAATTAAAAATGAGAGAAAAGTGGCGAAAGAAGAGAATGCGAAGACTTAAGAGAAAAAGACGTAAGGCACGCAAGTGATTTAAATGATTTGCACATAATCTAAATATATATGTTTCATATATCTCTTTCACATTATTGTACAACATCCATCATCTCCTTATTATTTGTCTCTCATAGGGTTTGCTTTGTAATCCTTTATTGTGTAATTTCCATTGTATTCATTTATTCTTTAATGAACTGGATGACTCTCTGTTGTTAATTCAAAATGTTTATTTCTTATTTCTGATATTTGATCATAAAGAGGGATTTATTTTGATTTATTGATTAAAGCAATGAAATTATGTTGGATGTAACAAATCACTACTAAAACATCTTTTATTGCTTATTTTCCACTCAGTAATTATAATTCTGGGATTTATGATTTATTCACAAATTCTTCTATTTGATCATTCAAAAACTTGCTTTAGTATTTAAATGCATGTGATTAGATCTATTAAGATTCCTTTGTAAAATCGATTTGATCAGCACACTTTTAAGCACATAATGCAATTACTAATGAGATATTATTTTCACATTTATTTGTTAATTAATTTTCTTTTATTACTTTTAACAACGATTTCATTCTATTTTCATACTTTATCATTTTAATCATTGTAAATGAATTATCAATAATATCATCTAAGATTACAAAACTATTTCCTAAAGATAATATTTTATATATATCTTCATTTGTATTGATTTTATCGTTTTGTATACTCCCATAAGAATTCAAATGATTTAAAATCAAATTATAAAATACCAAAGAGTAATTATATTTATTTTAATCATTCTATTATTTATCTTAATTCCATGATTAAACTTATTTTATCAAATTTTCTTTATTAATTGAATCCCAAATTTTTTATTCTTCAGCTGAGCAATCTTAAAATGTTTTATTGTTGAGTTGTTATTCATAAACTTAAGTCTGTTATTTTAATTGAATTTCTGACATTTATTTATACAATATATTTAGTTTCTTAATTATATCTTCAGTTGTATCTACTTTAACATGACAGATTGGATTCATAATGCAATTAATTTTTTCATCACATAATTATTATTATTATCGAAATAGTTATTCATACTCCTATTTCTACTTATCCAAATTTTATCCATGAGCAATTACCTTCTATATTACACCTCCTTTATTTTCAAATTCTTGATTCAATCTTATTAAATCCTGACAATTATGGACAACTATAGGATTTATAGTAGCTTTATACATTTTCTTATGCATAACAATATCACTTAATTATTATATCAATTGATAAATATCAGCATTTTCTTTAATTATTTGAGCCTTACCTATAAATGATTAAATACTAAATTTATCAATTTACAATATTTAATCATACAATTTTAAAGCTTCTTCTTTCTTATCTAATTATCTCAAACACAAAGCTTTCAATCTTAATGCATGGACATTTTAATCATCTTTAACTTAATTACAAATTTAAATTGATTCTTCATATTTTTTTTAATCATATAATATGCTTGCTTTAACAATAAATAAGGGTGGCAATTATTCATCAATTTATAAACCTTATTCAACTGTTTTTAATGCTTCTTCATACTTTTGTTAAGCTCTTAGAACCTTTGCTTTAGATGCATAAGCTATAACATATTTATTATTGATTGATTAATCAAACAATTAAATTGCTTAATCAAATTTGTTCAATCTTAATAAGACTTTTCCTCTATACCAAGTAATGACGTAATTATCTGGGTCTGATTTTTACGCATTATCCAATAATTTGAGAATCTCATCTTACCTTTGTTCTAAAATTGCTTTATTTATTTTTGCATATAGACAATTAGGATTAACTTTTAATGATTCATTGAACCAAGTATTTGCTTAAATACTATTCCCTTTCATAATATATGCTTAACCCAATAATACATAATATTAACATCCATGTGTACTTTTCTCTAATTCTTTAATTGCTTTGTCAGGTTAACTTAATTAAATATATATCCATGCTCTATTAGCATGACATTATTATTTAAATTCATCAATATGATTTAACACTTAAAGAGATAGCTCAAGACATTCTTTATATTTCATCTAATCTTTTTTGATCAAACTTAAAAAGTATTTACAAGTCCAATATTGATGATTTTATTCAATACAATAATTAAATAATTATTCTGACTCTTTTAAATCATTTAAGTAATATTTACAAATAGCATCAAAATATTCCAATTATACACAATCTCTAACTTGTTTAATCTATTAAATTAATTCAACTGCTCTTTGAATCTCTTTTCCTTTTGGTTTACAAGCATATTCTCCCCAAGCATATGCAATAGAGTTTTCAGAATGCATTATTAAATATTTAACTAATGCCTATTTAGCACACATATTCTAAGGATCATTTTTCAAGAGTTATTCTAATAATAAGATACAATCATATTTGGCATCTTAAGTACCTTTCTCAACTTTAGCATAAAAACAATTGCTATTTAATTTAAGTGCTTCCTTTAACCATGTTTCTGCTTAAGTTTTATTTCCTTTTTAAAAATATAGTCTGCTAATTAATGTATAATTCTGGGCATTTGGTTAGACATATTCTAATTCTTTTAAAGCTTAATCTAACTCATTTAATTCAATGTACATAACAACTCTCCAAAAATGAGAATCATCTTTTAATTATCCTGTTACTTCTTAACTTAATTTTTTAAATTCTTAGACTGCTTCTTTGTATTTAAATTAATCTTTATGAATTAAAGCGATATAAAATTTGGAATCAAATATTCTATAATTATTTTTGATACATAATTCAAAAAAAGTAATAGCATCTAAATTTTTATAATTAAAATAATGTATTAAGGCTTGTAAATAATGAGTTGAATTGCATTTTGGTAATTTGTCAACTTTTTCTTATAATTAATTCATAAATTCTCCTCTTGGTCTACAAGCATATTCTCCCATAGATTTAATAACTTAAGTACTTCCTTTAGTGATTAATGCATTAATATATTCTCTAATCAATCTGAAATTAGTTGGATCTTTATCAAGAAATGAATTGATAACTTTAATTTATTAATCAATATTATTGTCATTTTTAGTTTGATTGATTAATGCATAATAGCAACCTTAATTAATTTTTAAAGCTTCTTTCATCCATTATTATCCTTATTGTATTTAATTCAATTTGAAATAAGAATCTGATAATAAGGCATAGCAATAACTACTTTCTCCTGCATGTTCTAAAATCTTGATTGCTTTTTAATATTAATTTAGATTGATTTAACATTCAGCTATAACTTTAAGTTTATGTTTCTAATCATCTATATTATCAAAATCTCCTAAGGAATTGAATATTTTAAGTGCCTCTTCATATTCTTACAGCTCTAATTATCTAAGCCCAAAATAGAACTTCTATTCATCTTAGGTTCCTAATTTAACATCTTTATCTAAATAGTAATCTAAGATAGTATCTATTAAGTCTTTATCTTAACCTTGAAGTTCATTTGAGAGTGTTTAGACTTTTGAAAGTAAATCTGAATTGATTTTAGAAATACAAGATCCCATAGGTATAGGGTTCTTGAATTAGTATAATTTAAGAAGAGTCTTGCATTCGATTAGTTTGTTAGGTTAGGAATTCAAGACTTGTAGTACTTATTCATAATTTCCTTTTTTATAAGATTCTATAGGCGAATCCATTAAAATTTTAATAATGAGGTATTGGAAATATGGGGTATAGAATTTAAATAATAAAATAGTATTGTTTATTTAGAGGGGGTCTTTATGGCGAATAGTGAGTAAAGTCAAAAAGTGCAAAATTACATCTTAGGTATGAGATTAATGATTTAAGAGATAGGACTCTTGGGAGAGGAACATTTGGTAAAGTTAGATTAGGTTATCATACTATTTGTAAAGAATATGTAAATGATTCCTTTATTTAAGGTTGCTGTTAAAATACTATAGAAAAATAAGATTGAAAATAATGCAGATCTTGACAGAGTTTAGAGAGAGATTTCCATCTTAAGAAAAGTTAATCATGAAAATATAATTAAATTATATGAGGTATAAGCAATCTCTTGCTACCTTAGATTCTGGAATCAGATTAGAACCTCTATTTGGTTATGGAATATGCCAAAGGAGGAGAACTTTTTGATTACATTGTAAAAAAACATCAGTTAAAAATACTATTAATATTTTTAGATTATCAGAACTAATAGCTGCACGTCTATTTATACAATTAATAAATGCTGTTGAATATCTTCATTCACTTAACATTTCTCATCGTGACTTAAAACCTGAAAATCTATTACTTGATGAGTAAAGAAATCTAAAAGTTGCAGATTTTGGACTAAGTAATCTTTACAAAACTAATGAATCTCTTAAAACTGCTTGTGGGTCTCCTTGTTATGCTGCACCTGAAATGTTATGTAATTTATATATAATATTCTAGATGGAAAACCTTACTTTGGAGATAAAAGTGATATTTGGAGTTGTGGAATTATTCTCTATGTTATGTTAAGTGGTTATTTACCTTTTGAACATGAAAACACTAAACTACTTTATGAAATGATTAAATATCAAGATTATGAACAACCTAAGAATATTTCATCTATTGCTAAAGATTTATTAAGAAAACTTTTAACTAAAGATCCATAACTTAGAATTGGATTTGATGAAATCAAATAACATTAATTCTATAAATTAGTTATTATTTAACCAGAATAAATTATTACTAATAAAGATACAATTGTTTTCAAAATGCTTCTAGAATTAGGATATGATATAAACACTATTTATGATCAAGTTAAAGATAACAAACATAATTCTAATACTACCTTATTTTGGCTATTTAGAAAAAAAGTATGCAATCAAAACTTTATTAATTAAGTTTTAGGATAATAAAAATGTAATATGCAATAATAAGTTTAAGTCTTAAAAAAACAAAATCTAAATCTCAAAAATTAATTATAATAATCAATCATTTCTAATTAAATTAATTAAAGCTAAAATCATACTGCTAGATCAAATAGCAAGGGTAAATTAAATTAATCAATACAATAAAGATGTCAAATCAACAATTATAAAATTAATCTAGATGATTTAAATAAATATACTGATAGACCAACAGGAATTTAAATAAATTTTAACAAAATTCGAAACTACCCGACCAAAGTTTAAGATTCTCTTAAAGATTCAATTAGACAAAAAGCTTAATCAGTTTAAGATAGAAATTATAATTAATTCACTCCTGATTTTTATGACTTATTAATCAAATAATAAAAAATCAATAATAACCCATCTATTTAAAGAAGAAAGAGTGCAACTGAATAAATCGAAAGATTTAATTTTGCACCCAATCAATAAGATAAAATTAAAACTTAAATTTAAAGAGGTAGAAATAGAACTATTTCTCAAAATAGAAAGAATAATTTAACACAAAGATATTCAAAGAATTATACTCCATTTCTTAATCATTAAAATACTCCAGAATTTAAACTCAATATCAAACCTAAAAATTAACTTAATAAAACAATAAATTAAAGCTACTAAGATTAAGGAAATACGATAATTCCAGAATATTCAATTTTTACTAAACAATTTTTATGAAAAATTAGTTTACCTAATTCCATATTTATAATCATAATTACTAATTATATATAATTCTTTAATTTATTTCTATTAGCAAAATAAAATGGAAGAAAGTGGAAATACGCTTTATTTGACATTATTGATAATTATATCAGTTTTATCATTGTTTGGATGTACAGTGTTGTTAATTAATTATCTTAAATAAAGACATCGTACTCAACTTGCAACAAAACTATTTGCAATTTTATCAATTAGTGATGCAATATATGTTATAGCTGTTGTCGCTAATCCTATGCCATGTATCTAATAAAATTTAAATTAGAGACTGATGGAACATTTTGTGTTATTTAGGCACTATTTAAATAACTCTCTAGTCTAGCCACATTTATTGTTAATTTTTTCTTTTGCTTTACTACATTTCTCACAATAGTGAATGATATAAGACTAATCGATACTAATTATAAAATATATAAGAGGAATGTAAATATATTTTCTATTTTATTTCCTTTTATTATTGCTCTTATTCCACTTACTTATAATGGATATGGAAAATAATATTATGCATGTAGTTTAAAAACTCAAAATACTTTTTGGATTGGAGCATTATTATTATAATATTTACCTTTTGGATTTCTTTTTGGAGCAAGTCTGTTTTTTCTATTAAAAATACAAAGATTTCTTAGAGAAATTTAATAAAATAAAGCTGATGATAATAAAATTGATAAATTTAATGACATAACATTTTTATCAAAAAATAGTCAAATAAATGAAGGAGAGTAATATATAAGAGTTCTTTCATATTATACTCTTGTTCATTTTTTCTGTTGGCTTCCTATCATAATAAGTTCTATTGTAGATATCACACTATAAAGAGATTTAATATGGTTTGAAGGAATAAGTTATATAATAGCTTGTTCATAAGGATTTTTTGATTTGATATTGTTTAGGATTAGCAAATAAGTTTCATTAAAAATATAATATTTTGAAAGTAACAATAGCATTTTAAGTGGAGATCATAATGATATATATAGAGGATCTGGATCTGCTTTATACATTTCAAGATTGTGATTTTATTTTATGTTTGAAATTAAATATTTATTAAGCAAAGAGGAAACCTGAATTTTAATGTTAAATTAATTATTTAAGATAATTATAAATTCATGAAGAAAAATATAAGAGAATAAATTAATAATTTATAGGTTATGATTTTCTTATAGTTTATAAATATCTCTTTAAATAAATAAATGAATTTTATAAAGTCTTTGTTTTCATAATCTAATCCACAATAAAAAAAGATTGCACATAAAAAAGCAGTTGAATCTTCCATACTTGATACATAGTTCACCTAAGTTAGACTATAAGATATAAAAATAATATCAAAAGACTTGAAAAAGTTAGAAGAGATTCTAAAATATTAACCAGAAACAATAAATGAATAATTTAAGAGATGTTATAGCTTTCATATCATTTTAAGCAGTGATTTATTATAATCCATAGAAAAGATTGTCTAATATTTTGAAAACTATCAGCAAAACTTATGTAAGCAAAAATTTTAGATTACACAATCAAAAACCTTGGCTACATAAAATGTGAATTAAACAAATATCTATACGAATGAACAATAAACTTTTTCTATTTAATACCAAAACTCTATGTTTCTCAATGTTTCTGATGTAATCATTAGAAATTAATGATATTTTAGCAAATTTAGTTGTTTGAACAAATAAATTAAAATGAAAATGGATTTATGAATATTTATTTCAATTACATTCAAAGAATTACACAAAATAATGATATCTATACTTCTTGTAGATTTTAATAATACCCTATATAAGATGATGCACATAATCGTAAACTTTAATTTCTCTGGTTATTCAAAATTATCAATCTACTAAATTTTAAGTTAAGCTTTATACCTTACTTCCAATTAAATTTCAAGCATAAGACTTAAAATACATTAATAATAAGAGACATTGCATATTTAGTATATAAAGATTGTTTAGTAGAATATTCATTCTTAAGAAATGAGATTACCGATATGCTTGAGTCTTATTCATCATTTTAAATTAGAGAATGTATAAATTAAAAAAAATTTAGCACTTTAATTTTATGAGTTAATCTTGATAATGAAAGATGTCACTTATAAGATGAAGATTTTCTATGATATGAGATCTTCATTTGCTCTAAATTCTGCATCAGTTAGGGATGTTAAATGGTTTACTATTGAAAAAAAATAGATGATAGAAATAGATAATTATATTTCTAAAATTAAATTACTAAATACTTCTTAATTTAAAAAGAGTCTTATGGTTCCAACTCGTAATTATGTTATGTAAAATTTATCAAAGTAATCGCAAGACACAAATAGCTTAGATAATTCATTCAAAAAGGTAGTATTAAAATTTATATAATATATTAGGAACCAATTACTGCAAAAAATAAAAAAAAATCCAATGATTTATTATACTCACCCTTAAAATTAAATTAATACAAAGGTGGAGAACATTCAAGATAGTGATCAATAAATTTTAAGAATCTTTGACTTATAAAAAGTGTAATTCAGTATTTTTCAGTTATATAAAAATTAACCAAAATTTAACAGATATTCATGGAAGGCTTCTTTACTTTACTAATAGTTTATGATTTTCAATTCTATTAGCAATTGTTTCTTCTTCTATGATATCATCTTCTAAATCATATATAGCAGAATCTGATTTAAAATTTTTACTGTTCAAAATTTCTTCTATGGTTCTATCCCTTACATTGATTGCTATAATATATAGATTTATCTTTTTACTTAAAGCGCCATATTAATCTGAAGAGTCACTGATACTTCTTAAACTTTTATTTACCCAAAGTGGAGTAAGGCAAAATAAAAATTCTTTTTACCCTTTAAGATCTTATTGTACTCTATGAATTTACAACGTATTATTAGAAATGTTATAATTATCAATTTTAAACCAAGGATGCTATATAGCAACTTCTGCAGAGATTCGTTAATTTTAATTTAAAATCAACATTTTTTTACATAAGTCTTTCGCTTCTTAACTGATATCACAAGATTCCAATTTTTTGTAATCAATTAAACCATAAGTATTATTTTTTAATACTTCTTAAGTACTGCATCCTTAAATTGCTGCCTCACCAGTTAATAATAGGAACATAACAATCCCTAAAGAATAAACATCAACCTTATAATCATAGAGTTTATCTTATAATATTTCAGGAGCTACAAAACCTAATGAGCCACATTTTTTAAATAAATATTATCCCTTCTCCTAATAAAAATCAGCTAAACCAAAATCTGCTATAACTATATTAGAAATGTCATTTTCATCTTTTAATATTAAATTTTCTGGTTTAATGTCTCTATGAATCACTTTTCTCTCTTTTATATAAATTAAAGCATCTAAGATGTTGTAAATCAGTTTTCTTACAAGAGATTCATCGTATATTTTCATTTATTTTTCTATTTTAGATATTAATTCTCCTCCTTTCAATAAATCAACTATAACATAAACTTTTATTTCATCTTCATATATTTCACGTAACTTAATAATATGCTTGTGATTCATCAATCTCATAATTTAAATCTCTTTCCATAAACTTTACTTTTAAAAATATTTAAATTTATTTACTTAATTTTCATCTTCATTTTCTTTCATTTTCATTTTATTAAATATTTTTACTGCATAAATTTATTAATTTTCGATTTATTTAACTTTGAATACTTTTGCAAAAGATCCTTTGCCTATCAATTTCATAATCTCATAATTATTCTCAAAATTATCTTAGATGGTATGTAATTTACAATAATTTTATATTTCAGAAACTTATGGCACTGAACCGAATATTTCAAAAAGATCAAAGTTATTCTTGAATTACAGAAATGCCAAACTTTCAAATTAACTCTAAGATATAATAAACTTTTTCATTTAAATATTTTCTAAATTTATATACCTTTGGTCAACTATCAAATATTTATCTTGAACATAAGCAAACTTAAATTATATATTTTTCTTTTGACTATCTCTGATTTTTAAACCATTTAAAATCACTAATTAGGAACCAAATTAGATTTAAGGATATCCTTTTTTCCATAAACAATCCTATCTATTACTATGAGCACTAAAACATGAATCAGACTTTTGCCTCATATATATTAATAAAAAATAATTATCAATTTCATATATAATAATTTTGCCTGATATATTATTTTTTTTAATTAATATCACTAATTTATTATTAATCGTCATCTTTGTAAAAGCCTAAGATCAGATAAAATGAATTTTTTAAATTCATATTCAACTAAATCTATATTATAATCAATATGTATTAAATATTTATTAAATTGAAATTTACGTGATTATCATCTTGAAAGAGTTCCTTATCATATAATAAAGTATATGAATCAAGAAATAATTTTGAGTTTAATTCAAATCGTAAAATCTCTTAATTGTATATATCTAAACAAATCTATAGAAAAATAGCTAAGCTATAAATTATAATTACATTTTTCATAGTTTTGAAATACTTTTTTTTAGAACAATTAAAGTAATTGAATAAAATTTTTCACCACTAAAATTTGTTTCCTCCAATCAAATTGCTTATTGCTTCTAAATTATTTATTATAATACCTTTTATTTACAGATTTTTTCTTTTTAAAATGAATGTTAATTTATTTATTTTAATTTTACTAATAAACTTGTTTAATTAATTAAATTTCCAAAATCAGTATATGTGAAGCTAAATTGTTTACAAATGAATAAATCAATAAATCTAATAAAAAACTTGTTTTAATTTATTAATTTCCTCTCATGATGAATAAAACTATAAAAATTCTTCAAGATAGTTTTTAAAGAATTAGATTGAACGTAATTTATAATTTCTATATTAATAATATATAAATTCAGTTTCAATGAATAAGTATGAAGTTAAAGGAGTAGTAGGAGAGGGAGCATATGGAATAGTGTTAAAATGTGAAAATAAAGAAAATAATTAGATTGGTAGATAGTTTTATATATAGTTAGTGGCAATAAAGAAGTTCAAAGAGACAGAAGATAATGAGATTGTTAAAAAAAGTATATAGAGAGAAGTAAAGATGTTAAGACAGTTGAAACATCCAAATATAATAGATTTATTTGAAGCATTCAAGAGGTATTTGTATATATAATGTACAGAAAAGGGAGAATATATTTAGTATTTGAGTATGTGGAGAAAAATTTACTTGAAGTACTTTAAGCTTCTCCTAATGGATTAGATGTATTACATTAAATATTTTAAGTAAGGATACCTAAAGAGAATAGCTTTTTAATTATTGAAAGCTATGGAATTTATTCATTTCCATGATATAGTTCATAGAGATATAAAACCTGAAAATATTCTAATAGATAATGAAAATAACTTAAAGCTAATAGATTTTGGATTTGCAAGAGTAAAATATAAAGTTAAATATTTGTAGAGCTTAAATTTACCAGACACTTTAACAGATTATGTAGCAACAAGATGGTATAGATCTCCTGAACTTCTTTTAAATTATTAGACATATGGGAAAGGAGTAGATTTATGGGCAATAGGTTGTTTACTTTGTGAATTAACTGATGGTGAACCTATGTTTCCAGGAGAGAATGAAACAGATTAATTGTATTTAATTTAAAAGACTCTTGGTCCTTTAACACATGAGTAAATGGAAGTATTTTAAAAGAATCCAAGATTTCTTGGTATGAAATTCCCTGAAATAGGTAAACCTGAAACTATAGAGAGAAGGTATATTTAAAATAAAATAACTTATATAGATATCTTGGTAAATTACCTTAAAAGGCTATTGGATTAGTAAAAGGATTATTGAGAATGGATCCAAAGGAACGATTCACTTGTTTAGATGCATTAAAACATCCATATTTTGCAGATTATCCAGAAGCATAAGAATATATAAAATAAATAGAGAGTAGATAAAATTAAGTTTAAAATGATTTGAACTAAAAAAGGGATTCTCTCATAAGTTAATAAAAATAATAAAATTAAATTGGACATACAAATTAAATTAGAACCAAAGTATTTAATCTAATTATTTTAGAACATTAAACCAGTACCTAATTTTTTAAGTAGTCATGTTTTAATGTAGAGTACAGCTTATAATTATAAGATATCTGATTAAAATACAGCTGAAAGAGAATTACCAAATATGAAAAAGACAATTTCAGTTGATAAATTACCCTAAACATAATATAATGGTTTTAGTATTGGAAATGGATTCTCATTTGCACCATCTAAAAACTAATAATTAAAAGCAAATTAATAATTAAAACAATCTTAGCCATAAATAAAAATATAAAACTTAAACATTATTTATAATGCTAATACTTACAATTACTAATAATAACAGTAATAATAATAATAATAGTAACCTCAATAACAATAACGTAAAATTATAAAGAAAAAAAGCTGATTAATTTTAATGTTATATTCAAACTAACTAATTAAATTTAAAATTGATTATAAGTTATAAAAATCATTCCAAACCAAATTATCCTTCTAAAGCTTCATGAATAGTTGCCTTAAGAAATACTTCCATCGTTTATAATTCTTGATATCTAAGAAATAATAAGATCAAATATTTACTTTGGTAATTCTAATCTATTAAAACATGTATGAGCCTTAGGATAAGGATTATCATTATCGAAATTACTAGCCTAAATACAGAAATATGAAATTTCTCCTCTATTGCTTTCAAGTTTACTATTTTAAATAATCATCATTTACCTAAATCCTTCAACTGGTACTCTAGTTGAACCTGTACAAAATCTCAAAAATTAAGAAAGTTCAGGTTAATCCCATGTACTTAGAATTTACCAAAACCATTAAATAAAGTAATCCTCTGCAGAACAATCTTTGTATATAGTATATTTCGACCAATCCTATAGGTCTATGAAAGGAAGACCAAATAATATCATTTCTAATTCCTATGGCTTGAAAATCCTTAATAAAGTTTTTGGTATAACTTAATAGAATCCTGTTAAAAAATCTGATAAATAAGGTTCTAAAAACTATTGAGTGTAGTAGAATATACTAATAAATAATTGTATAATTTAATATACTTTAAATTTATATATTCCTGAACATTAGAATCTGTAACTTTAATTTCACATCCATTTTCCTTTAAATTAATAGTCTTGCCATAATATTCTAATTAAAAGTAAAGATCTAATTAATCAATATTATTATTTAATAAATATTACCATGAATAGAATAACTAAAATGAATATATTAAATTAATACATCTTCATCAAAATATTTGATATCCTCCAAAATTATTTTTTATCTCAAGATATGTTTAATAATTGTTCGATCTAAATATGAACTAAGTGGAATTCTTTCAAAAAGACACTTTCCTACAATTATACCTAAAAAAGAGAACAGTTATCGTTTGTCAAATTAATTTGATTAAGCATTTGGATTGAACTTATAAGTAAGTTCTTTAGTTTCAGTTTTTTATAAATAGCCCTAATCAACTAATTATTAGAGAATAGAGGTAGACCATTCTCTTAACAAACCTCCAGCATCCTAGACTTTTTGATCTTCTTGAAATTTAATTTTTAATTCCCCATGTAGAAGGCGTGATTTTAATTTCATTATGCTTTCTAAAGAGGACTCTAACAAATGATTTTAAGACACTGAAAGAATTGTACATCCATTCTAATTTTTTTGTTATTAAATTTACTTGCCAAGGAATTCTAAGTTTTTCTAGTTTAGCTCTGAACCAAACTTACTTTTAACCAAAAGGTTCTAGTTAAATATTCTTTTTTATTTTACAGAGTTACCTATTCATTGATTTAAAGACTAGGGTTGTATTCTTTTAATACCCATTAAAATCCTTATTCATTTTAAACCTTTTCCCAATATTTAATTCCTCGGTAATCTTCTATTTTATTTATATTTTATTATGAAGACATAAGGCAATTATCTAAGTGATCATTAAACTTGAAATTATATTTTAATATTTTACAGCATGATTTGTAGTATGAGATGGAAATAGTTATTAACACTTAGGGCACTCAACCTCTCTTCCAAGAGTTGTTTGACTAGGAGATTTAATGGAACAGCAACACCCCATAAGATTAAATTATAAAATATAAAAATAATATCATTAGTTTTCTGCTTATTATTATAATTCTTATTTTCAAAACTTTATATTTACTAAGATAATCCCTCTTATTAAAGTTATCGTCTTATTTTATAATTAAATGATGGCTGTTTGTGATTTAATATTTGATAATGTTTAAAATTCAATTTCAAATCTTATCTAAGTCGATTTGACTCATTTGATAATGTAAATGTTTAGCAATATTAATTATCATTATTATAATTCAAGAATTATCAAATTTATCACCATCATTTTAACATTGAAGTTCTTATTTCAAAGCACCAATATCAAGACATTTTACACCTTTTTTTTTGTTTATCAACATTCTAGCTTTAGCTTACAAGTAGATCATTGTAGACATCTAACCGCTATAATAGGGAGTCTTCTTGAATTTTTTGTAATATTGATGTACAAATTCTTTACCTTTATAAGTATCAGATTCTAAACTATTAAATAATTATTGAATAATACTCTCTCACACCATATTTTAATTCAACTGATAATCTAGTTAAACTTACAATAACATCATGAAATAGATAACCTATCAATCCTTCTCCATCTTCATATAAAGGAATGTTTAAAGCCTTCAAGAAATTCTTTTTATTTGCAGGATCTAATAATTCTTTTACTGGAACTCCAAAGCAAATAGCTATTTCTGAAGATAATTTCCAGAATTGTTTATAATTCAAGAATCCAGTTCCTTTTGGATCATATTATGCCCAATAATTTAAAACATCATGCAATTAATATTTAGATATCGCACTTTATTCCTATTTGGCATGTTCTTCATAAGCACCTAAAATGGAGGCAATAAATAAATTTAAAATAACAAGTGAAAATATCAAATGAAATGATACATAAAATACATAGGCCCAATGGGTACCACATCCATTATATCCATACAATTAAAACTCCTCATAATTATTAATATAAATGCATGCAAAATCAGGATTTCTGATCCTTACAGAATCAATAAGTAAAGCCCACCATTCTTCAGAACTTGCAACTCTAATCAAAGAGAACATTGCAGTTGTGAACTTTTTAAAATGCAAATCAAATCCTTCCATCTTATTCTATGGTCTTAAATAACCAAATAAATCCATTCCCAAACATGCAAATATAAATAAAAATATAAACATGATAAATAACATCGATAGAGCAGAAGGTACAACAGAGAATATTGTATGAAATAGTTTTTCTAATTCAGGAAAGCGTCTAAAAATAGTAAATAGTAAAACTTACTTTATAATGTAATAATTTCTGAGTAACTAAAATCCAACTGAAAGAGCTTCAAATCCTCTTTAAAGATAGAATTAATCGTTCATTTAAGATATACTAAATTAATTCACAAGATTAATTATAATACCTAAAACATCTACTATTATAAAAGGATCACGATCATAAATGTTTGGAAATTTAGCAATAACTCTAGATAATACTTCTACAGTAAAAGATAATGTACAAATAAGATTTATTAAATCAAGTGCTTATATAAAATCTTTGTCTTATCTATCATAATATAAGGCTAAAGTAAAAGTATTTAACAAGATTAATGCATGCCAAAAATATTTTGTTGCTTTGCTTTCTGCAATGCTATAAATAAACAAGCCAACTTTAGATTTTGGTTTTTCATATAATCTTCTTGGTTTCAAGTGATTAATGCTTTATTTTATTGACAACCACTCTCTTTGATTACTATCCAATTCTGACATTCCTTAAGCCTTAATTTTCGTTTATTAATATGTTTCAACTACTAAACTTATAAACATATTAAGCATGCAAATATTTCCAATAAAAAAAAATACTTAAAAGTAAACTGCCCACCATCTATTGTTATTATTCTAAGGTGTTAAATCTACTCCTCTAGCACTCCAGGTATGAATTAATATTTCCAACCATGCTTCAGTAGTTGCTGTCACAAATAAAGTTAATGCACTGTCAAATATATTGTCATATCCTAAAATTCTATTAATCCATGATCCTCCATGATCAAGACAATCCCATTTATCATTTATTATATATTCCTCTTCATTTGAAATTCCTGAACAATAAAAAAATGCTCCTTTAAGTATTTTTGTCGCAAAAGTTCCATAAATCAGTAATATAATAAAACAAAAGATACTAAGCTAAATCATTGTTTAAAAAGCCTTAAGCAATGCTTAAGAAATATAATTAATACTAGTATTCAATAATGCACCAATTCTTATAAATTCAATAATTCTTAAACTTGAAAAAAAATGAAATATCGTATGGCTAGGAGCAAATAAGCTGATAATTTCAACCAATGTTACTATTACATTTAAAATATTGTAAGGAGATCTTTAAATATAAGAATTCTCACCTATTATAAATCCTCTTGCTATTATATTTAAAATAATCTAAACTATAAATAATATAGTTGTGGTTATGTTAACTATTTTTAATATCTAACTGGTGTCTGAATTCGGATCAAGAAATGGAGTAGTCATTCCAACTCTTATTGTACTGGCTAAAACTATTAATAAAGCAAAAAGTTAAAATATAAATGAATCTACAATTTATTCTGTTTTCGATATATTAATATTACTCTTTGTTTAATTCAAATTTCGAACACTCTCTCTCTCATTTTATACATTATTATTACTCAAATTAGATTTTATCTCTTATTGTTCTTATTTTTAGAGATCAACTTATAACCAATTCTAAAGTTCGTCAAGTTCTTATTAAGGCACATTTTAATTTAATATTGAATTAATTCTATTTTCATTGTTTTTGTCTTTCTTTGGCCTTGCTTCACTTTCTTCTGCTATCTAATTTTTTTCATCTGATTTTTAAGTTATATATTTAGTTATTTTTTAATTCTTCTTTTTATCCTTTGATTATAAACATTATAATATGGATTGTATAAATTATTTAAAATCGATAGGTTTCAATTCTTCCTCTATTTTTTTTAATTGTTAAACAAATTCATTCAAAAAAACGGCCATCAATAATCTGATAAAAAATATTTAACCTAATATGACACTGAAAATGGAATAGAAAAATGAAACATAGGTATGACGAGCATATTTATACATTGTCACATGCCATTCTTCGTTATAAAATATATTTACTGCAGCCATTAAAGCTGAGCCAAAATCATCGTAATAAATTGTCATTTCTTCTTCTTATAATTTATCTTAAAGCAGACTTTTTCCAACTACTGCTATTAATATTACCAAACATGCCCAAAGTGCCAAAATACTCTTAAGTCTTGTTAATGTGTTTACCAATGATCTCATTAATAAAGTTATTGTGTAAAATAATTTGGCATTATAAACAAATCTAAATACCCTCAAAATCTTTAATGATTTGAAAAATGTAACATAAACATTGTGATTTATAACTAATGATTCATCTATTACTACTAATACAAAAATTAATATCCATTAGCTGGATATTACAAAGAAATCAAATTTGTTTATGTCCTTAGAAAAATATCCTTTCAAACCTTTACCTGATATTAAAATAGCCATTTCCACTAGTGAATAAACAATACAAAAGAAATCAACCATTTATAATTATTCTAAAGCCCTTTTCGAAATTCCTTTATAGTCAATTATTATTGCTAAAGCTGATAAAATTATACATAAGTTATTTATAAAATTGAAATTTTTAGAATTTGAAAGAGAATCAAAAAATCTTATTTATTCTTATTATTATTAAGTTGTTTAATCGAATTGAAATTATTAATCAAAAGGCAATTAACCATTAAAAGATTAATTGTGACCTACTAATTATCCTTTTGATTTACTCATCAAAGCCAACCTATTCATTAATTATTCCTAATTTTTTTTTTTCAAATCTTCTTCAATTTCCTACTCTTATTTTTTTGCTTTACTTGAAGAATTCTTTATTGAAGATTTCTCCATAAATGATTCATAAAACAATGCTAATAATAAATTGGATAATATAAAGGCTAATAACACAATTAAAACTAAAAAGTATGTTGCTGTAACATAAGTAGTCATAGCTTTCCAAAACTAAGTTGAATATTTTAAATAGAAATACCATGAATGTTGTTCCAGACCATCCTGTAACATTTAAAAATGTAAAGACAACTAATAAAGAATGAAAAAAGTCATCAAACCTAATAAAATCCCAACTAAAATCAGCCACATCATTTTCAGTCATATTTTTAGGAAGATTATGATCAACTGGACTTCCACAATATAAGTTCTCAGGACATTCCCAAATTCCACAAAGTTTTAAAACTTCATCATCAGCCAACCAAACACCATCAATTGGTTCTGGTGTTATTCTACATCTTTTCTCTGTCAATCCTATAAATAAATGTAATCCAATTATTGCAAAATAAATCATCACCAAAAATATTGGAATTAGTACTTATTTAAGCTTTAAAAAACTACTCACATAAGCTGTAAACTAAATTCTTAATAGGGGTATTTCCTATATAAGCCTAAACAATCGTAAAATTCTAATTGTTTTAATAACATCATTAACTTTATTGTCTTCCAGAAATATAAACCAAGTAAAAATAAATGCTAAAACATTTACAATATTCCAACAATCTCTTAGATAGCTTTTTTTATCTAAAATCACACCATATGCTATCATAAATAATAGAATGTCAAAACCAAATATAATATTACATACTACTTCTATACTTATTGCCAATCTTTTTTCATTAATACAATATGGTATTAGACATGTTGCTGCAATTAAGATTATAAAATATTTATAGTTTCTATATTAAATTGAAATTATCTTACTAATTCTAAATCAGTTATGTTATTCCTTTCCTTAAAGGATTTGAATTACTAAAGATAAATAAAGTTTTGGTTAAGTTTTTTTTCTTTGAATCTTTTGATGTCTTATCTAAGTTTTTAACTTAAATCAAGTCATGTCTATTGATGAGGTTTTACCAACCAAAGTTTTCGCAATCTCCAACTAATATTTATTCCAATCTCATTTGTCTTATAGATTAACTTGCTTCATTAGCTTGAGCTAAAGATATTTCCTTATACTCAATCCCTAACTTTTTCAAAGTTAATGACATTAATTTAAAAATGAAATAATTTTTATCTTCTTATGAACTTAATACTCATGAAAATTATTGACTTTATATGTTATATATTATAAAAGCTTAATAAATGCAATTTTCGATTAATCTTCTTAAATTTTTCATTCTCCCTATTATTTATTCAGTTCAAGCTGTAATCTAAAATTCTAATTATCATATGATCATAAGTATAATTTAGATGATAAACTAGAAAATTATTAGTTTCTGTCTGTTTTAATCATAAATAATTTTCTTTAAAAGATAATCTTTCATATTTTCTATTCAAAACATTGAAAATTTTTTTAATTTATTAAAAGTATTTATACAACTTTATAAATTATCAGATGAGGGAACAATTTAAAGTATATTGTTTGAAAAACTGATATATATCATTATAATTATCGTAATAAATGAAAAATTATTTACTTTACAATCCAATTTACTTTATCGTGTAAAAATATTGATAAAAGATAAACAAGAAAGAAAAAATATAGTCTAGAGATAATTTTTAAAAGAAAAAATTTCAGCATCTTTATTAAGTAAAAGTATGAAGGTATGATAAATAATAATTTCAATAATTGAAATGGTAGAATAGTTTAAGTTTTAGCAATATTAAAAAAATAAAAAATCGATGCCTGTGAGACTCGAACTCACGCGGGAAATCCCAACGGCTTAGCAGGCCGCCGCCTTAACCACTCGGCCAAAGCATCTAACTTAGTAATATTATAAAGCATAATTATTTATAGTATAATTCATAAATCAATCTTTAATTTCTTATAACTGATTAATTTACTCTAATTATTAATTTTTATTTAATTCATACGATTTTATTTTACACTTACTAATTTAATTTTTTATACGACATAGATAATTGGAGTCGGTATTTTTGATCTTTAAGTTTCCAATATCTATCCATTGAAAATCTTATATAATTTTTTCTTGTATATTTAGTTCTACAAAATGGACAGTTTTTCTATCTTAAAAACCATTCTTAGAGATAAATTTAATGAAAA